AACCACTAAAAAAATCTCTTCAAATTACCTCAAACCTATTATAAAAGATTTATAAAGATTATAAAGAAAAAATATCATACTTTATTAGAAAAAAAAATATTCAAAAAAATAAGAAAATCAGATATCAATTTAAATCTTAAATATATTAAGATTTTACTCTTATACTAGATATTTATATATAAACTAGACAATAATAGTTATTTAATATATTATAAAATATATCTTTATATTAAAAGCAATATACAGCTTAGCTAAAATAATATCTATATTACTATAATAAGTACAAAAACAATCCATTACCTACTATATCTTACAACCATTTTTAGATATAAAATAAATTAATATAATATAGTTAATACCTTTCTAAATACTCTAATTAATAAAAAACACTTCTTTATACACTTTCTTAAAGATATTAAAAAGAAAAATAAATATATATTAAAGCTACTAAGAATACTTTATAGCCTTAAATAATCCCCTCAACTATAGCAAAAAAAACTAGTAAAAATATTCTAAAAATTTAATATAAAATAATACTCAGATAAGACATATCTTTATTTAAATAAATACCTTATTATATTCTTCTTTATTAATAATATTATAACACTTTATAAACCAAAAAATAAATACTATTATAACTTATTTTAAAAAAAAATTATAAATAAATATAAAGTTAAAGAGCTTAGAGATATTAAATAATTCTTAAATATAAGAATTATTTAGAAAAAAAATATAAAAATTATTTATCTATATTAGGATTCTTATATTAAAAAAATTATAAAATATTATAACCTACTTATTAATAAATTGCTTATAACATTAATAACTACTATTAAATTAACACCCTATAAAGATAAAGTAATGTTTTCTTAGATTATACTTTACCAAGAAAAAACAGGATCTATATTATATATAACAATCATAATAAGACCTAATATTATCTATATAACTTTCTATTTAAGCATATTTATATAAAATTCAGCACCAGCTTATATAAAGACTATTAATTATATACTTCTATACCTTTATTGCATAAGATTCTATATAATATACTTTATAAAACTATTTAGAATTAATCTAGTTTATATAGTAAGCAATGTAGTATTTATTAATTATTTAGATTAATATAGTACTAAGACCTTCCTTTTTAAGCTATTTAAAAATTTAATTGATTAGATTTCAAAGAAATAAAGAACTATTACTATATTTACTACTAAGGCTGAGCTTTTTGCCTTATCTAATATAGAAAAATAGCTCCTTTAATAGGAATAATTCTTTAAGGCTATTAAATTTAATATTAAACAGGGTTCTTTTATTATTAAATATAATAACCATCAAATAATATATTTAATAATTAAAAATAAAATAATTTAAACGCGCTTTTATTATATTAATATTTATAATCATTAACTATATAAAAAGGTGCAAGATTAATAAATTAATATATATTAAGTTAATACCAATAATATAATTATTAATAGCCTTATTAAATCTCTCTTAATTAAGAAGTATAAAGCCTTTATTAAGCACTTAAAATTAATTAATATAAATTATTATATTAAACTCTAGCTTAATTAAAAGCCTTATTAGTACTAATAAAATATCTAATATAAAAAATCTCTACTAGGTCTAGAAAGATAATCTACTTAGTAAAATAATTAATTAATATAGCTTCTTATATCTTTTCTTCTCTTTTTATTAGTTCTTAATTTAATTTTTAAATCTATCACTCTTTTTATTACTTCTCAATACTATATTTCTATATAAACTATTAGATATTACTTTTTTCTTTTATTTTATTCTTTCCTATTTTAGATTACACACTAAAGAGATGTAACAGTAGATTATAACTACTATTCCAAATATAGCATATAATCCACAACCAACACCATATTTCACAGATGTGCACCTAATTAGCCAGAATAGGCATCGGATACGTGTCTTAATTGACCCCTATTCTGATCATAAATATGGCTTCAAGTAACCCCCTGAATATTCTCTTTAGTTAGATATGCAGATTATATAGTATTCTCAATACTAGCTAATACAGCGTTCCGAATCCGTTGTTACTTTTTCTTACAAACTCAGTCAGCCTCGGCTGTTTCGTTGCTGCCTACAATGACTTGGCCAGTTGACATGAAAATATATGCCAAAGCCGTTCCATATTTCTTTTCGAATCTTTCCTCACCGGTAATAGAACTGTCCAACGATCCGAATTGCCGGTAGTATGATATCTCGCCATGCCGGGTTCGGGCTTCTAACCCTAAGTCATTCGGAAGTCCGCAGCCATTCCGAGGTCGAGCTGCGACCTCGAATTGCTTTTGTAAGAGGACATATACCATAGGCACTTCGGGTTAGAGTCTACTGGTCAGAGAATTATGGATCTAGCGTTCTATTCGGTCAACTTACGCGATGACTGTCAGTGCAATGTTCTGTACCCGACACGCCTTTGATAGACGCTTGGTGTGCTGGACAATACATATAGTGATGCGCTCAAATACGCGTCTGCGAAATCAATGCCAGAAACTTTGTGACGCCTCGGTCCACATAGTGCAAATTTTCGCATGCAAGTACTCATTTCTTTGTTTCACAGGCATCCTGTGATTGATCACAGATAGCATCTTTCACCTCTGGTGTGTACGCCGGTGAAGCCAGTCTGCAGCGCTGTTGCATACAAAGGAACCATTTTAGACCAACAAATAAACCGACATTTCCCATGTAGAAACGTGCCCCTCGCTTGCCAAGTCGTAGACGCCAGCACTATGACTCTCAAGCAGATAAATTCCACCAATAACGGGGAATATTGCAGATCCCTGTCATAATGAAGTCGATCATTCTATACATGCATTCTTCTCAGAGCGGCTTGTATACTTGCCGCGGAGTAACTTTTCGTAGTAAGGGGACGCGAATCTGATAGCAAAGCGCTGTAGATCGTAATGTATGACGGACAGTGCTGCTAAATTAAGTTTTGCGTGACGAGAATTGAATACCGAAAACTCCCACTCGTTTCACGCACTTGATAAGCAGACGCGTTTCGGCTAGAAATTCCACGATTAAGAGCACTAAATACTAGTACTGCCAGTAGTCAAGAATCCGAAACGATGCATGACTAGTCACTGCATTTCCACAATTTTCACGTCTTCTTGACTACTTGATTGATTGGCTCTTCTGTTAGTGTATGTCATTGTACGTCCAGGACATTGAGTATGGAAGCTATCAAGTATGCCGCCCGTCTTCAAAATACCAATAATCGTCCATTTGCTTCAGGATAATGCAGGAATCAGCCAGCAAGATCAAAGCCCGAGGATGACGGCTATGGAGGAGTACCTGGAATTCAGTATGTACGTGCATTGGCCACAAGGCGATGATTTCCCAAGTGCTAAGCTGAGGTTCACGCTTTGCCGTGGCGAATGACTTTGACAATGAAAGCGCCGCGTTGCTATATCTCAATACTTCACGGTTCGACCATGGCAAGTTTTCGTGGATAAGACTTCGAAAGTAGTCCCAGTAAGGCAAATCATTACTAGCATAAATCTCGACTTCCCACGTAGCAGCCAAAGCGGCAACAGGTCCACTTTCATTTCTATCCCAAAATCCACAAAGCATTGAGCACCCTTCTCGAAGAAAATGGAGCCAAAATGGAGTTGGAAACCTTTCTCATGAATCGATGTGGTTGCCAATGAGCAGCAATGAGTTGTTTGGATTATCAGATTCCGTGGCAAGTGTGTATACCACTAAAAATTAAGAGAATGCCCTTATTGCATCGCAATTTTCGTCCGTGGGGTCGTCCACTGCAGCGCCGAAGGTGGGTAGAGCATAATCCCAGTGTGTACGGGCTCTTGGGACGAGATTTGCGCGCCCTGCTAGGTTCATGTGAACCATGTATTGAGCCGTACAGGCAAGAAGTCCATGCAAAAGGAATGTATACCCGTATGCAAGACACGGCACGACGTCTAGCCAGATCATCACAAGTTTGGAATTGCTTGCAAACGTTTTGTATGCTAAAAAGAAGTAATTCTCCAAGATGAGAATGTCAGTCGTCTCCAATTTGTCCACAGGAAAATCTTCAAGGAAAGGAGGGTCTACTTCCTCTGGATCACGGAGCTGCAAACTATCCCTATACACAGCAAAGGGTCGTCGCTCCACGCTGGAAAGATGATGTATGTCTTTAAGATGCCGAATGACAGCATTGGGCTGCACGATATAATGGCAAGAAGTGCAGATTAACACCTGATGAGCTATTGAATAGTGGAACAGCTCTTCTGGCGAGCCAGGACTTTTCGCCGAGCATATCGCCAGTGTTAGCAGTTCCCGCGGCCAAGAAGCCGATTCTGTATTCCTTTATTTTCCGCACTTTCAGCGTTTAACGCTCTTCTGGGGATTATTACTAAAGAGGGTTCGATAACTGTGAGCGTTGCCGTCAGGCTTGATCAGAAAGCTACTACTTTGAGATTAGCTCGATCGCTTTACGTACTACTCCGTATGTAGTATAGTCCATTTCTCTGATTCGCTGAGCAGCACCCACGCCATTCCGTTATTGGAAGGTAATGCCAAGCTTAGCTTATAATTTATTACACGCTAGACCAGAACGGCACCGTCTGCTTTCCAACTTGACATTTTTGGCTCGCCTTCATTCAATGCATATCTATAAATCCGCTGAAATGTAGCAAATCTAGACTTATCTACGATGCTTACTAATACTAGGCATCTGAGATTTCACTGTAGTTGAATTCGACCGAAGCCCCTTTCTCGGCACGTGGGACAGACTCAGGATAGATATATATAACTATCTGCCCAGGTAATTTTTAGATAGCCCATCTTGATTTTTGTCGTTCCTCTATCAAACACCTTCAAAGGTTAGAATTACTTAGGCTTTTTCCTACCTGGGCATACTTGACTTTCCGCATTGAAGCACTCATTTTGCTAGAATACCGTCCTTGTTGTTCCGCTTCTCCTTTGATCAATAATAGGGTCTCCCAGATGTCCTACTTCGTTGAACCATGTCGACTAAGTTTCATCGAACTATCCTCACAACAGGCGGAGCCTCTGGGATACCAGTGCGCCATTAATGTTGCCCGAGAGTACCCCAACTATCAAATTGTGGTTGCTTCGCGATCAGACCAGAACGCTTCTGCTGCCGCGATCGATGAGCTACTTGGCTAGAAGAATGTCATGTTCTTGCCACTAGATCTTTCCGTCTTTCTCAGGTGAAGTCATTCGCTACACAGTGGGGAGCAAATCAATTCCCACCTATTTACTCGTTTGTCTTCAACGTAGCCCTGCAATTCTTTGGGCCTGTCCAATACACCGTCGATGGATTCGAGAAGACTTTTGCAATCAGTCATATAGGACATGCGCTTGCATTCTCGTTCCTTCGCTGTCACCTGGCCGATACCGCTAGGATAGTGGTCGTTAGTAGCGGAACACACGACCCTGCTCAGCAATCTGGCATGCCGGATGCTTACTACTCGTCTGCCGAAGAGCTAGCCCATCCGACAGAGCAATCTAGCCAGAACAAGGGCCGTCAGCGCTACTCAACCACCAAATTGACCAACATCCTATACACCTATTCTCTTCATCGCCGATTTGAAGCTATCAACCAGAAAGCTGGAAAACACTGGACGGTCGTTACCTTCGATCCTGGCATGATGCCTGGGAAGGGAGACTGGACTCGCACGCGATGGTTCTGCAATCGAAAGGTTCTTATGGGTGAAACTCTTGCCGAAGGTTATACCTCTTTTGCGTCTCTTGATACATCCAAACATCCAGACTCTGGAATATTCGGGTCGGATGATGGCTCGATTGGGAATGGAGCGTACTATGAAGGCCCGAAGCGGATAAAGTCTAGTGAGGCGAGCTATGACAAAGCTAAGCAAGAGGACTTGTGGCAATGGACGGTCAAGACGCTAGCAGATAGCGAGTTTGATATGGCAGCTTTGGATCTTCGTGACTTGTTGTAACTGCTTGATTGGCCTGTATATGCAGAATCAATGTCTTTTGTATAAATCGTGTCTTCTTCCGTGGTATAACTATGTATTGCCGAGCGCTCAACGCTAACCATATCTGGAAACCTGACGTCTTATCAGACCGTCCAATGCGGGCTAGCGTTGCGCGATGCATTTCAACAGCTTCGTCTCAAAGACATTGATTATTGACTTCCATATTGAATTTATCCGGAAGATCCTGATGCTCATCGAATTTAACGGAGTGCTCAATATAAATACCTCTACACATTCCCTGAAGATGGAGCTGAAACCAGACCTTACTCTCAAAGCTCACCTCAACACTATTTGTCTATACAATCAATCCTACTTGCACAACTCAATTATTGTTTCAACCAAGAATTTCAGACATCATGCCTTCGAATACCGCCGCCTGGTTGATCGCGCCCAAGCAACACCCATTAGAGGTGAAAGAAGCTCCTCTTCCGGAACCCAAGGAAAACGAAATCCTCGTCAAGAACCATGCTGTCGGAATCAACCCCGTCGATGGTGGGGTACAAAAATTGGCCTTCCTACCAATAACATATCCTGGAATTCTCGGAAATGAGGTTGCCGGCGAGGTCGTCGCCGTAGGGCCCAACGTTACTCGCTTCAAAGCAGGCGACCGCGTCGCTGGGCACGCGTTGACTATTTTGACTATGAATAGTGATGAAGGGGGCTTTCAGGAATATACCATCCTGAAAACAAACCTCACATTCGAGATTCTTGATAACATCTCGTTCGAAGATGCCGTCGTGCTACCTTTGTGCCTGTCCACAGCTGCATGCGGTCTTTTCATTGACTTGAAATTGCCTCTGCCGACAGTGCCTGCTCAACCGTTTGACGGCAAGACACTGCTCGTTTGGGGCGGGGCATCTTGCGTTGGCAGTAACGCCATTCAACTAGCCCGTGCTGCGGGCTACGAAGTCATCACTACCGCGTCCCCGAAGAACTTTGAATACGTGCAGACGCTGGGCGCCAGTCAGGCCTTCGACTACAACTCAACGACGGTCAAAGACGACATCGTCAATGCTCTGAAGGGGAGGCAACTGGCCGGTATTCTGGATTGCATTGGATTTGCGGCAACCCCAATCTGTCTTGACATAGCTCAAGCGGCCGAAGGATTCAAGTTTGTGGCCACCACCAAAGCCCGTTTCCCTACTCCGCCTGAAGGTGTGCAGATTAAACATATTAGGGGCGATGATCTTTATGCCCGACCACTTGGCAAAGCAATCTATGAGGACTTTTTGCCAGCTGCTTTGAAGGCGGGTTCGTATATTACAGCGCCAAAGCCAACGGTGATCGGCAAGGGTTTAGAGCACGTCCAGGCTGGTATTGATCTGGTTGGGAAGGGAGTTTCTGCCACCAAAGTTGTTGTCACGCTGTAATTTCTGAAAACCATTTTGTAACTTTCGTTTTTTGTCGCTATTTCATATGCAATGGGCGATTAAATTAGTAAGCCAGCTAGTACAATCATGCAACTACCAGCAAAATATTCGTTCTTGTCACGCGAAGACTATTAGAGGAGTTAGTCAAGTAATACCAGACGTAAAGCAGCGGAAGACCAAGTTAATATGAGGGAGAAACATACTCTCGCGAATATCGAGGCTTGTCCAATCCCCATATGTTCTCCTATCCATTCCAGACATTCTCTAAAATACTCTCGTACGCGCTCGTCCACAATCACCAGATTTGAAGTGGCAAATATTGAGTGCATAAGAAGCAGTCCACCACTCGCTCGTCCTGGACTTGGTATGCATCTTGCAGTTTTGAACCCACTGGATAAAGCATGTATATCCTCTGCTAAGTGAAATGGAATTGACGAGAGCATGCCTTCGACAAGGAAATCGGCAACGACATGCTCTCCTTCGAGACTTCTTCCATCATTCAGCGCATCGGACAACTGCAGAATCAGATCTAATAGAGACAAACGGCTTGCGCGGTAGAGATTCCAAACACCAGCAATGTAGTGGTCGAGATAAGTGTCCACTTTGCCAGGCCAAAGTCCAACGGGATAATGCGAGCTATTTCCGCTGGTCTTAATATGGAAAACTGTATTGGGATGAAAATCTTTGTCTTGTGTCATTTCCCACGCAACGAATGCTTCATCAAGAGCTAGCGCGTCATTTCTCATGTTCAATATTGCATCTGGGGATGCGCCCGAGTAATTTTCGAGGGCAGCAGTGCCGTGCTTGTAGAGTACACCGAGTGAAAGCAGAAGATCATCTAAGCTTCGATCGGACCTCCTTAATCCTAATGTAGGGAATAAGGTCATTGTGGACTAATTTTAATGTATGCGGTCAGCTTACGAATGATTAGAAAACAATGACTACAGTGTACCTGTGCTCCCATATTTGCGAGTAAATGGTGGCCATGCCGCATCGCCTCTAGGAGGTAAAGTGGCGACTTTCGTATTCCGAGCATAGCAGCAATGCCACCTGCATGTGCATTGGTGTGACCAAAATGTGCCTCCTCGCCGGTTATGATCTTACACAAACATGAGTTTTTCCAGAGGACTAATGCAGGAAGGAACAATATCACACTTACCTCGTAAAGACCTAGCAGTGTCGTCACGGCCAAATACTCCGGAGTCTTCGTTGGCTCCGAATCATGAATAGCAACGGCAAACCAGGATAGCACATTATGGTAAAGCTCCATTCCACGGCGTTTCAAGTGAGGCCGATTAAGCTTGCGGCCATTGCTGGCATATGCCACTGCTTCGCATGCTTTCTTTAGCATGGAATGTGACTTGGCGCTGTAGAACATCTGTTCGAGTCGGCTGAGAAATCCAGGAGATATCTTGTTATTGGACGAAGCGATACAGTAGTCATAGAAGAATGCACCAAGAGCGTAATCATCGGATTGTTCAATATTCACTTCCTTGGGGGTAGTGTCCGGGGGAAGAATGTTCGTTCCTGGTAGTGGTTCTCTCACAGGCAAGCTGCACTTTCTCGCTATAGACCCCTGTTTGTAAAACGGGACATGTTGTTTCTCACCGGGGACATCCTCGCCGTGGTATTGGCGTATTTGAACCTCTCGAGAGCTGCGCTCATAACCCCCACATGTACGATTCGCATTTGCACATCGCAAGCATGACTGTCCGCAGAGCGTCAGATTCACTTGTCTACAATTCCTCATGAAACCATTGTGAACATACTGGTCGAGTTTCGTCGCACTACAGATTGATCAATTATGGAATTGACGGGAAACCGCAGGGAACAAAACGTACCTTCTTTCTCCGTCGTTTGCATGTCTCACAGCCCTTGGATGGGCCTCGGTAAACCATTGCAATGATGAATTCTTTCTATAATCTGATTTTGACTGTTATCATCAGAAGTTGAACTAGACTTTAGTCAGCCACGAGCATGCAATCAGGAAGCTAGTCTTTGTTAGGTTTAGTCTTACGGGTCCTTCCTGTGCAGCAAATTTGACTCCATTTGGTTAGACTGACGAAGTATACAGAATACAGATGAGCTATAGTCTGTGAAAATAATGTCCCCAAGGCACCTTTTATCATAGAATATTAGAGAGGCTTCCAGATATCCAAAGCCATCATGCCCCAGGACTAGATCCACGTCGATTTGCATACCTATATAACGGAGATAAATGCGGGCGACTATGCCCGAAACAGTTAATTAGTAAGGCTTCATGCGGGACAGCCTAATGTAGACACAGCATCCTTTTGTGATGGGATATAATTTATCATATCTGGTATATACGCTTTTTCCACACGTGATTAATATAATTACTTTTGGGTTGTACGTGGGAATATGATCATTCCTATACTAACGTGCTCCGTAGTATTTCCTGCTTTGTCTTTGAATAGATCTGAGAAACACCATCCAAGGCTGACAAACATCCTCAACGCCTCAATGGAGCAAACCGCTTGATCGATCATTTGCACAAGATATCTAGATTAAGCCTTGCCAAGCATGCCGTCAACCGTATCCTTCACACATGTCCGCAAATCCCTGTATTCTGTGCCCAACACACGCTTTGACTTGCTCACATCGAAGCGGAATATCTTCTCTGGGAAGTCATCGGGAGAGTCCACAGGAGGCAATCTGTCCCGCAGCTCTGGGTACAATTCACGGATGCAATCCGCAATCCGCTTGTTGCTGAAATAACCACCCACCAGCATGAAGCGCTGGCCGCTCGCTTCGGGATTTTCTAGGGCATTGATATGCGCCGTGGCAACGTCACGCACGTCAACAAACAAAAACAAGGGTCCGGTTGGTGTGATTTTGTCTCGGTTATTGCCTAGGACCAAGTCGCGGGTGCGGTGATTGCTTGTGTTGAGGGCGTCTAGACTGGTGAGGTGTCTAGGCGGAGGTCCGAAGACAAGACATGGGTTAATCGTGACCAAATCGAAAGACGGCTTTTCCTTCACTATGAACTCAAACGCAGCACGTTCGGCGTATATCTAGTGTGGAATTTGTCAATTACCAATCAGACAAATTCAAGAAAGGTGAATCGGTACCTTGCTCGCACGGTATGTCATCGTGCCGGAAATGGCTTGCTCCCATGTCGTGGCTCCGTAGACTTCTTCGTTATACACCTCAGGGTGGTTTGGGGGATTCACAATCGTGGCTGTGCTCGACAACACGATTACTCTTTTCACACTTGTCGGTGCGTACTTTTGGATTGAGTACAGAATCCCGGTTGTGCCTTTGACAGCTGGGTCAATGAAGTCTTTGACAGGGTCCTGGATGTTGTGATGGTAGGGTGACGCAGTATGAATCACATAATCAATGTTGGGATTTGCTTTGATAGACTTTATTGCATTATCGCACGAATTAGCCATCTCTCTGTCCATCATTCCTGTTCTCGCTCGAGCGGGAGAAGGAAAGCAAAGGATATCGTACCTCGTCAAAAGCTCCTTCTTGAGCAATATCTTCGACCACTTCGTATGAGACATCTCCTTTGAACTCTTGGGGCAAGGCAGAGATGATCCCGTCTCCTTTGATATTGGAGCGAACAGTCACAATCACATGATAACTAGCGAGATTACTGCATCAGTTTTGACCATTCTTTCTTTTACCTTTTGTTGTAGGGACAAAAATTCGTGCCATACCCCTTGGATAGCAGTTGATCTAAGATGTGAGATGCGATAAACCCGCTTCCACCTACGCACGTGTATTAGTCGAAATGATCGATGACTAAATATTAAGTGATATGGCTACCTACCTGTGAGAAAGACCTTCTTTTTGATGGTAGCAGCCATGCTGTGCGTGTTGGCGAGCGAGTATCAACAGTAAACGTAGAGAAGGAACATCCACCGACGGAGTTCAAAAGGGTTATTTATAAGGTACCTGTACCCCAGTACGCTTCAATTATATAACCAATATTGTTGTACTCGGGATGTAAGGGCTTGGTTTGGCAGTTAGCGCTTTAAATAGGATTTGACGCCGTGGGTGATGATGTACAAGCAAGCTATGTATGATCTTCCAACGTGTCTATTTGCACTATCCTCGGACATAAGTGAATACATGTAGTCCAACTACTGTATGTAGTACTACATGTGGGCCTAATTAGCCAAACTCCGACAACAAAACTCCGGTAGAGTTAGTGGGCATTTCTATTGGTTGCACAGACCTAAATAAGACTAGTAACATTGTTTCTGCTTGCTGATATTTGCTGGAATATGGCACTTTTGCGAGCCAATATTTATCCTACATCTCACGCTCCGCCCCCTAGTATGCTTTTACATCCCCTGAGAACGGGAGGTCCGAGCCCGGTCGACCTGCTATCCAATCCTGTATCTACTTAGTAGCATTCCTCTACGACAGTATTAAGGACGACATTAAGTAGTTATAAGAGGAAAGAAGATATATTATGGAGTTAATTAGGGTTATTGGGATTGCTTTGTAGGTATCTTTCTAAACATCCACCCCGCTCACAGGTTCGATTTCTTTCCCCTGAGTTGTCATTGGCACAGACTGCTCATCTATTGTGTCGTAGTCGATACCATATACTCGGCCTCCGTCCAAACTTCTAATTATACCGTATTTGTACGTCCGCCGCATGCTCAATATCCGCCCATTTCTTGTTTCGGTATCCATCAATGCCAAATCGCCGACATCACGGAGGATTTCCGAGTTGCAGAGGTAGAGAAGGACCGACAGCATCCTATCTAAGGGATAAGGAAAGTGAAGATTATCTCTTCGAAATAGTGCTAAAAGTAAACCTATTAGCATCAAGAGCAGAATGCTAACGCTCAGGTAGGTCGACACTAGGTATGCAGTATAGGATTGAGCACTGCTGAAAGGGATACCGGCAAGCGCGACAGTCAAAACCTCAGACAGTACTGTCATCAAAGCCATGTAGGCTAAGAAAACTCGCCGTCTTAGAAGGTGGGTAAATAGAGCTATGAGAGCATGCGGTTGGGATTCTACTAAGATTGTATCTTCTGCTCTGGCTTGGCCTTTGGCTAGACACCGGTATGGCTCGCGGATCCGTAGCTCTTCCCGAAAAGATCAGCATGTAGCTAGCAAATATAGGTTCGATGGTATGTATACCTTTCTCCAGCATAGTCCAGAATAATTTGATGAGAACTCCAATTGCCGTCATCATAAAACTGACCCCCATAGAACCAGTGTCCATGAACTTCTCGAAGCCAGTGGGAGACTTCAAGAAACGATAATATAATATTAACACCACCAATCCTAGCTCGACCAGTGCCACACTAGATAATGTAATTGCTCTTAATACTAAAGGAGTTGTTGAGACAGCTTTGATGTGTGGTCTTGTTGCCGGCATAGGCTGCGCTTGTCTTGATGTTGGTATTTGGCCTGGAGTCAGCTCCGAGGTACTTCGAGTGGTCTCTTGAAGAAGAATCGTCCCGGAGGATTGCGCCTCGACAATGGCATACTTGCCATGAAGCATGCGCTCTGCTTCAGATATGGAAGAGGTTCCCGAAATTCTGCGAAGCGTTTCAATGAAGGGTGTCGTTCAAGAGCGTCGCGAGACCCGCAATGCTTGAGCCTTCATTTCGAATGCCAGTTTGGTTGCCATAGCCGTATGCCAAAGCTATAACTCCGAAAAGGGTAATTGCAGTGAAGACGACTTCCATTCTAGCGATCGCCGGTCGGATTTGGACGTAAGGTGTGCAGTTATTACCTCCAGCCGTGCTGTTGCATACGCCTTGTGTACCGATATGCAGCACTTCGGAGGCGAACGGCACGCTGATTGCCAGGATGAAGGATATGAACGATGCACAGATAATGTTGGGGTGGTAGTTGACAATTGCGAGATAGAAGGTGACGGGTAGACTTGTAGTCGCGTACCGAAGTGACAGCGACGCTTGAGCAGAAACACCCCCGTCTTTGGCTAATTGTATGAAAGGCTCCATCTCTGCTAGCCCCGTGTATATGACTTCCCAGAGAATATTGTATATGACGGCGAGTAGGGTTGGCAGATACGCCGCGACGAAGTACTGAGAATCAGACCACGTCGTGAATGCCGTAAACATAGATGGAGCAGGAGAACACGAGTCTGCAGGCTCGCCAGGCGAATATGGCGAACTTGAACATGGTCTCTCTCTGCTGGAATTCACGCAAAGGGCAAAGAATATGAGTACGGCTAAGGTGGATAAGCCAAAGATCAAGAAGCTGGTAGTACGAACGGCGCGTGGTTTATAGCAATCCTGAGCGCATTCTGTCTTGACCCTAGGTGCCATATTGCTTCCTCCACTTGGTACCATGTGTGGTGAAGAAGACGTTGGTTCTTTAGCAGTAGAGGGGCAATTCGAACATTAAAATAGTGCATCCGCCTCCGCCTGTTTAAACCGGACTTATTGCCTGTTCTGATACATATCAAGCCACAAGAGGCTTATGCTGTCCAGCACAGCCTAGTTCTGATTGCAAGGCTGAGAGGGCCTGAGACACTGGCTCGATGACACGCTAAAGCTCTGGTAGGGTTCCAATAATGCGTAGGAAGGGATGCAAAAGTCTAGCAAGCTCTCTACCGGTGCAATGTAAAAGTTCACAGTTACCTGGTATTACGTGAAGTGTTATTTGTTCAGTCTGACTATGAGAATATGAAGAATAACTGCTACCCATCTAACATACATATTAATATTTGAGGGAATTGAACGCATCACACCAGTAGAGCTACGCAGCGCCAGAGCTAGCAACAAAGTCCAGAAGCTCTTTGACAGTCAGATGTAATCCAAAATCCCAGTCTCCGAACTGGATACCAAATGCATCTTCAAAAGCTTCTTTGAGCTCAATCACCGAGAGCGAGTCGATCCCAATGTCTTGGAGGCTAACTTCATCTCCAATGTTGCCGATGGCCTCGCCAGAGTTCTCCGCAATCAGTTCGAGGATCCTCTGTCTGATTCTAAGCTGTGACTGAGAACCCACTCCTCGTAATGCCGGTGGAGTGTGCTCTGTCGAGGGAGACGATGGTCCATCAAGCTCGATTTCGTCGACATGTTCCACATGCCCGACATGCACTGGCTTGCCATTGACGGGTGAATCGTTCGCGAACAGCTTGTTGTAGAGAAGTGCGACCTGTGCGAAATCGTTTTGAGAGGAAATCTCATTACCGAATTCAGCACGAAGCTGGTTCACGAATTCAAGCTTGGACAGAGAATCCAAGCCTAGTGTCCCGAGATTACTATCATTCTTGATCATGGCTGACTTGATGACAGAAGGTCGCATTGAGACGCTGTCTTGTGCCACTAGAGTTTGGTCATCGATTTCTACTGTCATATTTGGCTTGAAAGCGTGTCCGTTTACGGCAGGTTTCGCATTTCCATTGGTCTGAATTAAATAATCCGAGCTCCGTCGAGTAGATAGCCCCCTTTTGTTGTTATCGTTACTGCTTGGGGATTTGGCACCACTGTTCATGCCAATACCTTCAAGGACCTTCTCAAGTTTGGCAATGGGGAAGCGACTGAATTGCACACCAGAACCGGTGAAAATCAGCTTTCCCTCCTTGGTGAAAACGAACATGTCGCCCGCAACATGGGATTCACTGCGCGTAGTTGCCATAGCGTAGACCTTCCAGCTGTCGGACTGGGAATCGGAAAAGTCGCAGTCTTGCATGATGATGCTATCAATACCGGTTGCAATGAATACTTCGTCTGCCGGACAAGTCTCGCTACTATTGATCAGCAGTCCGACTACCTGTATGAAGGTGTCTAGTGTGACCGTATCACAAACGCCCGCTGCCGTGCTCTCAGTAGTACTAACTGCCACTTTAGGCCGAGAGACTTCTGCTACCGCATGGCGGTTGTTCAGAATTGTGATTTCCGTGATACCACGTAGAGTGTCGGCGTAGTTGACGACTCGGGAGAAGAGCGTATACGCTCGGCCAGCCATCAATCTCTCCGACTGGGGGTGGACGAGAATTTCATTCATTCTGTCTGCAATCATGCGCTCATAAAGTTGGAAATCAATGTGGGACGACACGCTGAACCTGCCCTTGGCGTGGGTTGTTGGTCTCCCCTTTGAATCCTTGACGGTGCTGCGCACGGTGAAATTCCAGGCTAGGTACTCCCCGTCTCCCTCTAGTAGGAGGGAAACGTCGCGCGAATAGTTGATACCCAGTGCACCCTGGAAAGAAAGATTCTGGAACGTCAGCGACTTGACTGAGACGCTAGGCTCGACCATTTGAGCGGCCATTACTACACATTCCATATACATCGATGCCGGACACAGCGGCTGGTCACGGACTGCATGTCCAGAGACAATGTCGGTGAATCGACTGGTTTCAGTATGTATGGCAAATTCAAGAGATGACCAAGAGGTGGAATCTCTTCTCCGAGCAGTGACCAATCTCATGGACGGCGAGTGAGGTTGTTGGATTACGCTGCCATTGGGACTGGCAGAGCGAATCCTTGCTTCTGATATTTTGCGCTCCTCTGTCACCACATCCATGTATTGCAGCCAGTGACGGGTACGTTGGAACTGGTATGGTGGAAGCCATATTTGTTTGAAGGCAATTGACCCTTCAGCACCCGATGGCGAAGAGTAGAACCCTGCGAAGAAAGAGGCCGAGATGCCTTCTTGCCACAAACTTATGCTTGTCTGAGAGATAATATCTGTGGGACGAGCAGTGTCTTTGGCTTTCAACTTAAGGAATGTATGCTGCGACGGGTTTTGGACAGCTCTCTTTACCATCGGGATAATGGGAGAATCACTGCCCGCTTCAAGCCAAACGCAGGGCCCTAGACGGCTTTCCAGCCTTGCAACTGCATCTCCGAAGTATACCGGCGTTCGGGTATGTTGCACGATACGGCTGGCGTCGATTGTTTGTTCATCGACCTCGGCTGGAACTTCTGTGCATGTCTCAAGTGGGATTGAAGGCGTCTTGAAATCTAGGGCTTGAGCAACGAGATCAAGCTCTTCCAGAAGTGGCTCAGTGAACACAGAATGAAATCCGTGGCTCGTTTTGACTCTTGCAAGCCGAGTACCCTTAAATCGAGCGTCAGTAGTGATCAGCCGTTCGACCAGCTCGATGTCGGAATCAGTTCCAACAAGGACCTGGCTAGTTTTGGCATTGTAGCAAGCAATCTCAAGACTGCGATTGACAGTTGAGATGATTTGTCTTGCTGTCTCTACGCTTGCCTCGACGGCAAGCATTGTGCCTCGTTGCGGTCCCCATTTAGTCTGCATCAATGAGGCCCGCGCAGCGACCAGCTTGAGAGCATGTTCAAGTGAAAGTACACTGGTGACAGCCAAGGCTGTCAACTCGCCAAAACTGTGACCAACAGCGGCATCTACTTTTACGCCTGCGTCGATCCAGCACTTCGCACATGCATACTGCACCGCAAAGGTGCCACATTGCAAGGCTACCACGTCCTCTACAGGATCAGATGCGAACACTGCAGGTAAGATCGCAGAGTAGCCCAGGCGCATGATAGTATTATTGCACAAATCAATGTAGTGCCGGAGGCGTGGAAAGCTAACATACCACGATGCATCGAGTCCTATTGTTTGCTTGCTTTGGCCTGAGAATGCTAAAACCACAGACTTGGGTGTTGTTGGCACTTCCACGCCTTCCTCTACCTGATCCAATTTCTGGGCCAATGCCTCAAGGTCATGTGCTTCACCATTCCATTGCACGCGGTGGTGTTTGCGGCGATCATACAAGGTGAAGGCAATGTCGGCAATGCGCAGGTCCTGTTCACCACGATTCTGGCGAATGTAGGATGCTAACTTGCTAGCATTCGCTTTTAGACTGGCGTTGTTGATGGCACTGATTAAAATCGGGTACTGCAAGGCTTCATCTTCGTTTGTCTTTATATGGCTTAGTGATGCTGTGGCCATCGCTGTCATTCTGGGAGCCTCGGCACATATCAATGCTGAGTTACTACCAGCCGCACCATAACTATTGACACATGCAGCACGGAATGAGACATCCCACGATTTTACTTCCGTTGGAATGCGCAAGAAGTCGGGCTCGAGAGCGGGAATCTTGGGATTGAGTGTCTTGAAACCGGCCAGAGGAGGAATCTTCCCATGTTTCAGCATTGCGAGGACTTTCATCAAACTGCCTATGCCAGCGGCAGTCTCACTATGCCCGACGTTTGCCTTCAGAGATCCGAGATTCACAAAGTCACTTCTTTGTGAACCACCGAATACCTCACGCACACTTGAAATCTCTATTGGGTCGCCGACCTGTGTGCCGGTGCCATGTGCTTCGACGTAAGATATTTGACCGGGTTTCAGTCCGGATTGTTTAACCACATTCTTGAAGAGGCTGATCTGAGCACGGTAGTATGGCACGGTAATCGCCGGTGAGAGACCGCCCTGGTTGGTGCCAACACCCATAATGACACCCAGTACATCATTTCCATCAGCTACTGCTTGACGCAGCGATTTCAGCGCAACTAATCCAATGCCATCCGCGCGACAGTAACCATCCGCAGTCGCATCGAAGGGCTTGCATTGTCCAGTTGTGTTCAAAAATCCTGCTTTGCCCAAGTCGAAGTAGTTATTGACCCCCGTGATGACATTTACACCACCTGCAAGGGCCATAGGACATTCACCAGACTGAATGGCTTTGCAAGCTCGGTTGACTGCAACAAGCGACGCGGAACAAGCCGTATCAATAACCTCAGACGGACCGCTCCAGCCAAAATGATAGCTAATTCGCCCACTCTGGAAGGCTCGAATTGTTCCTGTTGCTGTGTATGCGGTTGGATTGTATGAACTAGTGTTCTCGAGGTATTCCGTATAGCTAGCCCCGATAAAACAGCCAACATTGTCGAAGTCATCTCGGCGGTGAGTTCGCAAGTAGCCACTAGCATCCAAAGCCTCATACGCAGTCTCGAGGAGTAGGCGCTGCTGTGGGTCCATGTACATGGCTTCACGAGGGCTAACACCGAAAAAGTTACTGTCAAACGATTCGACATCGTCGAGGAAGTTACCGTACAACTCTCTCCTGCTGGTTTGCTTAGCATCCGGACCAACAGTGCCGCGAGAAATTGTGGACAAATCAAATCGTGAAGGCCGTAGCTTTTCAACTCGTGATGTACCGGAGCTGAGGATGTCCCAGAGCTCGTCGATGGAATTGGCGCCTGGCAGTCGGCAACCAGCACCGACAATGGCAATGGCATTTTCGGGGTACTGATCCAGCGTCCGTCCGTCTCGAGGAATGTCTAGCTTCTCGACGTAGGTCGCAATGTCAAGTTTGGAGATACGCTGTTGCTTCTGCTCGAATGGTGCTAGAGGAACACAATTCTTTCTCCCAGTCCCGAAGAGAGCGAAGGTGTGCTCCTTGCCTGTCTCGTCCAGCTTATCTGCCATGACACTCAAAAGGTCATACCACTCGCATCGATTTGCAAGTGTGCTCTCCAGTACCTCAAGTGAAAGAGAAGTAATTATGCCGGAATGTCTCAATTCCTTGCTAGTTTTGTTTGAGCGCATGGAGGTTTGCAAGGCAGCAGGGGTTGGGAGCAATAACAAGTCGGGATATTTCTCGCACAGTTCGATAAACTCCTTGCACAACTCGGCGTTCTCGGGGTTGTGGACCTTGCCTCTGAGGTGCAATTTGGTAGCTTTGAGCCCCTGTGATTCAGCATATACTCGCAGATCTTCGACGACCTTTGTAGGGCCAACGATGCTTATAGTTTCTGGGTCTGTGATTGCCGAGATATATGTCTAATGGAATCGTAAGCATTTCATTAGGATATAATTTCGAGAATGGAATTGGAATAGACGTACTCCAGGAAACTTAGCTACGATCTCTCCTGCCTGTCCAAGATATTTCGTCCGCAAGACAACAGTAGTTGGTCCCGGCGTATCCGGGTCATCACCCAACTCTGCATACGCACCAATAGCTAGCGATAGTCTCAAGGCAATACCAGCATTCTTAACAACCTCCTCTTCGTTGCGGGATGCCGCTATGGCTGCTGCTGGCAGTAAGCCACCACAGTAACCCTGGGCACCGCCGACTCTTATTTCTTCGACGAATTGCTTATGTCGTATTTGACGGGCTTCCAGATATTGGAAGTACTGAACGATTTGCATGATTGTCAACAGCGGGAGTGATATTAATCCAGACATTATTTCTGTCCATTCCATTTGTGATGATGTAACTGGTGATTCTGTGGCAGCAATCCAATCATGGAAGTGTTGGATGTATCGAGGACCCTGGGTCATGGCTGCAATCCCGGGGTGTGCATCCGCGAGGATCTCCCATGTTGTGGAGAGGCTGTCAAGTATGGCAACTCGGAATGGAGCAAGGAGCGTATTACTACGTAGATAGCGACGAATGGTATCCAAATACTTTGGTTTTGGTGGTTTGTTCTGAGGGCAGAAGAATGCTGCCGATGGCCTCGCAGCGTCTAAGAGTTTTGACTCCATTCTGGCCTGACTTGTTCCCCTTGTCGAATTTAAGGAAAATATGAAGATTGGTAAACTGAGTTAGATGGAGATAGAATAAGAAGAAAAGAAAAGAAAGAATAAGAAGTTTGTAGAGGAAAGTCTTGGGTTCGTGTAAGTTTCACGCCTGTCTGGTCTGAATGAATAAATGAGAGATCGCCCTGGGTACCACGAGAATGTTATTGGAACCACTGCTCCAGACACTGAGAGTGTTCGTCAAGGAGAAGGATTATCGCCAATACGAAACTCGTGCATGTATATAGTCAAGACCAAAGGTTCGTATTACAACTGCTGTGGACCGAGCGGTCAAGCCCTAATTCCGAATTTGGTCGGTACTATAAACCCAAAACGTGAAGCAGCAATAGAACAATTTAAACCTATCAAATATGTTTAAGGTTTGACCTTGAAACTCCGATGAAGCTCTATTATTGAATGATATGCTTTTCCTTTCCTCTTCGCTCGCCACCCCGAGGTATCAACGTGTTTTCCTACCTGATGTAAGTCCGGTAACCCCGGGTCTATTGAATCTAATATAAACTCCGTCTACACTCGCACAACTCAGTCTTATCCAGTTGATATCTCAATATCTAGCTATTTGGGGATCTGCTGGAACGTTATTTTATAACACGAACGTTGTAGGAATCGCCGACTTGCTATTGTCCTCTCAGAAGTTACAATTAGGACTTCCGAAACTCGGCTTAATGCTGCTCAGAGTTGGTAGTAGAGGTATATCAAGCTTACTTTTCTTGCGGAGTTACTTCGGATTATTATTTGTTATATTGATCATGCAGGAATATGTCAATCATGGAGTAGGGAGTGCTTGCCGGTTTTACTTACAGGATGAAGTGCCATTATGGTAGGCTCTAGTCTCATATGTTCTAGGAATCAGTTTCTGATATGCGTGCACTTTCAAATGTGGCTACATAATTTGATATACTACGAAGGAAGCACAAATTTGAAGTGAACAAGCTAGGTTTGCTATTTTTGACATGGTTCGTACGGCCTATAATAGAACTCAACAATCGGAGACTATCCATAGGTATTTGCATAAGAATCTGTCAGCGTAACGTTCAGCTTCTCAAAATATAGCTATGTTTCTGAACTAAATGACCCCAAATATTCGATTCAATGTCTACCTGACACACCTGGGCAAATGACAGAGTATGATAAGGACCGATATAACTGTTTATTTGAGCAACGAATTCTTCAAAGCCACAACCACATCCTTTAGAATCTTAGATGCCATCTCCTCGTCTTGATACGCCTCATTATAAACAAGACTCAGATCCAATTGGCCACGGAATATCCATAGAAACAGCAATGGCTGTCGTGTCAAGGTCTCGACCCCCAGCCCTACCCTCAGGACCTCTAGTGGACCGCTTCTTGTCTCATAGACAGAAGTTACCATGGCATCTGTATCCGTAACAAAAGAAATATCGATGTTGCTTGGTGGGGGGTTTGGCAACGGTAACCCTTTTTGAAGTCCTTCGACAGCCATGGCGGCGAACTGGCGACGGGATTGCAGGAATTCTGGGCTTGCACCATGCTTGTATTCATGCTGGTATTGTCTCGCAATTTCGTCGAACGAATCTTTTCCAGCGACTTTAATTATGTAGCCTCCGGTGTAGACACCAGCGGCAACTGACGGATTGTTGGTATGGGGGCTGATGAGATGAGGTCTCAAGCTGAGCCTGATTGTGCTAGCATATTGCATTTCGTCGTTTGTCTTAGCCGCAAAGGCTGCATCTGCATTCTCGAAGTTGACAATTGCCAAAGCAGCATGAACAGCGGAGAATAGGTCGATGTTACGTTCGTCACTGGCACGCTGCAAAGCCTCGGTAGTTTCCTTGCTCAATTGCATTCTGGCAGTGCGAGTGCCGCCTGGTCGAGTTGTCATGTCGCCACTATAGGAGATTCCAACACTGTCTTTCATGTACAATTGAGTACTAGCATACTTTCTGGCACTAACAATTGTCTCCGGCGTCGCAGTTTCGGACAAATTCAAGGCACTTTCCACGCTGGGCACCAGGCGAGCAACTTCCTCTCCCCATGATAACTCTGGCAAGCCATCATTATCAATAACGGCCTTGACAGCATCGAAAAATGCATTCACCAACTGGAACGCACCGTAACCGTCGGTGCGCCAGTGAGAAGTGTGAAGTAGAACTTCCCAGCAATGAGGCACAAAGTACAGAGTCATGAAAGGACTTGGTTTGATTCTAGCAATCACATCTTCCGCACATGTGTCCTCTCCAGCTACAATAAAAGTTTCATCTCCCCAGCTTTCCAGGTCTTTCTCACTTGGTACAGCGTATTCCAAGTTCTCGCTTCCAACGGTGGGCGCAGTAGCTATGCTGGGATGTTGAAAGCGCATTAGCTTCCAGGCATCACGAAGCGTTGTTGCAGCCCACTCGGTGGCTAGACGATTGTCGCTGGGTTTGAAGATTGCAGTCGCTGAAACAGACCATTGCTCGCGACCGGCGGGATGCGCGCGGTCTCCGATAAATTTGATGAGGCGTTCGTTTTCTCCCAACGGCCGCTGGTAGCGGTTGAAGGAGGTTTTCTGCCAAGACATTGTTGGTGTTCAATCGTAGCGTGGTCTAACTTCTTATAACTAGACTTTCTACCTACTGACGATAGGTATGAATGAACGCTTGTAGTTTATACTTCTCGACAAAATCACTACGTCCCAACCAAGACTGCATCTACGCCGTCTCGCTTCACATGACAACGACCTTGTTGACGTTGCTAATGCACTTTTTCAATAATTGTTAGCCCGCTGTAACATAGACTTATAAGTCTTTCGTTTCTTTTTTCCTCCTTTCGTAGCTCCATCATGCGGGAAACAAGACGTGCCAACAGCAGGCATGGAAATACAAATGGACTTTCAGTTACTCCATTGTATCCTCAATGTTGTCCTCGGTGAGTAGTATTCTACGAAGATACTATATGCAGTTTCTCTTTGATTGCGTGGATGCAGCAACGTAAGTGCCCCTCGTCAACATCCTTGGAAGTCAGTCGTCTTAGAAATTAGGGCCACACATATCACGTGTCTCCGGGAAAAGAATATTTATTTACACCTTTCCCCTTTCCGCGCGACGATATAACCAGCCCCTCACCTTTCTAGGCATTCAACTACAATTCTCTGGATTCAAATTTTCCATTGGCGGCTTATGGGTATGGAGCGGCGCCACACTTTGCCTTTCGTCTCCGTAGGTCTCGTCTGCGTCAAATGCCGGGCATTAATTTGTGGCCCACCTGGCTGTCAATAGACCACCCCAGACGAAGGGATGTATCTACTGTGTAGGTAAATCGGTGCATTCAAGTCAGTCTAGATCTGAGCTTGAAATGATACGTATTTCTTTCTTCTCTTTTATCTCGCCGAGATATCCATCAGTTGCTATGCTTTCACATGCAGTTTGACGATCCTCCGAATGATGAATGATCTATTGAATTTAGTAGCAGAGCCGCCGAAAGGTGTGTTCATCCAATAGTCTTAGTAAATCATAGTAGCTAATCGTGCATAGACCGAGCGTAGAGCTGCCGGCTTTTTTTCTGCCGATGCCGACCAAATTGGTTGCATGTTTCATATCCTGCACGTCTCTCACACGAGATGCAAGCGAAGTCGTTACATATGGCGCCCTGATCTACCAAGTCATGTAATGTAGCCTTCAGTTCTCAACATTCCAAGAGGAAAGAAAACAACTAAAAGTGCCCGGCTAGAACAAAGAAAGGCAAGCGAGACACAAAAGAGGAAAAAAGACAAAAGACGGATGTATAAATTTTCACGCTAATATTTTAGAACTGAAAATGAAAGGCTATGATTGGTCTGGTGGTTCATTTTGTCATAATTGCGCCAGAGAGGTGGCGCCGGACTTTAGCGGACTCGGGGATTTGCAATCCCGTCCCGCATTTTCCCTTTTGGGCGGGCATAAGTGGTCGAATTGACAGTTAATCTCTAATCTTATGCTTGGGGTTTGGCCAGGTTTTGCTGTGCTTATTTGCCTTTGCATACCTTTTCCCGAGTCCGGGTCTTGCCTATCTAGGAAATCATGGCACCATCTGGGTTCGCAAAGCACCATTTTCTTTGTTCCCCGTGGTCGTGGGCGTTTGTGGTCGCTTATTTATTTACTTACCCTCAACCATCCACCACCTGTCTCTTTCCACACTCCCAGGCAGTTTCATTTCTCTGTTTAACGAACTCAGACCGTCTCATACAGCTTTTCCCTCAAGTCACCACACTCATCAAGACACAATACCAGCCATGGCTCCCGCCAACAGAGCAGCTTGGATTACGGCTGAGAGGGCAGTCCCTCTCGAGGTGAAAGAGTCAGAATACGTCGCACCCACAGACAATGAAATCGTCGTCAAGGTGCACGCCATTGCTCTCAACCCAGTCGACTTTGCGCGTCAATTGATGGGCGCCAAGTTGTTCCCTTGGACCAAGTATCCCACTGTCTTTGGCACTGATGTTGCAGGAGAAGTCGTGGAAGTAGGCGCAAAGGCTACCAACCGCTACAAAGTTGGCGATCGTGTGATCGGTCTAGGTAATGGTCTGGAAACCAGTCGTCCCGCCGACGGTGCTTTCCAGGAATACGTCGTGCTCCGTGAAGATTTGACTTCACTAATTCCTGACAACCTGGAATATGAACAAGCATCAGTCATCCCTCTCGGTCTCGCTACGGCTGCAGCTGGCCTCTTCCAGGCCGACCAACTCGCTTTGGACCTCCCAACCGCCCCCGCGCGACCACCCAAGGGTGAGACTGTCTTGATCTGGAGCGGTGCCTCAAGTGTTGGTAGCAACGCTGTGCAATTGGCGGTAGCAGCCGGCTACGAGGTTATCTCTACCTCTTCCCCGAAGAATTTCGACTACGTTAAGAAGCTGGGAGCTAGCCAAGTTTTCGACTACAACAGTCCCTCAGTCGTCGCTGACATTGTTGCCGCCTTCAACGGCAAGAAGAGCGCCGGTGCCTACGCCATTGGCTTCACTGCTGCTCAGCCTGTTATCGACATTGTCAGTCAACTCACTAACGGCCCCAAACATGTCGCCGTATCCAACCAACCCCCCGCCGAGCTCCCCGAGGGTGTCACTGCCAAAATGGCATTTGTGGGTGGCTTGAAGGCAACTCCCGTCGGCCCAGCCATCTTCAACGAATTCGTGCCCAAGGGTCTTGCTGATGGAACTTTCGTTGCCGCTCCCCCTCCCAAGGTTGTTGGACAGGGCTTGGAAAGTATTCAGGGTGGTCTTGATACTCTCAGAGCCGGTGGTTTGTCGGCAACTAAGCTCGTGATTAAGTTGTGAGCTTTCTTTGTACAAGCGAAGCTGGAAGAAAAACTAGCTGTTGATGATGATGATGATGTATCATGATTCATGTTGAAATAATCTTTCAATATCCACAACGTCTTTGTATTCTCCCTTGTTACATTCCATGTACTCAAATAAAATCTTTTCTTCAAGCCTTGCTGGGGGAACAGTAATAGGGTCGAGGTGTAAGTAACTACATACATATAATATGATATGAATGATGTTCCATGCGATTCCTTAGAGAACTAGGCCGTGGTCAAAATTGGCCTATGGTGTTAGGTCTCTACTTTTGTGTAATAAATCCCTCTATGACGCTTATAATCGATCAAGTTTATACATATCTTTATCTATTCGCCGTGACATTTCCGTCTCTGTGACACAAGTGAAGCATAATAGTATATAAATACTTAAAAGCCTAGGCAGGCTGTCAATGTTCAGAGCGTTTGGAAGTATATAAGTTGAATGTGGGAGTATTTGAGATCTATCAAAAGGCTATGTATACCTTCAAGAAGGTTCATAGGGCTTCAAAGATGATATGTGTGATGCCTGTTTTAGCAATATCTGATAGGATTCAGGTAAATATAAGGATTACAGCACAAATAGAATAGAAAAATATGTTTGTAGTTTGAGTTTTACATATACCATCAATTGAACCAGACCCGAGATCTTCCTTATAATTAAGATGTTCAACAAAAAAAAGGTCTCAAACCTGGGCACAGAGTGTCAAGTTGAATTGAATTATGTGTATGAGCATCTGCGAGTGTCTTCGACCTCCGAATTTCAAAATAGCTAAGTGAGTCAGAGAGTCTATAATGTATACATGAAAGGCAATTCTTGACGTAATTCATGACTCGATTTCTGACTAACTCCTCGACATAATCTACGCAATTATTTTAAATAGCAGGATGTCTCTTCAATTTGGCTCTCGATATCCCCTCTTCCATCAGTCAACTCTACAATCTTTCGAAGCATACACTCCATAAACCATGTGCATATTCAATACACAGATGACCTTGTGTGACCATGTCATTGGTACACCAGAATATTATCCCGCCAATCCGAAGGATTGTCCTGATGCTGTTTCCAATGCTAAGAAAAAGGACAAGGTAAAGCATTGCACTGGCGAGAAGCTTACGCGCAACATCGTCCGTTACATTCGCTATTGCGATAATGATGAGCAGTGCCGCCAAATGGTATTCGATTTGAGAGGTTGGACATGCCATCTGTGCTACTCGGCAAATCCTCCTAAGGAAGCCAGATGCAAATGCATTCACGCTCATTGTTCCAAATGTGAGCTAGCTTAATATGACCAAGGTTCATAAGTTGTACCCACTTTAATTCCAGCAAGAATTACAAGACTAAACCGAGAATTAGTGATCGACTTTCATTGGTTGTTATGGCAAATCAGAGGCTTGCAAGGAAACATGCATGGGAGGGGATTGTCCTGTATTCAAGCAGAAAGTACTGAATCAATCATCTCTTCCTCCCAAATTTTCAGCCCAAACTTAAATATTAGAGCGCGTATTCTTTGCTACCCAATTCACTAGACCCACCAGTATGTTATCGCGGTGCAAGGATTCTATACTGAGTCTGGTAAGTAGAATATTGAATACAATCTAAAAAGCGGCTCCATATTCTATCTTTGTCACAAGGGTGCAGTGTTAGTATCGACTATATGGCACAGAAGCTTAAAGGCACCTAGGTAAGTTGTGGTTTATATATCGCGCCTGGTTACGTCCAAGATTCTTGTGGATAGTACCTAGGTACTTTCAGGTACTTGTTCAGAACTTTGGTGTCTTGTGGAGGTTAGGGAAATTATGAGACGTATTTAAGATGTTAGAAGCAGATCTGCGTCTTCTCAGTACGGTATTAGCCTAGGTACATGGTTTGGTTATTGACGAACAAGATGGTTATGTCTGTTATTGCTTCTAGTCTAGCTTTGACATCCTGCACCCTCAGTCGAATCGGACTTGATAAGCCTGTCACTATTAGTTCTTTCCCGGTTTTTACAGCTCCAACGTCCGCCTCTCAAATTCACGACTTTGCTAGAGTATAAGCTCTATAAAAGTATGTGTCAATTGACTAAAACAAGGTTCGTGTGCCAGCATGCCGCTGATGTTGCATTCTGGACATCCCCCCAATGCGGATGATTGTCCACAGGCAACTGCCACGAATGCTCGGGATATGAATGATCAGCTACTGCAGTGCACAAATGAAAATTACAGCGAAGTCATCGACATTGTGCATGACTGGTGCAGGTGGAGGACGGAGTGCCGCATAAGGGCATTCAAAACGAATGGTTGGCAATGTCGTTATTGCAAAAACGTAAATAATCCTAATGAACTGACAAAATGTGGTCGTTGCAGGCACGTGTCTTGTAATCAATGTTTGGTGCGGTAATGTAACACTGGTTTGGGACACTATCAAAGCTAAGTCAACAATTAGTGATATTGCTATGGCGAAATGGAGGCGTAAAAGCCAGGGATTGTCCTGTATCAGTACTAAATCAATAATCTATCCCTCCAAATTCCCAGTTTCCTTTTCCTAGTCTCACAATCTGCTATCACCGTGCAAGCATTATAACACAATTTGAAAGGAGACATCACTCTTTATGTTTGCTATACGGGTGCTTTGTTCTATATCTGCTACAGTCAAAAGCTTGAAGGTAATCCATAGCATCACAACTTAAATCAAAATCCGTACGAGGAAGGTGGTCAGATTTTCGAATTTAAAAAACATCTCAAGAATTTATTTAGGGAACTCATAACTTGCTTGGCTCTAGATCCACAAGTGAAGTCAATATAGCATCCGTCGTGGCTCGTTCACCCCGTCATACCAAAAGGTGATTTCGAATGCCTTATCATATAGAGAAATATCTCTGGACGGATACGTAGATTGTACTGTACAATATTTTATCGACTTTTGAACGTGGAGGAAGCTCAATATTGTTGCCGATACTTGGTAAACTGACATAAACTGACGATATCTTGCTCTTTGCTTGTGTGTATTTTACTCCAGCAAATATTATATAGACTAGACACATCTCTCCAACTTGATGCCAAGCTCTTGCTCTAACTTCTGCTGAACCATGTCAAGGACCTGCAAGGGTATCTTAGCTTCGTAGTACGCATAATTGTAGTTGATTGACAGATTCAGCTGTCCGCGGAATGTCCACGGGTATAGGAGCATCTGGCGAGTCATCACGCTGACGCCGAATCGAAATTTGGTCACTTCAACGGCGGGGGTCTGTCTTTCATTAGCGCTGTAATACTGTCGACGAATAAATTGGTCAATAACGCCTAGGTTGCTGTGGGTTATTCCGCTTGGTGGGTTAGGAGGAGGGCCTGGGGGAGGGCCTGGACGAGGGGCTACGAGGGCCTGGGAAGCCCCTCGGTACAGTTCACGTAGTGCTTGTGACATCTTTTCTGTATGCCAGTTCTTGAACAATTGCGTCAGTGATGTGGTCTGTTCCTCGAATGTGGCATTCTTAGCCACCGTGGGAGGTATGCTTGAGACATATGTGCGGCATGCATGTTCTTCCGTGTTGTAAGGTTCTTTGAGGTATGGCCTATAGCTCACTGCCATGATCGTGACATACTCATTTACGTCTTTTGCGGCCGTCATTTCGAATGTGGTTGTCGCAAGGGCTGCATGAATAGCCGCTGACACGCTGATTCTGCGCTCCTTGCACGCGTCGACGAGGGATTTTGAACTTTCCGCAGTGAAACTAATTGCCTGTACGGCAGGATTTCCTGGAGGCGTTGTTCGGTCGCCATTGTACGGCAGTCCGATTGACTGGAGAGCCTTTTCTCGGAAAGTAGTGCTAATTTCCTTTGCCGTGTTCTCGATTTCAGCGGTCGTTGTCATCGGTGATCCAGCTGCATCTTCTAAACTGGGCGAGATTCTAGCCAAGTCATTCTCAACACTCCAGTTTTCAGGTGGAATACCAGTTGCCTTTGAGGCGACTAGCTGGAAGAGTCGGTTGAGCAGCATACAGCTGCCAACGCCGTCAACACGCCAGTGCGATGTCAGGAAGAGGACCTCCGAAGTGGCTGGCAGCCAAACCAGTCCTGGCAGATCTCGTATTTGGTAATCGGCAAGTATTTCCTCGACGGTTAGGATTTGCTCGACTCGGAAGGTCTTTTGGGCCCATTCCTCAGCCGTATTTGCAACAGCGTCGATGCCTTCCTCTTCTCCAAGAACAGTCACATTTCTCCCCCCGCCAGTATAAACCGCCTCATAGCCGTCAACAACAAGAGTGAGGGCGGGGAACTCAAACCGTAATGCTTTCCATGCATTGCGTAACAGTGTAGAAGCGAGGTCTGCATTCTCGGAAATGTTTACTTTGCAGATAGTATAGAGACCCCAGTGTTCACGCCCGGTGGCACGGAAAATTGTCGATTGGAACCGATAGATCTTTTCCACGCCACCCAGCTCTTTGCGCCATGTCCCATCTTCGATTTGTTTCCAGGCCATGGTTGATTGGTGAATGTTTCTCGGACGTGTACACAGTCTGAAAGTCAATTTGCACATGGATTAGGTTAACTAGCAATGAATCCTACGTATCTATAATATCTGGAGTCGGCAAAATAGCCATTTTGGCAAAGTAACTGGGTACCTACCTAGGTATGGGGAATAATATCTGATTGGAATCCCCGACTCGGATTACATATTGCATGGTCGAGGACTATACATTGATTGCTATAATAGAAAGTCCGAGACAGATGTACCGTACACTGAACAATGTATGTTACCTATGTAAGAAAAGCACGATAAGCTCATATAAAGGCGCCTACTGTGAATTGCACATGCTGGTCTCGATTGGGAGAACAATATATCTGTGAAACAACCTTTGCCACTTTTCACCCGCATAAGCCATTCGTCCATCTGAGATATTATCATACTTTTAAACGCACTCGCCTGTTGCTGGAGACGACACGGAGTCGGAGTTTCTGTTTCTTTGCTAGAAATTGAAAGATATCCGCATCGGGGCCGGGGCTGAAATGCTGCAGAGAATGTTGGGAGCACCAACCGCTGGGCTTAACAACATCACGTCGTGGCACGTATAGTTCGAAGGAGTCTCAACGCTGCTAGGGTTGAGAGTAAGCATCAAGTAAGTTTTGCTGTATTTAAATTTGACTTTGGTGAGTATGGGGGCTGGCAAGTATATTAAGTAGGAACTATGTATATCGCGAGAGTCGGAGAAATTCCGAGACGTCTATTAGTAGAATAAATTTGATTAATACTATGTAATTATATCAATGTAACGTGTGTAGTGAATAGCATCACCCAATGTACTCCGCCCACTGCATCCACTCCCTGTCCTTCTCCGTTAGTGTCTTGATCTCGTCGTCTCCCAGACACAGCCATACATCGCAGTCACCGCCGGGACTACCGGGGAAAAACACCAATAACCCTGGGAACACGACGCCTGGCTTGGGTCGCCTCACAAACTCCGGCTGGCCTAGGACACCGAAGCTGGGAAACAGCACTTTCCCAAGTCCTCGTACACTAGAGCAACCCACATCTGTAGCGGGATTGAACTGCCCCCCGTATGTTATAGTAGATTTATCCGGGGTTTTTGCAATGAAGGTAGCAAAACTGCGAATGTCATACGCTGTATTCTTCGCGTTGAGATGTCTTCGGAGGTGGGATGCAATCCGTGCGAGGGGCCAGGTGGTGAGTTGCTCGAATGTAAGAAAAGTTGAGACATTATGAATCACGTCGCCCATGTAGTCCTTCGAGATTCCCAACGCTGCACGTCCGTCGACCGCTCGAGCAAAGCGGGATTCTGTTTGGGGGCCAAATCGGTGCGCGCGTGCAAGGGTGAAATGTTTCCAACATAATGCACTCAAGGCATCGTCTGTAGAAATAAAAGGCACATCGGGATCTAGGCCCTGGCTTGCCAGGTTTTTGAGCTCGTCAAGCTTCTTCGCGCTGAATCGTATAACATGGTACTTGGCAGCGTTTGCATGCGGCGATACGAGAGGTGCGGAAGACGTGATTGGCGGTCGTATATGTTTGCTGTGATCGAGCATTTTCTCGTTGGGGCCGAGCAGAGAAAAGAGATTTCGTCGGTCTCTATTCGCTTGCTGGAGTAGTCCAATAGGGAACCCTTCTCCGCGCATGGCCATTGCTATCATCTTGATGGACCCGAAATGCCCACCGGCATCCGCCATGTTATGGTGAATCAAAAAGTCGATCACCAAACCCCCCTTTATGAACGTGGCGTTGAGCCGCAGTACTCGCGAGGGATCCTCTTTGGAGTCTTCAAAACGTATTGGGAATCCAGGGACAGACGTGAACTTTTTAGAATCAAGCATTGAGATAGGCGCCTTGCGCTTCTTGAGATCATCGTATGACGGGCATGTCGCGTCGTTGGATAGATCCCTGACGTCTATTTCGTTTAATGGCGACGCACACTCGGCTACTCTATACAGACCTGAGCTATTTGCTGACTTGCCGACATTGACGACTTTTGCGCCCATCCAGGGCACGGCATTGCGGACTTTAGCAATGGCTTGCGAGAGGTCACTCAAAATTTCCTCACGGGAGACATTTTCAGGCACTGGGAAGAGGTAGAGGATATGAGCATATACTTGGAGCATTGGCAGCTGACCAAGGACATCTTGGTAACGATCAAGATCTCTCCATTCTTCCTCGAATTTCTCCGTAGGAGCTAGTAGGCCGTCTTCGAGAGAAACACCCACGTTATCTGGAGAGTGCCCATTCCTGTGCAATTCAGTCACGCTTCGAAAAGGAAGATAGGATCTGAATGCCGAGAATACTCGAGAGAGAGCGGAGAGGAGTATTCCAGGGAGCCACCAAAGAAGGGTGGCCATGATAGTAGTGACGATTATCTAGTGGACCACAGCGTGTTTGAGATCTCGCTTGGATATCGATTGATATTGCTACATATAGAAAAGCTTTTTAAGCGTAGGATGCAATCGTAGATCTAATCTTTACGGCGATTACATTTCTATTTCCTGTCCCCGATGCAGCAATAATTCTCCGGCGCAGACGATCTCAAACTGTAGAACTCCTCCAATGAAACCGCCGATTTTCGCAATCACCTCGACAAGCCTCATGTCCGAATAATTGAAGAAATCGTATTTATCTATACGAAGGGGCAGCTGTTAGTCGTACTATAGCAGACGCCTTCTTGATAATTGGTACGCGGAGTTTTACTTGCTCGGGGGGCCGGACCTTTGTTTAGGGCTTTTGGTCGGAGTTTCCTCAGCTACTTTCACCTCACCTTACAGGGGCACACCAAGGCAGACGAGGAAAAGGTTCCCAAGCATCCAGCCGCACATTCCGCAGAGGTTGTTATTGGTCGTCTCACAAACTAGGAACTATAGATTCGGTATTGAAAGTCGGCCATTCCGTTAGGGTCGTCTTTTGTTGCTTAAGCATCCAAGTACAAAGCAGGACGAGGAGAATAAAAGCAACAGGATCCGTCCAACAATCTTTAACTTCGTCCTTGCACACTTTCAACAGTGCGGCGCAGCTCATTTTGTCGCTTTCCACAACTTCCTCCGCGTTGAGATTGCGTTCGTGTCTGTTGATCCATCTATAATTCCTGATCCTATCCCAATCTATCATATCATATGCACCTGTACAACATGCCTACATTAAGACAAGAGGGTGACAGGCTGCTTGTTTTCGGACCGCAGGCCTTGTCTGCCAATGGCGATGACTTCTTGGCTCTCCAAGCTACTGTGAAGCAACAACAATGGATTGTCGACAGCATCAAAGACCTCCCCAAGTACTGGAAACAGTTTGTGGAAGCCTTTCCGAAATACAACGTTATTCCGGCAGAGAAATTGCTTCAGAATCTGCTACAATGGGCCCAGACTGGCAAGCTCGAAACGAGTCATCTCCCTAATATCATTCTCAGCCCGCTAGTTATCATCACGCACATAACAGAATACATCAAGTATCTCGACATAGCGGCTCCGAAGCCTGAGTCTCAATCATCAACGGAGACTCTGGGTTTCTGCATGGGGTTTTTGAGCGCGCTCGCCGTGTCCGTTAGCAAAGATCGCCAAGACATCGAAAAATATGGATCGACTGCGATCAGGCTAGCCATGATCATTGGTGGTATTGTGGATGTGCAGGATGTGCTAGATACGCAGGGACAGTCCAAGTCATTGGCCACGGCTTGGAACACTCCCAAGACAGGCAATGAGCTCAACAGGATTGTGAGCCTGTTTCCAGAGGTACGTATTATTAAAAGATTTGGATGGATGGCAGACAAGCTAACATGTTGGAAAGGCATACGTGTCTGTTTCGTATGACGAGCAGCGCGCGACTGTCACTACGGCATCAAAAACTGCGGCCGCCTTGCAACAGCAGCTCCGAGGCGCAGGCATCATCGCCAATGAAATCGGCCTGTTTGGCCGTTTCCACTATAGCTGGTATGCCGAAGACATCCAGGACTTCATTGAATACTTCTCGTCTCAGCTTGGACTTGTGCTTCCGGATGCTTCCCAGCTCATATATCGCACGCGGTCCAACTCCGACTCCGGATTGATCACAGACGGCCAACTTCACGCTCATGCATTGCGCACAATACTTGTTCAGCATTCTAACTGGTATCAAACCTTCAAAACAATTCATGAATCGAAACTCAAGCTGCAACAGACTAAAGTTGTCTCCTTCGGCCCGGAACCCTGTGTCCCACCATCAATCCTGCGCGAAATCAAATCAAACGTTGTTCACATATCGGAAGTTGAGAGTGTATCAGCGGCGCCACCCAGGATTCCATTGCCTCAAGAGAGCAAAGATGATGACATTGCTGTCGTTGGCATGTCTATCAAGGTCGCGGGAGCAGACGACACTGACGAATTCTGGGACCTGCTCTGTGCGGGACAATCGCAGCATCGAGAAGTCCCTCGCAATCGGGTCAAGTTTGACAACGAGTGGCGTGAAGTTGATCCTAAGAGGAAATACTACGGCAATTTTCTCAATGATCATGACGTTTTCGATCAGAAATTCTTCAAGAAGAGCGCGAGGGAAGCTGCATCAACTGATCCCCAACAGAGGATCCTGCTTCATGTAGCCTACCAGGCATTGGAGCAGGCCGGATACTTCAACTCGCCAGAGCAAGATAGCAAGATTGGTTGCTTCATCGGTGAGTGTGCTGCAGACTATGCAGACAATGTTGCATGCCATCAACCCAATGCCTTCACCGCCACTGGAAATCTGAAGAGTTTTATTGCCGGCAAAGTCAGCCACTACTTCGGATGGACAGGAACAGGCTTGACTATCGACACTGCTTGCTCATCATCACTGGTAGCCGTGCATTTGGCATGCAAGGCAATCCTCAGTGGTGAATGCAATGCTGCACTAGCAGGTGGAGTGAACATGATGAACAGCGCTCTATGGTTCCAGAATCTTGCAGCAGCATCATTCCTAAGCCCCACGGGCCAGTGCAAGCCCTTCGATGCCAAAGCCGATGGATATTGCCGAGGTGAGGCTGTTGCTGTGGTATTTTTGAAGAAGATGTCAGCTGCTATTGCCAACGGCGATCAGATTCTGGGAACGATCTCTAGTACCGGTGTGTCGCAGAACCAAAACTGCACCCCCATTTTCGTTCCAAATGCCCCATCTCTGTCATCTTTGTTTCAGAATGTCATCGAAGATGCAAAGGTCGATCCTAAACAGATCACCGTCGTGGAAGCCCACGGTACAGGAACCCAGGTTGGAGATCCAGCAGAGTACGACAGTATCCGCCGCGTTCTTGGTGGGCCAAAATTGCGCTCTCAACCGCTTGCCTTCGGATCTGTCAAGGGCCTTGTTGGTCATACTGAGGCATCTTCTGGAGTTGTTTCTTTGATCAAGACTCTCCTTATGATCCAGAAGAAGACAATCCCCCCACAGGCAAGCTTCGAGTCGCAGAATCCTCATCTGAACGCAACCGCCGAGGACAACATGGAGATTAAGACAAAGTTGACCGACTGGACGGAGGAATATAGAGCAGCTCTCATAAACAACTACGGTGCATCTGGCTCCAACGCCTCTGCTGTTATTACTGAAGCACCTCATCTTGTGAAATCTGCCGGATCCGAAGTTGCAACACCAGCAGTCGACTATCCCTTCCATATCTTCGGCAAAGATGACCGAGCAATTCGCGATTATTGTGCTAAGCTTGCCAAATCTCTGGAGTCCAAGGGTCTCGATAATATTTCTGTTGCAGACCTATCATTCAATGTCAACCGGCAATCCAATCCCACGTTGGACCGCGCATTGGTGTTTACAAGCCGATCGGCCAAACAGCTAGCTGAGAAATTGAACGCATTCCATACTGGCGACACAGAGGTGGCAGCTACCATTGTGCAGCCTTCTTCACGCCCCGTTGTGCTCTGCTTCGGAGGACAAATCTCGACATACGTTGGGCTTAGTCGCGAGGTGTATGACAGTGTTAAATTGCTGGCTAACTACCTCAACCAATGCGATTATGTCTGCCGCTCTCTCGGTTGCGAAAGCATATTCCCTGGGATCTTCCAACGAAGTCCCATCGGTGATACTGTCAAGCTTCAAACGATGCTCTTCTCGATCCAGTATGCTTGTGCTAAGAGCTGGATTGATTCCGGAGTCCAGCCTGTTGCCGTCGTGGGACACAGCTTTGGAGAGTTGACATCGCTATGTATCTCTGGTGTTCTTTCATTGGAAGATGCAATCAAGATGATTGTTGGTCGTGCAACTATTATCCAGCAGAGCTGGGGCAGTGAAAAGGGTGCCATGATGGCCATTGAAGGCGACCTGAGCGAAGTAGAGAAACTCCTGGGCGAAACCGTCTCGCCCTGTCAAGAAGCTGGAGAGAGAGCACCAACAATTGCCTGTCTCAACGGACCTCGAAGTTTCACAATTGCTGGGTCGTCACGCAGTATCGACATTGCCTCCGACACCATTTCAAAGAATCCGGCATACTCTCGCTTCAGGTTCAAAAAGCTCAATGTTACGAACGCTTTCCATTCTACCTTGGTCGAGCCCCTGATGTCCGACTTGGAGAAAGTTGGACAAACCCTTGAATTCAAAGAGCCATCAATCCATCTCGAAAGAGCCACCGAGTTTCACTCCTCTGAACGCTTATCTCCAAGATATGTCGCTGACCACATGCGTAACCCCGTATTCTTCAACCACGCAGTGCAGAGGATTTCAAAGAAATACCCCAATGCGATCTTCGTGGAAGCCGGCTCTAACTCGACCATCACAAACATGGCGAGCCGAGCTCTCGGATCACCTGCGGCGTCTCATTTCCAGCCGATCAATATCACTACGGACAATGGATTCCAGCTTCTAGTCGATTCTACGGTGTCACTATGGAAAGAAGGTCTTATGGTTCCTTTCTGGGCTCACAGCAGGCTCCAGACTTATGATTACGCACCAATGCTTCTACCTGCATATCAATTCGAGAAGCTCCGACACTGGATGGAGCCTGTGCCGCCTCCAACATCTGCAAGACAGGTCGCTGGCGGACAACAGGGCGATGAACCCAAGGGTCTCTGGAGCTTCGTGGATTACAAGGATGCAACGAAACGTGCCGCGCGATTCCGCATCAACACAGAAAGCGACAAGTATAAGGAGTATGTTTCCGGCCATATCATTGCGCAAACGGCGCCCATCTGCCCTGCAACGGTTGAAGTGGACATCGCTGTTGAAGCGCTCATTAGTCTTTATCCTGAATTTGCCAGCTCGGATCTCGAACCTAGGATTTGCAATGTCGACAATCAGTCACCAATTTGCATTGATTCATCCCGAACGGTTTGGTTGGATGTCGAATCTCAGGAGGCGTCTCCCGATAACTGGTCATGGAATATCATCAGTGAGGGTGACTCGTCCAAGAACACCACCTTGCACGTTACCGGCCAGATCATCTTTGTTTCTGTCAACAACTCAGAATGGCAGCTGGAGTTCTCGAGATACGAACGTTTGATCGGCCACCAGCGCTGTGCCAGTCTTCTAAACAGCAATGATGCGGATGATATCATCCAGGGCCGTAACATCTACCGTTCGTTCGGTGAAGTTGTAGACTATTCCGCTCCCTACCGCGGTTTGCAGAAGCTCGTTGGCAAAGGGAATGAATCTGCTGGGCGTGTTGTCAAGAAATACCTTGGTGAGACGTGGCTCGACGCACTGCTTTCAGATGCCTTCAGCCAGGTCGGTGGAATCTGGGTTAACTGTATGACTGAAAAGGACCCTGGCGATATGTTTATCGCGACAGGCTTTGAAAAGTGGATGCGCAGCCCCGATGTCCGGTCTGACTACAAGCGACCAGAAGCTTGGGATGTTTTTGCTTATCACCAAGAGCTGCCTGCGGAACATTCATACCTGACTGATATCTTCATTTTTGATTCCACGAACGGAAAGCTGGTGGAGGTAATCCTGGGCGTTAACTACCACAAAGTCGCCAAGGCAACTATGAGTAAGATTCTTGCACGTCTTTCTGGGTTATCGATCGCCACGACTTCTACCGCCGCAAGGCAAAGCTCAAGGGCTAGTGACGAAGATACCGGCTCGTCACAGGAGGCCGGTTCTTCTGGTACTGAAAGCAAGCCAAAGAAAAACAAATCTGGAGGTGGTCAGGATATCGTTATCAAAACTAAAGGTCTGCTGGCTGAGATATCTGGCATGGGTGTTGAGGAAATCTCTAACGATGCCCAACTTGCGGATATCGGTATCGATTCACTTATGGGAATGGAGCTGGCCCGTGAGCTTGAGGGAATGTTTAAGTGCACACTTCCCAGTGACGAGCTCATGAATGTCACTGACTTTGCTGGATTGGTGCAAATCATCAAGAGCACTCTGGGAGTTGGAGGTGACGACGAGGGTTCTGATCAGGAAGGTTCCGACTCAAGCCCAAGCGAGTCTTCCACGACTTTCACTCCTTCAGGGACCTCATCATCTTCGGTGTCAGACGTGGAAGATAACAGGCCTCCTACTAAATCTTCTGGCCAGGCATCATATAATGGAGACCTTGAATTGCCTTCGAGCACAATCATCGAGGCCTTTGAGGAATCTAGGAAGCTGACTGACGAGTTCATTACCAACTACAGATGTGCTGGTTACATGGAAACTGTCTTGCCGAGGCAGACCCAGCTATGTGTCGCACTGACTGTTGAAGCTTTTGAAGAGCTTGGCTGTCCTATTCGCTCAGCAAAGGCGGGCGACATATTGACTCGCATTCCACACGACCGGCAACATACACGCCTCACCAACTATCTCTACAAGATGTTGGAGCATGAGGCACGACTCATTGATACCGATGGTACGAAGATCACTCGTACCGCAATTGCACCCCCTTCCAAGACCAGCGATGCCATTCTGGAGCAACTCTTGCGAGACTTCCCGGATCACGAATGGGCAAACAAGCTCACTCACTTTGCCGGCGGCAGGCTTGCGGATGTTCTCAAAGGTGAATGCGATGGCATCAAACTGATCTTCGGAAGCGATGAGGGACGGCGTTTAGTTACCGGATTATACGGAGACTCGCTTCTAAACAAATTGGCAAACGTGCAGATGCAAGACGTTGTTTCCAGGGTTGCTTCCAAGATTCCCAGGGACCAAGGGCCTCTAAAGATCCTTGAATTGGGAGCTGGAACTGGTGGCACCACGAAGGGAATGGCTGCTCTGCTTGCAAAACTAGGTGTTCCCGTTGAATACACCTTCACTGATCTTTCCGGCTCCTTTGTGGCCCAGGCACGCAAGACGTTCAAGGAGTATCCCTTTATGAAATACCGTGTCCATGACATTGAGAAGCCTCCAGCAAACGATCTTCTTGGAACCCAGCACATCATCATTGCTAGCAATGCAATGCACGCAACTCATAACCTTGAGGAGTCTACAAAGAATGTCCGTAAAGCCCTTCGTCCCGACGGTTTCCTCATGATGCTTGAGATGACTTCACCTGTATTCTGGGTCGACCTTATTTTTGGTTTATTCGAGGGTTGGTGGCTGTTTGATGACGGTCGTGAGCATGCAATTGGACATCAAACTCTCTGGGAACGCATCATGCGCTCGGTGGGCTATGGTCACATCGATTGGACTGACGGTAACAGCCCTGAGCTCGAGATTCAACGTGTGATTATCGCTCTTGCGTCCGGTCCTCAATATAGCAGACAGCCAGTTCCTCCTCCGCCACAACCAGAAATTCAGCTCCAGCCAGCTGCAGGACGCAAGGCCGCTGTTGATGAGTATGTTCGCAAATATACTGAAGGGTTTGCCCTCGCGGGACCTGTCCAAGCATCAGTTTCCTCGAGTCAATACGAACAGTGTGTCTTGATTACCGGTGCTACGGGAAGTCTGGGATCCCATCTTGTTGCTCATGTTGCTGCACTGCCCAATGTGAAAACAGTCGTCTGTCTCAACCGTCGTAGCGGCAGTGATGCGGACGCTCGTCAACAAAAGGCTCTGGAAGAAAGGGGCATCCTTCTCGATGCTGCATCTCAGTCGAAGCTTCAAGTCTTCCAGGCAACTACATCCAAAACCTTGCTAGGCTTGGAGAAAGCCGACTACGAGGAGCTACTTGGTAAAGTCACTCATATTGTCCACAATGCCTGGCCAATGACTGGGAAACGCCCGCTATCCGGATTGGAGTCGCAATTTCAGGTCATGCGAAACCTCATTGACTTCGCACGAGATATCTCTGCTCGTCGGCCCAAGGGCTTCAAGGTCAGCCTTCAACTAATATCTTCCATTGCCGTGGTTGGCCATTATCCTCTGTGGAGCGGAAATGTAGTTGTACCCGAGGAGAGAATGACGCTCGAGTCTGTACTTCCAAATGGCTATGGTGACGCCAAGTTCGTCTGCGAGAGGATGCTAGATGAAACCTTGCACAAATATCCTGACCAGTTCCGCGTCATGTCAGTTCGTCCTGGACAAATTGCTGGCTCCAAAGTGACAGGCTATTGGAACGCAATGGAGCATCTTTCATTCTTGATCAAATCCTCTCAAACACTGAAAGCTCTGCCACAGTTTGAGGGCGATTTGTGCTGGACCCCAGTTGATGACGTTGCTGGAACCTGCAGTGACTTGCTGATATCTGACCGCACTCCTTATCCTGTCTACCATATTGACAACCCGGTGCGTCAGCCATGGACAGAGATGATACCTCTGCTTGCAGACTCGCTTGACATCCCGCGTGAGAATATCGTTCCTTTCAAGGAATGGGTGCGACGTGTGCGAGCCTTTCCTGGGGCTGTCGAATGGGACAACCCTGCGGCTTTGCTCATTGACTTTTTGGACGATAACTTTCTACGTATGTCTTGCGGTGGTCTGCTCCTAGGCACTGCCAAAAGCTGCGAGCATTCAAAGACCCTTGCTGCTGTTGGCCCGGTCAGTGCTGATGTTGCTAAGAAGTATATTCAGTCCTGGAAGCATTCCGGTTTTCTGCACAAGTAGAAGCTTCTAGTTTGATATCGTGAAGGGATATTTGCCTGTGTATTTAGAATTAGATTACTTGTGGATAAGAGGTGTTTCATGTTTTCAATTTGCTTTCTATATTTTGGTCTTTTTAGCTGTTTATTGGTTTTTTGACTTTCTGTTTCTATCTTTGTGTTGATCAGTTTTGCCATGTATTTTTATGAGTACCAACTCCCATTTAGAAGGATCTAATCAGCACCAACCAGTTACTATTCGTCAAACAACAATTTTTTTTTCTTGCACTCGGCCCTTGTAGGGTTTCATATAGTCGACAGCGTTGGTGTACTTGAAAAGAAGTAGATTAAAACTTACAAGGGCTGATAACTAACAAGTTTGACAAAGTCAACATAATCCCACACAATTGAAACATTCACACAAATCCTATATCAGACCCCTCATCCTCAAGTCTTACTCAGTACCAGATCACGAGCCAGATCTCGCAAGGCAACCCACTTCTTATCGTTGGTGTGATGTTCATTGTTCGATGTTTATGAAATCTTTGCGAGAAGGTCTTGACTGCCATTCTTGGATCCATCTCGCTTGTTATGTGACCTATATTCATAAGTTTCTTCGATGCTTTAAATCATTACATCGTGTCCCTTTATGTTCTTCACCATCTCGGCCTTCACAACAGCCCCTAGTTCCCGGGAAGCTGTTATGGTCCTCGGTCAATCGTGCCCAAGCAAGAATCTCGCAAGAGTGCAAGTCTGTACACATCTTTGCCTCGTGCACAAGTATATGTGTAAGTCTTAGGGTGCCAGCCTCGCTCCAAGCGCGCAATGCTGCATTGTTCCCACTCTACCGCAGGCGAACCTCGCGGAAGTTATCCCAGTTTTTTCCTCAAAAACTCCTCATGTTGAGATATTCTAGGGAGTTGCGTGAATCTCGACAAGTACAGTTCTTTGAGTACATGTTGTGGGACTCTAGATATAACTCGCTGGAAGCAATATTTCGAACTTACGTAGCGGAGCTCTCATACGATTTTAACGGGGGCAGTTCTTCTGTTGACTCTTGGACCGATATTCTTGTTGTCGATAACCGCTTTATGAAGCCAACAATGGAAGAGTATTATCGTTCCATATACAGCATGCTCATTCTCCCGCGCTTCCCGGCCCTAACATTCGATCAATTCTTAGGCCACGACAGAGGAAAGTGGCTGTACTGGGGGAAGTTAACATATTCAGAGCTTGAGGAGAAGTTTATAGATAAATCAATAGCAATAATATCGTCTCATTGTAGGTTAAAATCTGATCTTTGGGTAGCTAGATACCTTATAGCGGCTGCGCTTCCAAGGTTGTCAGTGGTGATGTTTCTGAGACCTCGAAGAACCTCGAAGAAAGGAAGGTTGAATATATAGCAGGGACACATTATTATAAAAAATATATATTTGAGGTAAAAACCAGTTTATCCAGTTACACAGGTTCCAGCCATCTTTAAGGGCAGGATAAGGACCCCTATTCTAAAGCTTTCAACCTATACATAATCCTTTTTGCCATATCTGATATCTCCTTCCATATCATGTGGATATAAAATGAATCTTTATTATGCGACTGATATATAAAATCTGATACATGCCTTCTGAATTACCGAATAAAGCTATTTTCCGAAAGGGTGACTGACCCCTTACATCAAAAATCCTGGTCCTGGTCCCTTGCTTCATATTTGAAATCACCTGGGCACATCATAACGCCATCAGCTGGAGAAAAGAAAGCCTGAAGAATCTTAAAAATAAGAAAACAGCATTCGATCCTATTCGCACGAGATGACTATCTAGTCAGTACCGGAGTTTTGGGTCGGAGTTTCTGACCACCAATCTACCAAATAATAATGTGCTGGATTGAAGCCGAGAAGCCCAAAATCAGAGCTTTCATGTCGCAAAAACACAGCTGGTTGGCTTCGATAGAATGGCGACAGATGGATTAGAGATAAGATATTGATTTTTGTATCGGAGATAGTTCAGTTCTGGCGAAATCGGACTCTTGGGTGGGAATCGTATGTAGTAGTACGTAGTAGTAGTTAGTAGTATTTTGACGGTCTTATAGAAGACAGTAAGATACAAGATCCTTCCCAGAACTGCATTCGGATCAGGTGCGCAGTCAATAGTAACGAATCCTTCTTTTCCGGTTCTACTTTCAGTCTAGTTTGATTGAACTGTTCACGAGTCTTGCAAGAGTGACCTCGTTTAGCAAGTTTCATAGCTTCAGGGGCAGTTTTCAATCCATGCAACACATCTAGAAGAGTGTCCCTTCAGTTATACATACATACATACATACATACTCCGTTGTCAAGACTTTTCGTCTCGATAATCATTCCACAATGTCGCGAACAATGTCAGGTTACGATCCAGACCTCGACCTCCCTCGCATTCTCTGCCTCCATGGCGGGGGCACGAACGCCCGAATATTCCGGTCGCAGTGTCGTGTGCTGTCGACGCATCTCAAAGGAAGATTCAGACTAGTCTTTGCCGAAGCACCTTTGTCGTGCAACGCTGGCCCCGATGTACTCTCCGTATACAAAGAATGGGGCCCATTCAAGTCATGGATTCCATCAGCCCTCGGTTGCCCGGAGGTTGATAACCACACTGCTATTGAGCTCTTCAAAGAATCACTAGACAGGGCGATGGATGAAGACGACGATCTAGGAGCAACAGGCCCCTGGGTTGGGTTGTTGGGGTTCAGTCAAGGAGCCAAGATGTGTGCTAGTCTGCTGTTTCTGCAGCAGTTACGACAGATGCATGGAGAGAGAACGAATGAACGATTGGATTTTCGATTCGGCGTTTTGCTGGCGGGTCGCGCACCGCTCGTGGCACTCGATATGAACCTTGCTTCGACATATGGAACGGAGGACGACGAGAGCAAGAATTCTGCCGGAATCGTTGATCCCAATGGCGATCCGATACACAGTAATCATTCCTGGCTGCGACGCATCCGTTACGGTAGCCAATCTAGGTCTCGCCTTCATATTCCCACGGTGCATGTTCATGGACTACGAGACGCAGGTCTCCCTCTACATCGAAAGCTCTTCGAAGAATGCTGTGAGGAGGGGAGCACGAGATTGATGGAGTGGGAAGGGGACCATCGAGTTCCAATCAAGACTAAAGATGTGACGGTGCTTGTTCAGCATATACTCGCTATGGCTATAGAGTCTGATGCTGTAAGACATAGAGCGATAGTTTTCTAGATTCTTTGGTAGGGAGCGATATTAACTACGAGCCGCGATTTTGTCAATGAAGCACACTATAACATATTATGTTTGTATAGCAAATACCACATGGTGTATAATAAATATTATGTCACGCAGCAGAAGCAAAGAGGATTTTCTTCACAAACTTTGTGCGGAATGAGGAGTCTGTGACACAGCATATCGTCAGCCTGTCAAGTTCTTCAGCATGCACGCTGTCGTGCATCAAGCTGACGAACAAACGCAGATTGGTCCGATCCCGATAGAGTGTGCTTGATCTGCTCAGATCGTCCTTTTGCACAAGCGCTGCGTACATCTTTTCTCGTGTAGGAAGCAGAGCTCGGAGATGATTCATTTGCCGTTTGGCCGCCACAGCCCTAATCGACGCATTGCGAGACCATTTAGATTTGCTTTGCATAAGTGTTAAAGCACACACAACTCGGAAAATGGCCTGCAGCTGCATGCCGATCCCTGGGCTGCCAATAGTACGAAGGAACCAGAAACCCAAAAAATAATATTCGGTGCAAAAGCGAGGACGAATGCTGCGGTGAATTGCTTCTTTTCTGAGTCCGAAGCCCGATGGATGATGGGTTTTTTCCCATTTCAGCGTCTGCCTTCTTTGTCTGGGCTGATGTCCACGGAGTATTGCTTTTTTTTTTTTCCTCTTTCTTCTTGTTCTCCTTTCATGCTTTGTCTGTGCTGGCGAGCCTATGACAGGCTCGTTTGGCAATGAAAAATAGCCGGCTGTGAATTCCTCCTATACATATGCATATACAATACTGATCAGCATCCACGTTGCCCTACCAAAAACGGACACAGCGGTATAAGGAGTCGTGTCAGTCGACGGCATCCAACATCAAAATCGTGCTGCATTGATACATATTCGTTTCTATTCTGGTCAAAAGGCTTACTTGCAACGTAACTACTGAGTTAGGCATGGCTTCTAGCGGGGAGAAACTGGATATTGAGCCCGTTCAACCGCCTAGAAACGCGACGGCAAACACAGAGCATACCACAAGTACTGCAGTAGCCACCAGCTTCTCGTCAGAGATACAACTCGACTACACATCAGAAAAGCAGGTCGACACGGAAGGGACACCCTCTACCCCAGAGCGAGACCCGGAGGCAGGGAACAACGCAGCAGACCAACCCCGGCCAGTGCCCGTTCCTCGTCTGAAACGTCGCGGTTTCCTCGGTCAGATAACGCTGGTTCCTGAAGTTGAGAATCCACGGGCATACTCACAATCGACGAAATGGGCTCTCACGACTACGATCTCGCTGGCAACGTTGATTGCGCCCATAGGAACATCGATCTTTTATCGTATGTTAACCACAGGAAGCCGGAGAGCAACCCGAAAGAAGGGGGAAAGAAAAAAAAAAAAGAACATAGTTTACTGACAATGTCTTGACAGCTGCGTTACATGAGGTGGAAAGCGACTTGCACACCAATGCAACTGTTACCAACTTGTCTCTGGCATTCTATCTCCTGGCCATGGCGATCTTCCCCCTCTGGTGGTCGCAGTGGGCGGAAATATTCGGACGGCGAACAATCTACCTGGCATCTTTCTCATGCGGAGTCATATTCGCCGTTCTGGCTGCCATCTCAAACTCGATTGGGATGCTTGTAGCTGTGCGACTGTTGAGCGGTGGCTCGGCAGCTTCTGTTCAGGCCGTCGGAGTCGCTTCGATAGCAGATCTATGGGAGCCACGAGAACGAGGGCGAGCCATGGGCATATTCTTCCTCGGTCCTCAGCTAGGCCCTTTCCTGGCTCCAATTGTCGGTGGCGCCCTGGCTGACCGATGGGGCTGGAGGAGCACCATGTGGTTCGTGGTCATTTTGGCGGCGGCCATGCTAGTGATGCTGTTCCTCGTACTTCCGGAGACTTCCTCGAGGAAAGAGACTTCATGGTGGAGTCAAACTAATGCGAGGATAGGGAAGCGCAATCCTCTTGTCAAGGCGGTTATCATCTTTCGCATCCTGATGATAGACCCATTCAAAGCCCTGCTAGTGATGAGATATCCGGCAATGTTCTTACCCATGTTCTACATCGGAGTGGTCACCATCTACTTCTACGTCCTCAACATCAGCATCCAAAATACCTTTGCCAGCTCTCCGTATAACTTCGGCATCCTCATCGTTGGGCTCTTATACATTCCGTCGTCGCTGGGCTATATTGTTGGCAGCGTCGTTGGTGGTCGATGGATGGACTTTGTGATGCAGCGTGCAGCCAGAAAGGCCAATCGCCGGGATGAAAATGGGAAGCCCAAGGTCTTCCCCGAAGAACGAATGCAAGAGAACGCATGGTTGGGAGCTCTTCTGCCACCGGCTGCACTGCTGTGGTATGGATGGACAGCGCAGTATGGTGTTTTCTGGCTTTGCCCGGTGAGTTCTGTCCAAGGAAATCATCTTTTTTTTTTTCCCTTTCATCTGCTAATTTACTATTGTAACAGTTGATTGCCAACTTCTTCACGGGCTTTGGAATGATCATTATCATCAGCGTCGGCATCACAATGATCAGTGAATTCATGCCCGGCGACCATCGAGGTCTAGCTGCCTCGGTCTTTGTGCGTAATGTCCTTGGTTGTGTAGGCACAGTCGCTGCATCTCCCATGCTCAACCAACTAGGGAATGGATGGACCTTCACACTCTGGTCGTTGGTGGCGTTGGCCAGTTCATCATGTATTGTCGCCATCACCAAGTTCGGTCCCCGATGGAGAGAGTCTATGTCGACTTCTAGAGCAACTTGAGTATCTTCTCTGTCTTTGCACTCATATATATGTTTTCTTCTCTGGCCTCGGTTTCAAAGTTGCTTATTGAAACTATCTTTCATTGCATTAATCTCGGCATTTTATCCCATCATCGTCAGTCATTTCAGAATGTAGCGGAATTTTTAGCTAGGATTGATATTAATTTATTGCTCTCCTAATTTGTTCATGCTTTGTCTCATGCGATGATATATAATGAATACACGTTCCATGGATGGATATGTATACGTTGAAACAGCTTCCAGGTTGCATTCTTGTAGGTTGCCTTTACACACTGTATATCCAAGTCTTCGCTTGCTAAGTGGTATAGCAAACATCTAAGAGTACGATCTTGTTTTATAGCCTTATTTCGTTGCAGAATGAAATGTGCAATATTCTTGGCTCTTCTCTCGTAGGTTATTTCGACAGAAATCGTCAGCTTAGATAGCCGCGACAGATAGCTTGCCTCGCATTAATCTCTGAGCCCAGAAGAAGGTGATGATCGCAATCTCAACAAATGAAAACACTTGGCTTCCCCCAAAAACTAAGCTATGGTAGGTCCAGGCATTGTTTGGATTAAGATCAGCTACCTGACAGACAATGGCCCACGGAAGGACATAAAAAATATTAGAGATGAGTGACTGTCCCAGGTACCAAGACGGCCGAGTCGCGAGCAATATGGTTACAAGCTGGGTGTATATAGCGTATAGAATGTAACACCTTCAAAAGAATTAGCAACCTGCGATGCTGAAATCGATCAGAGACCTACCAGTCAATCGTCTGCCACATATGTGCCGCAATTTCCGAGACCTTTTCAGACTCGCTGAGAAAGAATGCGAATGGTTCACAACCAAGTAGTGCCATGAATATACAAAGCGGTACTTCGATAGCGATGGCAATTAATGCAGACACAACGGCTGGTCGGATGATTACTGTCAACAGGAAGCTTTCTCCAACATATGACAACAGCTTGAGCAGAGCTGGAATTCAAACCAATGAGCTTCTTCCAGTTCCTGGCCTGATGATTCGTGCCTCGCAACTCGGCCCAGAAATGTCCTATGAATGTGAGTGAGGTAGCCTCGAGAGCTTGCACTGGGACCATCACAAGTCCCCAGCGAACTGTAGTGAACACACCCCATGCGGTGGCGTAATCTGCCGACATGGCGACGATTCCGGCCACCAGCCATAGATAGAGCGTATTCCGGATCGCCGACTCCATGAAAGTGACAGATCCGGGCTTCAATAGGGTCAGGAATGCGGACAAAGTGGGAGTTTCACCCTTCAAGCGCCAAAATCCTCCATCTTCTACTGACCGGGCCGCGGTGGCGAAAAAGTAGAAAAGACCAGTTAAAGCAGCGGCCATATCACAGCTCAAACGTATAGCAGCCTGCATGTTGACATTGGGAGCCCAGTGGCCCACGTGAAACTTTGAAATGATGAGGAAATCCAGAATGATGTTCACCGTCACTTTGACGGAACTGATCAGGAGCGGAACATCTGGTTTGTCCAAGGCTCTCGTGGCATTGGAGACCGCCACTTCGATGGCAGAGTTCAGAGCAGAAAAAGCACCGATTCGAACATATGTCACACTAGCTTTCTGGACATTGCGTGGAACGAACGTCGATGCAAACGCGTTCGCAGCACCCGTCAACACAATACTCATGATCAGTCCCAGTACAGTCTGGAAGACGATCAGCGTATATGCGAGGCCCAACCGAGACTCATGCGTGCGCGTATCTTTGTCTGTGATGGTGACCTATACTGCGCGCGGCAAACCCTCATTGAGGACCTCGGCAACAGTCCCTATATATGTGTAGACATCCGTTGTAACCACTAGAGAAGAGTCGATATCAGCGATCCAGATCTTGACTAAGGTACTGTACAGCGCAGGGAGCAAAAATGCCCCGGCATTGAACAAAAGAGCTCCTATATAGCTTTGTGTTCTGTTAGTTGTGAAATTGGAGTCCGAGAGGAGTAATACTTGTCGGTACATACCTTGTTCGGTACCACCATCTCTCGCCAACGGCCCATTGCACCCATGGCTGGGGTTGTATAAAATCCTTGACTTGGATTCTCATCAGGCGTTTCTTCAGCGACATGGTTTGCAGTATTCGGCGCCATTCTCGTATAGTGTACTACGGTTTGCACGTTATCCAGTGTAGAGATGTTGAGCCAGAAATGTTATAATGAAGACAATTTTCCCCGCTTCTTGCCAAGCAGCAGCTATGTGCAGTATGTATATTGGCACGCGATTCTCCTCGACCTGCCTGGAGTACTGTCATATTCCACTATAAGTTCCACCCAGCATCGATTTATGAATGGCCAGCGGATAGACACTCCATGCTATCAAACGATTGTTTGTGACAATAGACGTGATGCATATTACCAAGAATGAGGAGTCATGTCCCGGAAATGAATGTTACTGTGTAACAATCCAGGGTTAAGATCCAATCAGACGTCAACTCAAGATAACGAGTCATGGACAGCGCGATGTTTTCGTAGTCCGCTTTCAAAGCCGAGCTCTTGAAGACTGCCTTATCATTATGAGCTCAACACTTTCTACGCAATGGCACATGAACTAACGCTCCAGGAGCAGTGCGCTGAAGATATTTCCTTGCTATCACTTCTCCATCCTGTACCCGTTCAACCAAAACGCAACTCAGTCAATTTTGTATCAAGCCCCCAAAAACATACGTATACACTACCGCTTGATAAGGAGCAAAGCCTTGCTAGTACAGTAGCATTCATTTCAAGCATCAAGGATGATCCTAACCATATCCCAGCTGTCTGTCTTGGAGAGGAACTTGACTCAAGCCATCTGAGGATCCTCCTCGCCGTTAATAAAGCCGGATTCAGCGATGGGAATAGCATTCTGTATGATCTCAAACGAGCTTTCACCGAGATTTTTCGTATCCTTGCAAGTGGTTTTGAAAGTCAGTAAAGATGCAAATTCCCAGATTTCAGACATAACTAACAGGAAAAGATGACCACGGTTCTAGCAATGTTGAATACGAGGTCTTCACCGCAATAGTATCTCTATGCTCCTCTCGTATCCTGAATCGACTCCGTTTGATGCCGGGTCGGAGGGGACCTAGACAATCTATCAAAGACATCCTCTCTCAAGCCATAGACTGTGTCAATCATGCTACATATAACAATACTGGAGACTCACCCACAGCCAGAATTTCAGCATCATTTATAGCAGCAGCAAAGGAGACCATCGTACTTGTGAATTCATGGTATAAGCACCAAACAACCACACGGCTAAGGGATCTTGTCGAAGACATATATCGATTACATCAACAACAAATAATTCACGACACACTCGGTCTTGTGTCAAATAGAGAAATGGACCCGTCATTGAAAGCAAGCCTTCTAAATATGACTAGCAAAGTTGCAAGATATCGACAGGCAGCCAGGTTTCTCTACCGAACCGCTAAACACTTTCCTATTGTTCGACGAGCAAGAATTGAATCAGTGAATCTTCCACAGGAGGCATTCCACGTCATCAAAGTCAGCGAATATGAGCCCCAGCTTCTCTCAACCATTTCACGAGCAGTACCGAATTACGCGAATGCCAAAAAAACTCGGCCAAATATGGCGATTATTGCAGAAAACCGAATCTGATGCTCTAGGTTGTTTTTCAAATCAAACCTGTGATACATTGCAGCAAGCAAAGATTCATGCTGAAGTACAGCTCATTTATCACTGTGAGCTTCAATCGGCGATAAAATTTCCTCGCGTTATTTGCTCCAGCAAGGACGCCTGTTTTCTGTGTAATATTTTCATTTCTTTGCACGGAAAAATGCACACGCCCAGATGTCATGGCAGGTTATACCCTGGCTGGAGACTGCCATTTATACCGCTCCTAAACGACCTGCAGCGACAGTTGAATCATCACCTTGAGAGTCAAATAAAGGACAGCTTGATCAATCTTGTATCTAGCCAAAAGCGTACGGTTTATCCTTTCCCACAAGAAAGCACACTCTTAACGCTTCCCACATCGATATCAACGCTTACGAGCTCCAAATCTTACCTGGGTGCATCACAAGCTCCACAATCAGATGCCAGGTCCTTTAAAGTGAATGACTTGCTACACGTGTCGGCCAGTTTTGACGAGAATCGAAACAATGAGGTAGAACCGAATTGTTCGGCTTTAGGCAGCTCACTATCTGAGTTTGATGGCTTGTCTGCTTCTATTCCTCTTCAAGCTGGGACAAGTCTGACAAAGAGAATAAAGAAAAACGTTTCGCCACTATATACTGCAGGGTTACTAGAAGTGCAAATCGAATACGATAATCGATCAGCCTCATTTGGCAGCCCCCATGACCTTTTGTACAGTGTTGAATGGCTCCCCGCAGTGGACGCCAAGAAGATATGCCATCCAGGCTGCCTTATAGAAGCTGAAAGCATCAGGGGTGAAGCTTTGCATGCCCTGTGCGGTCAGAATACCTTATATCTTAGAACAGATGGCTCTATCATAAGGCTTAGATTTCATTAGCTATCTAGCTACTCAACTTGCATTTGATATCTTTATGGTGTGTGTCTTTCTATCTAATTGAAATACTCAATATGCTTATCCTGCTTCAAGTAAAAGTCCCACGCCCTACCTGAATGGAAACTGGCCTGGCCAGAGACAACAAAAACAAGCGCAGATTATCAGCTCAAGCAAAGGCAACGCGTCTGGACTCCACTCCCTGCCAAAATCGAACAATCTCTTCTTTTTTTTTTTTTTGGTATGCTATATTCTATAAGCGTATAGGCTAGAACAAGCGTGAGGAACGCTTTTCGTCCCTCCATGATGTTTATACTGGGTGTTACGACGCCGAAATTATACTTGATCAGTCTATGTGGCTCGTGAAGCTCCATGGCTGGCGAGGCCATATTCTTCTCCGAGTAGAGGAACAAGGAGATACTGGGTTTTCCGCGATAGACGCTGTTGACAATCGTCTGGAGCCCACAGATTGTTCTCGTGTGGGATATTCCCTAAGGCCAAGGCCCAGTGTATGCCGTAGTTTCATCGTGAGAATCTCATCATCGAGGTTGATGATGTAGATGTATTCGGCGTCATAGCCATCCTAATCGCGGCAACTCCGATGGCAGGGCTGCAAACTCGTCAAGTGTTGCATAGTCTGACTCGGACATGTCACGGATTTCGTAGAAGAGTTTTTCAAGGAGGTGCTCAATGTTGGCGTACTCCTCTCGTATTGATTCAAGCCATTTTGCATGTCATCAGTATATGTAGCCATAATACAGAGGTCATTCATCCGCAACTCAGAGTGAATACAAGAATTAAAGGTTGGTTTGTGAATCAGGACAACACCCAAGACCTCATGGTTTCTGTTAGATGATATCTCTAAGTATATGGATAATTTCCTACAAAAAGTATTCTTGTTCATTATTTCAGTTCCCAGTTTGAAGGTCAAGCTGGAAGTTCCCGAGGCAGTGATATATATATAGTAGGTTTAGTTGATGCACCGATATAACAAAACAGTCGGACCAACATCAAAACCTGAAATGCAATATGAATATTGACGTATAGTCTATCTAAGTATTACATACACTGCGATAATTGACCCGAAAAGATTATCCTAAAAAAAAAAGGGGGTACAAATACCATCACAGCATGAACAGAGAGTCAGGAGTATGCATAATTCCAGAGCTGAGATCATCCTGAAACGAAATAAGAAACCAAACTTCAGTAGACGATAGATGTATATCCAACTTGCCAAAATCACAGATAAGAAAAAAACAAGGAAATATGGCGAGTACCTGATCAAAAGTAATAAAAAAAGGACATCATATGCAAATGCTTGATTCAGTTTTACACATCAAAACAAAACAAAACAAAACAGATAAACAAACATGTACCAGAATGCACGTATATGCGCAAAAACGGAAATGCTTGCCTATGCGTACAGCTTGTCGCTATCTGGGATCCTGTTGTTTGGTTGGCGATTTCTATTCGAATCGCTCTTTGGGTGTAGCACTTGTCGCACGATGAAACCTTTCTCGCTTTCAGGACGAGGTCGCGCGCTATCGCCATGATAAATCTCGCATCGGAAGCGAAGGTATTTATCACCGTTCTGGAATATAGTGATAATGTCGTCTGTGTACAATTTCCCAAAGTCAAACGCTTCACTGCCATTCTCCATCTGGCGGCCGCGACGGAGTTCAACCCCATTCACCCAAATACACTTGCGTGTCTTGGTGGAGAGAATCGTCATCACGTCTGGGATAGCCATCCAGTCAGCTCCTTCGGCAATCCGCGCTTCCACGCCGGGACTCCAAAACGTGACTTCGATTGCGTACGCTGGAATGCGCGTATCCATTCTCTCGGGATAGACTACTGTGGCTAGAGGGCCACGGCCCCATGAAGTCATTCGGCCTTCTAGCCGTAACGTGAGATCGATAATGGAACCGGGAACAGTAACTAGTTTGCCAAGTAAACGCCGTGGTTTTCGGAAGTCGGCCGGCGTCAAACTTCGTGGAATGCCGCTCGCTACAGTTTCGGTCTCTGCCGGCGGAGGATCCAGGCCGCTCGAGTCCGTCGTTGTAGGCATTATTTCCTTGCCTGTACGGGCATCGATCGTCACAGCTAGTTCGGCTTGTTTGTGGTCGTCCGTAGTAGCATCGCTCTCATGATCCCGGTATTCGTCAGCTCGCGGAATAGAACTTTCGCTGGCTGTGTCAGGAAGTACAAGCTCGGTACGACGATGGATAGGCAGGGCTTTGGGGGTTACTTCGGTTGCGTGGGGTTCATCTTGTGCTTCGCCTGGAATATCCTGATTAGCAGGCGTCACCTCTCGTTCACGGTGACTACTATATGGTGTGTCGGGCCTTTCAACTGCAGCTGCAGAACTCTTGAATGAGCTTTCGTGAGAAGACGGCATTTTGAGTTGTCCCACAAAGCTATCAGATCCCAAAAGACTGGGAAAAGATCCTCCGAATACGGGCATGGGAAATGAATGTACCCCAACAGACAATTCGTCCGCATCCACCATCGACTCACCAGAAGAATGATCGCTCTTCGAGCTGAAATCGTGTGGGCTGAGGCCGTCGAGGACTCCGGAGCTACGTACAGCGGATGATGTAACTTCACCAAAAAGTCGATTTGCTGTTGTAACCTCCAGGTTCGGCGACACGTCAAGAACCGAGAAGCTGTCCATGGGTGGAAGGGAGGGATAACGAATGATGTCAGCATCGTCAAGACGCTGCCGTTTCGACTGTGCCTGGTCCGACCTGACATGTATCGCAGCTCCATTGTACGCTGGATCGTCATTGATTGACAATTGAGAAGCATCCAAGTCCTCTTCTATTGCTTCTCTAATCATGGCGAGCTGCTCATCCTCCAACGGAAAATCTTCTGCGTCGGAATACTCATCGAGATCTGCAACATTTGAAATCCATGGGTGTTGGAAGAGTTCCCTCTCATTCGGGCGCTCATGAGGATCTGTACGTAAGAGCTGCGATACAAAGTCCACACCCTCTTCCGATACCCCTTCTTCTCGAAGAACATCATAATCTACTTCTGTTGTCATGATGGTACGGAGCATCTGTGCCCCCCTGTCATCTCCACGCCCAGTAAAGGGCGGTGAGCCACACAGAACGTGAAATAGCACTGCTCCAAGGGACCACATATCGACCGATTGGTCATATGGAGAGGTTCGCGGGGGTCTATGATACAAATGTTAATATATGCGCGCGTATCACGTTTCAATTGGGCAAATCAAACATACGGATCACCAAATCGACGGCGCTTTCTGGCCGCGCCTTGCCTATAGTTGTCGTATTCTGGATATACTTCAGGCGCACAGTACAGTAAAGTCCCACAAAATGTTTTCATGAATGTTTCTTCCTGCACTACCTTGGAAAGGCCAAAGTCTGAAAGTTTCACGCGCAGTGGATCGATGGACGATATGAGGATATTATCAGGCTTGATGTCTCGGTGCGTTATTTTCCGTTTGTGTAAATATTGTAAGGCATGGAGAAGCTGACGGGTGATGCTTTTGACCATATCCTCGGCGATTTTTCCGTGCACTGCGAGGTACGCAGAAAGCTCTCCACCAGCAACATACTCCATGATGATATAGATCCAACGGTCATGCTCATGGTGATCAACGTACTGGACAATGTTGGGCTGTGAAGGGAATTAGTTTGGGAAGCATAACTCAGGTTTATTATTTACTCACATGACGTAGGTCTTTCATTATCTTCATCTCATTGTCGACCTTCTGGTCAAGGACCCCATTCTTCATGAAGCGGCGTTTGTCCAGTTCTTTGGCCGCATACACGATACCATCTTGTTTCGTTGCCAACTTGTAGACTGTGGCAAAGGCACCTTTTCCGATTTGACCGGTGACATTATAAACTGAGCCGCCAGTCCAGTGCATCCCGTAAGGGTTACCCAGAGTCAACTGAAGTGCTGATTGTGGAGGGGGCGCCCGGGCTTGAAGATTGCGTACTTTTGCATTATGTCTAGCAACGCGTTGCAGATATGCGAGGAGGTTTTGTGTGTACTGTACATTGAAGCCATCCCGAGAGGGAATACGCACGACAAAGCGAACTTCCTTATTCTGCCGATTGTCCGAGGCCACGATAATGACAGAGCCATTGATCAGCATACGAGTTGTTTGGCCGTTACGTTTCCACAAGCGAGCATTATCGACCACGGTGCCGTTAGTCGACAGGTCCTGTAGCATCAGGATTCCTTCTTCGTTTAGGAAAATTCGGAAGTGGATATTTGAAATATGTTTGGACGTCACTTCCGGAGTGAGAAGAATGTCGCTTCGTTGTGGGTTGCGTCCAAAAACAAACCCCATTGACAAGTCCTGAACAGACGACGACAGTCGTAGGGCGATATCTCGAGCTGGTGAGTCTACAGGATCATATTCGAACTCATCGCGTTGGAGTATATGTTGATGACCTCGGTGCTGCTGTGCAGTAGCATCGACCGCCTCGTGAGCATAATGGGACCCTGGATGCAAGATGCAAAGAATGTCTGCCACATCTTGATCTAGCAGACCAGAATTATGCGATCCTACTCGACGAGGATCGGAGTATGGCTGAGTCGACTCCTGGGTTGGATTCACATCCATCGTAAATACCAGCAGGGCAGCTGAGAAGTTGTCTCAGAACTCGACGTTCATAGATACCCCGAGACATAAACAGGTTCGTATTGAAAACTAAGACAAAGGATGGTCGTAAAATATGAATATGGCACAGCAGAGTCTGTCCGTTTTTATCGCTGATCCTGCATTTGATAACTACTGTCAATCCACTCCTCTTTACAAGGGCGATTTGAGTTGTGTTTCAAGCAGCTTGGATCCTAGCTCCATGCACGTCAGTCCTATAAGCACTGGCAAAGGACGTAAAACAGGTGCCAGTAATATCATTTGTCGACCAAAATTGAATGAACAGACCCTGGATCCAATTTCTTTTCCCTGTACAAAGCTTTATATAGTCCACGCCAAGAACGACCGCTTGAAATATTTGAACGGCACAGTCCTCCAATTCCAATAATTCCCAAAAAAAAAAATATGGAGGGCCTCGCCAATTCGTCTCTGGAGCTTTGTCGTCTAATGTTCGAAAGGATAAGAATAGGGACGGTTGGGAAATGTTACGACGAACTAAAACGCCATTGAATCGGTACACTGTTACGCATGGCTGTTAACACAATATCACAGCAAATCCTTCCCTGTAATAAATGCATTCAGGGGACGTACGTGGAAGGAACCTTCAAGCTCGCTCGTCTTGCGAAACTTCCCTGCCAGCCGTCCACGAGAGCAGCGTCCCCAGCCTGGATAGTGACTCCGAGATGGATGAAGGCGGCGGGAGTGGCTGTCTGGCAGGGTCGCTGTCGTCGTCCGAGAAACGGTTGAGGACAAGAGAGCCAAAAGGCGGTATCTGCTTTGATTAAGCCTTGGAGCTGTTGACAGACAGTATGCAAAAGAAAGCCTCAGGCTCCCAGCCTTGTTTGCTCTGTCATCATTATTGTTTATCCGTTCCGGGCTTTCAGGCAATACCAAGTTATGGGGCCTGAGAAATAAGGCCTGCCATCCTAGCGGGGAAACTATGATTGTGCTACACTCTGATTGGCTAGTGCCTACGTCTGCTGCGGGCCAACCGCCGGGCTTGTTCCTTTGGGCCATGTGGGTCCTTGCCGCGGCTCTTTCTGCCTGGCAGCTTCCTAATTCAACCTCGACTCTCTGTCTCATTCATTGTCTACCTAAGGAACTATCTCACCTCACTCACCTCCCTACCTCATGCCATATGGCTTACTGCCATCGCTACTTAGCTCAAACTTACCACTCAGAGCTACCTTGAAGACCTCGTCGAGGCGGCGTAGAGCTTCCTCAGAAACCTCTGCTGGTCATTAGCAAACCATTCCTTTCGACGTTCTAATGACTCCCACAAGCATATGCGTGCACTTACGGTAGTGAATGATTATTCTGTTTCCAAGAAGACACAAGCCCTTCTCCTTACCGATTTCTCCCATGTCATTGGGTCCAACACCAGAGGCAACAAGATCCAGCCATACCATATTTGTTTCCACGGGATTGGCCAGTTTCCCTCCCTTGGAAGTCCACATTTCTGCAACTCGTTTGGCCTTGACATGAGTATCCCTGAGCTTACCGCCCTCTCCGTTAGGATCTGGGCCGAAGGTTTCTTCCACAGCGACTCTGGCAGCAGCTGATATCACCCCAGCTTGACGTGTTCCACCGCCAATTGACTTGCGAAACCACCGCGCTCTGTCAATGAATGCCTTTGAGCCAACTATAATGCTACCGATTGGTGCTCCAAGGCCCTTGGAGAAGCACAGGCTGATGCTATCGAACAAACTTGTGTATTCATCCAAACTGCCTGCGCCAGACACGACAGCTTCCCACAACCTAGCTCCGTCCAGGTGTACCTTCACGTCGTTGGCATGTGCCCACTCGACAATCCTTTTGGTTTCACTCAGAGGCATCACCATTCCATCAAGTGTATTCTCCAAGCTAATCAACCTGGTTGGGCAATAATGGTCGTTTATCGCGGGAACGTACTTGGCCTGAAGATCCTCGAGGGTAAGGTGTCGGCCGTTTTTAGGTACTAAGCCGTGGACTGTAGCCCCTGTCCACATACTGACGCCTCCGGCCTCATACCGAAGGATGTGAGAGCGGTGATCGCACAGAACTGAGTACGGAGGCTGAGACAAATGGGTGCGAATAGCAACTTGATTTCCCATAGTGCCAGACATGACCAGGAGGCCGGCCTCATGTTTAGTGCGCTCCGCCACGTATTGCTGCAATGAGTTCGTCGTTGGGTCTTCGTTGAAAACATCGTCGAGAAGGGTGGTCTGCGTAATCGCCTCCAGCATAGATGAGGTTGGCTTTGTCATCGTGTCGCCTGTGTTTATGATGCGCATTAGCTATCTGTCCTCAACGCAATTCTTTCCTGAGTAAACTGACTTCTCAGGTCAAATTCAGCTGCTCCCAGGCCCTGCCAGGAGTTTGTCTTGCCATCCCCTCCGCTGGCGGAGTTCGGAGCTGTGGCGGCCATTGTGAATGTACGCAAGGTGATACTCTTAGTGGCAATGCGGCCAAACTGTGAGCAATTGATATGGCGGAAAAGACGCGATACGTTTCTCATGGATAATCAGGCCGTATGTAATCTACTTGGAACCCCCCTCATGAAACCAGTATAAAGAGGCCGTCCTCGCGGGGCTGTCTCTGGAGCCTGTAGAAGCTTATCGCGCACTAGCCTCAATCGAGTCCACAGGCCTTGGCAAAATCTCACCGCCTGCGGCTCCCTCCGCGGCATGCGCTGTCACTCTCGCGCCAGTCGGTGACTTACCCATTTTCCTTGTTTTTTATTCCATCCACGCCCCCTCTTCATAGTCGCAGAGCACCGGTGCTCTGCTATCCTGCTGTGCGTCAACGGATGGCGACTCTCGCTCCGTATCAACTGTCATCATGGATCTCTCTCATCTGAGCCGACCGTCTATACTTTGTCAGTGTGCCCGGTGTTCGAGCTCGGTGGCAGCATGCGAGAACGAGTGGGCGAAGCTATCCGACACCTACTCGACATTAACAGGATGGGTCAGCATTGACATGAACCGAATCAATGTTTCCCCCGAGAAGAAACAAATCCCGCACTCGTCCGAACTGGAATTTGTCCGCGGTCGCACGGTTCAGGACATTGTGTGCAGACTCTGTCGCCAGAAACTCGGTGGTTTAGTCCACCTAGAGACAGAGTACGTTTTGAGGATATCTCTTTTCCCTGTGTCCTGCTCTGGCTAACGTTACCAGAGCAAAGGTGTTCTGGAAATTATCCAAAGTGTCCTTTAGGGAGATCATAACAATGAAAGAGTCGCATCCATTATTCGTTGGGGGCTCATTATCGTGGCTTCTGGAAGCAGTCGAACAACCTGTCGCACAGACCGACGCAGAAGGCAGCCCTTCCTTTTCCACGGGTCGTCGTGAAACTGCGCTCAGTCAGACTTTATTAAATCAAGGTGCCAGTCTGAGCAGAATCTCAAGCTCTGTTGAGGAGTTGCACGATACCATGTCCGACCTCAAACAGTCATTCAAAGCTCTCAGGCTAGAGTTGAATACTACAACACCCTCGACTCGCAGTCAAGAGTATCACGGTGATGAGGCCATGGATATGCTTAGGACAGTATTGAAGGAGCTACAATCGAAATCAGACGAGATTGAGAAACTCAAGCTGGAGAATGATTCATTGAAATGGAGGAACAAGTGTCTTCAAGAACATCAAGCGGGTACCAACACCTTGGGTCCGCAAGTCCCAGAACTAAAGGCTCTTCCTCAAGTCCAGAGTCCGGCCTTCTTGGCTGAAGCTGGAACAAGCGGTTTGCCGGTTGCCGCCACGCAAATTCCAATCGCGGATACATTCGAAGAAGACAACGAAATCATGGACCATACAACGGATCATGAGATAAATCCATCTTCAATGGCTCCTGTCAAGGTACCTCTCAAGCCGGCTGCGAATAATCCCCCAGCGTCTCCAGCAGTCGCAGCACAAGAACAAGTCCCAGGTCCTGGATTTGTGTCTAGGTCTCGAAGAGGCTCTGGAGAACCCGCTACGAAACGACTAAGACTTACCAGGACCGAAGAGATAGAGAGTCCCACCAGTGGGAGCGGCGCTAGTACCAGCCAACCCGTCAAGGAGAGGAAGAGAGGGAGGCCTTTGGGTCGGCGGAAATCTCAACAGGCGCTTCCGACCGAGGAGCCTCGTACCCCATCGACTGAGCAGGCATTGTCGAACACGAACGGAGCTGACACAGGCACAGAGGATAACCAGTCCAAAGCGGCGGACGCGGCCACTACATCTGAAAATCCGCGCCCTAGGGGAAGACCACGCCGGGCTAGATCCAGGGCTTCTCCGTCGGGGTCTACGTCGCAGGCGACTTCAAGGGCGCCGTCAGCCTCATCGAGAGTAACCCGACGCGCGAGAAAATCTCAAGAGGCAGCTAAGTCACGAGACAATTTAACGGTCCAAAACCCAAGCCGGCCGGCCGGATTTGAGGTGGCTGTGAATGTAGCGGAGCTGACTCCTGAAAGCGTCGTCAATGAGCACGAACTCATCACACAGAAGGGTAATCAGAACTTGGGACCGGAACCTGACGACGAAAGCCTACAATATCAAGCCAAGCTTGCCGCTAGAGATTTGTTAGCAAAGACAGCGATGGAGAGGGAAGAAGCGATGGATGACGGATAGATAGGTATTATTTAAATACTTTTTTAGAAATATAAACATTAAGTATTGTCCAAAACTGAACAAGCCTCGTCTTCTCATAAAACTCGTTCGCTTCTTTATATATATATATATATATATATATTTACATGTCTAGCGAATACCCAAGTCACTATTTTTACTTGACACACATAAACCCACAACCTTCTCTGGCTCTCTCGCAGGCCTTTTTCAACATTTGCTCCTCTTTATCGGTCCATCTGACAGTTAATTCATCCCACTTCTTCCGCGAGTTGTTATATTCTTCCCGATACAGTTTATGCATGGCATGCAACCGGGAAACCTCTCGCGGGTCACCGGTGCCAGAGTACACGATGAAAAGCGTACATGAAGGCAGAGAGTCGTAGATTCGTTTGATATTATGCACTGTAGTTGTGACGGTAGATGCTAGTGAAGACGATGGCGAGGTAGTCTCGCTGGTCATGTCGGACACGGTCGGAGTCGTCTCTTCGGGAGGAGGAACAATGGCAGTTGACACATTTGCGTTGTTGGGGTCTGGTCGACGATTACACCAGCCTCGGACAACCTCGAGTTCTCTGAGGCGTGCCCAGGCAAAATCGACTCCGTCAACGGGTATGTTGCGATTTGCAGGGGAGTCATTATTGCCATCATTACCACCACTACCACGTACGGCCAGACTGACGCCGTCGACGACTTGGTCGTCATTGTCGCAGCCAATGGCGACGGTGGCCTGGGCTCCGAATCCTCGTTCGGGGCTGCCCCAGTCAACGATGGCGCCGGTTCGGCCATCGGATTTTCCGGATTTGACTGATCGTCCGAGTCGGCGGAATATGCTCTCGTTATTCGCGTCGGAGGTGCCCCATCGCTCGCCCTTTTCGCATTTTTGCTTCACAAGGTCGAGCACGGCTCGGGCGTCTTCGATGGAGTCGTGGCCGGTTTGGCCCTTTTGGATTTCTTTGCCGAGGTATTTCTGGCAGAGCCATTTGAGTGAGCTCTTTAATGGAGGTCCGCGTGGGTGAGGGTAGATGATTGCTGTATCGATGATGAAGGGGTGTGTTAATTTGAGGGCATTGAGGTCGGAGTTTAGAGAATGTCCGACTAGGACGGTGCGAGGGGTGAGGATTTCCAAAAGCTTTTTCTGAATATCGGCGAGGGTGGTGGTGACGGGGTCGAGCATTTCCTTCGTAATGCCGGAAAATTGAGTCAAGTAGTTGATGATGGGTAGGTCTGGTTTAACCAATTCATCCAGAATCACCTCCCCATCCCACCGGACCATACTGATACGGGTGAGTTCTGATTTCCCACCTTCGGTAATACACATCTCGCAGTCTAGAGCCAAAACTTCTCGGCCAGCAGTTACGCTTCCTTTTTGAATCTCGGACTCGGGAGATTCCCCTTCAGCTAGTGATTGGACATTTGAGTCTACCCAACCGTGTTCTGCTGAAGCGCCGGCTCGCTGACGAGCCCTGAGCTCTGCCGCCTGCTCTGCTTCAGTGTCAAAGTAGACAGGATGTAAAATATAGTCGTTCTCTCGTAATTCCCATTTCGGGGCCATAAATGCAGTAATGGGCGTTCGTTTCGAAACGAAGGATTTGTCAACCCTAGTAGGACGAGGACCCTTGGTCCTGTTTTCCTCTTGTGCTTTTGGCAATTGCGACAGTAAAATGGCTTGCAGCGGCGAATGGACCTTGTTATACTTCTTGTCACCAGGTGCCTTTACAGGCCAGATGTGCGGAAACATATCGGCCAGTTCTTGAAGAGGTTTCGGCAACCGTTCTCGAGATAGGCTTTGAGGATTGAAACGATGGGATTTATCTGCCAGCGGAAGACCGTTTTTCCAGCGCTCAAAGTCCTCGTTTTCTGCCTGGATTTCTTCTGTTTCTGTCGGCTCCTTTTTCACTGCTGGTTCAACGGCGGCGGCAGCAGCCTCGTCGCCTAGAGGAACCGAGCCGTCGAACATGCCAATTTCCAATCCCGGCACCATAAGGACTACGACTTTCCTTACATGGCCAGAATGCTTCACCGAAATCCATTGCGGTGCGATCCCGTCTGCAAAGCAGTACAGCAATAAGCTCTGTAGGTCGGCAATTCGAATGGAGGATTGTAACCTCCCCTCAACATACGTCAAGGTCGGGTATTTTGTCTTCTCGCCATTGTCGCCCCTACGACGCTTTTTCGACCCGCTGGGCTTGACTGTGTCCACCTTCGCTGTCGGCTCTTCTTCGGTGGCGGTGGCGGCAGACGAGGATGCTGATTCTTGTAGTAGCGACAGCGTCTGGCCAACCCCAAATCTGTTCTCGCCAGAGGGAGACATCACGGGATCGGCGTAGTCATCGGCCTCACGCTTGCGCTTTGCCATGACGTAGGACTGGGCCTCTGGCAGGTAAAAAATTCGTGTTTGTATGTCAATATGAGGGCGTTCCCTCAAGTCACCAGCTCGCTAGTTGTCCATCTCAATAGTAAGGACGAGTTGGAGTACCTCTGCTTGCGGAGAAATTCAGAGTCGACAAATTTGGAAGGATGCCATCGCCGGCACGTGATTGGTTGTAATGCCACGCGCGCTGATTGGCTGGAGCTCTGCCTCGGTCAATCTGTTATTCCTAGTTCCGCATAAATTACAAGCAATACGCTGATTTACGCAAATTCACAACGTTCCACTGCACATTCATCCTTAGCACCGCGTATCAGCCGTACCGCTCCATCTTATAAGATTGATAACTCGCGCAATTTTTACTCGCGGCGCAGACTCCAGCAGCTGCAGGACTAGACGACTAGCTTGCTGTAGGCTGTTGGTCAGGGAGAAACGTAAGCAAGTAACTTAGTTAACTAGTTAGCAGCACAGCCACCATGACAACAACTAACTGAATGCATGGATCAGTAATCTTGACTGTTCCGTGAGTAAGTAATCGTTTGGCCTGGATGGCGTCAACCCCGTAAGAAATCTTTTCCGGGCCCCGATTGCCTTTCGCAGCAGCGCGGGGAATACCCTCTAAACTCCTCCTCCAACCGCTCTGCGCCAGCTTCATATTTTTGACTGCACGCTTGCAACGTCGAACACGCAACTCAAATTCGCCGGTCTCGTTCCTTGTGCTATCCCCGTACTCCGTACATTATCTTACCATCTTCTTCGCCTCCTGCCAGGCCCCGCTGTGCCAAACTACCCCCCCGCAGCACACGAAGACTACACGCCACCATAACCACCGCAAAAATGTCGTCTCTTCAAGAAATCACCTCCGAGTCTGCATTCAGCGAGCATCTATCCTCCCTTCCTCCTTCGACGCTTCTCGTGCTTTCATTCCACACTCCCTGGGCGGCACCATGTACGCAAATGCGCACCATCCTCAACACTCTTGCCGGAGGATACCCGGTCACATCACCACCCACAGTCTCCTTCGTCAGTGTTAATGCAGAAGAACTCCCGGATATATCAGAGGAATACGATGTGACTGCAGTGCCTTTCCTGGTTCTCATCCGTAACAAGAAGGTTCTCGAGTCCATTAGCGGCAGCGATGCCATCAAGGTCCGCGACGCTATCGAGCGCCACGCCGGTCAAGGCTCGGCATCCACGTCTGCTGTGCCGGGCTCGAAACCAACCATCCCTCCAATCTTGAATGCGACGCCACGCGAGCCAGTGACCTCCGGTGCAGCAACAGAAAACCCAGCGGGCACGTCCACGTCCGCGGCGGTACCAGCACCCGCGCCCCCAGCTGTGTCGGCCGAGGAAACCAAGGAAGCATTGTTTGCACGTCTGGCCGAACTCGTCAAAGCCGCTCCTGTTATGCTTTTCATGAAGGGCACCCCCAGCTCGCCTCAGTGCGGCTTTAGTCGCCAACTCGTGGGAATTCTGCGCGAGAATGGCGTTAAATATGGGTTCTTCAATATTCTCGCAGATGAAGACGTGCGTCAAGGCCTGAAAGAGTTTGCTGACTGGCCTACATTCCCTCAGTTGTGGGTTCAGGGTGAGCTTGTAGGGGGATTGGACATTGTAAGAATTTTATCTCTTCCCTTTTCTTTCTTCCCCCATATGAGACTAATAATGCTTTCTACAGGTCAAAGAGGAACTTAGCGCAGATCCTGATTTCTTGAAAGGTTATGCCGTCCAACGGCCTTCGGCGGCTACAGCGTAGATTGGATATTTTCGTGTTTTGGGAAAGACGAAAAAAATGAACAAAATATATACCCCAACGCCTTTTTTAGAATAGCTGTACATGAAATTAAATGACAAGCCTAGTTTGTTTTTGAGCAGTATTTCGCCTTATTAAACGACAATATTCGGTAATAATCTTAGAGGTGTATATACTAGTAAACATAAATCATACATTTCGAGGGGCCTGGTACATCAGGGGTATAATAAGAGTAGATCATTTTCCAAGCAAGAAAATCAACTAGACGTAACCCCCCGAAATAACCCACTATTCCGCTTCAAAGTGAAGATTCTACTATGCACAGCATCTTCATCAACATACGCCCCAGCAAGCCATCTTTCTCCAGCGGTGGTATCAAAAGCCCGGCGAGCATGTAGTACCCTACGGTTCTCGAAAATGACGCACTGTCCTGGCTTTAATTTGAGTTCAAAAATGCGCGAGGGATCGTGGATCCTGTTCTCAAATTGTATAACGGCAGATATGAACTCTTTCATTCTATCAGTCCAGCTAATCGCCTCGCCGGAATTGATGTGGAATGGTCCTTGGAAGGGAGGGGAGTAATTGACGTAACTAAGATTGTTCCCAGCAAAAGACTCGAGAACCGGCCGAGTCATTCTGTAGTATTGATGGCTGTGATCATAGTGATAGGGAACCTCGAAAGTCGCCAGTGTTTGCCACGATTTTGCGTCGAGATCTGCTGCTGCGCCAAAGGCATCTACGAATAGAGACTCGCCGCCTTCGCATGAGTTGCGCAGGCAATGCAGCAGTTGAAATCCCGGCGGATTCTGCACGTATAACAGGTCCATGTGGAATCCCAGGTTTTTGTTTGTATACGCAACGTTTTTGGCCTGGGGGTCATGTCGGACGTCCCATGTTGCGCCGTAAAAGGTATTGCGTAACGGCCCCATGCGCGTTGCTAGGTTCTCGACCATGTCTCGCGAGTCGGGGATGTCGTGCACAAACAGGAGGCCGTAGAGGGACAGGTTGTGCAGTGCATTCATGAGTAGACCGTCGTTCTCCATGTAGTCTTGGTAGCTGATCCAATGCTGGGCCAGTTCCATGTCATTCTTGTCCCAGTGCAGTCTGGGTTTTCCGGCAGCAGCTACGGTTCTCTGGTGGAAGTAAGCAGGGGGGTAGTTGATGTCGTCGGCAGTCAGCCTTGTCACATGCGTCTTGTCGATGTCGTGACCGGCGAGGTTCTTGTTCCACGATATTTCTAGCACTTTCTGCCGGTTGCTCTCGGAGTCGTCTACCCATTTCATTTCACGCGGTGCTATGTCCTCGGGGATTTCGCTTGTGCGGAAGAACCGTTGTTTTGTCTGAGGGTCAACGCAGCGGGGACATTGACAGCCATCGCGCAGCTGGATGTAATGAACATCTACAGTCCGTTCATCCAGTTCGTTCATCTCCGTACGAGGAAGTCTGAGCACGGCCTTCTCTCGACCAACGTCTTTAACAAGGCCCTTGAAAGCGTCTGTTGCAGTTCCAGTTGCTGTATGCTGCGGAGGTGGGGGGTTAGTATGGGAGTATCCCCTCTTCGACACCCAGAGGGGACATGATCTTGACACCGGGGGAGCGACTATTCTCCTTGCTGCGGCAGAAGCCCATGATGAGCGAAGAAACAATCCGCGAGAACTGCACATGGTGTTTGACTGACTTATAGAGGAAGAGCTGCAGCGGGGATAATGTTACAGTACAATACATACAATACATACTGTACCGATACAATACAAGCTTTAAGCTTATCAATTGACCCGAGCTGCATGAATTTCGGAGTTACTTTCTTATCAAAATCTCTTTCTCTCTGTGCATCTCGCGCGCTCATCCTCTTCCGTTCCTATTGTTATAAATTCCACCAGCATTATTTTCCGGCTTGCCTTTCAGTTGCTGAATGCATGTCTGCCGGAGGTGAGCGCCTGAAAGATGAAGGCACGAAGAAGCAGGTTGTCGTCGCAGGAGGTATAGCTGGACTAGTATCGAGGTGAGGCATTAGAGAGAGAAAGAAAGCTCGTCAGAATAGATCAGAACTGACATATACGTGTCCAATCCAAGATTCTGCGTCGCGCCTCTTGATGTCGTCAAAATCCGCCTTCAGCTCCAGATCCATTCGCTTTCTGATCCTCTCTCACACCATGGCATCAAGGGCCCAATTTACAAGGGGACAATCCGGACGATGCGCTCCATCGCCAGAGAAGAGGGAATATCAGTATGTTTATAAGAGCTTCGGTGAAAGTTCAAACCCGCTAACCGTCCCCATCAGGGCCTATGGAAAGGAAACATCTCCGCCGAACTAATGTACGTCTGCTACGGCGGCCTCCAATTCGCAGCCTACCGAACAACAAACCAGTTCCTCGAAGAACTGCCGCACCGTCTACCCCAAGCCGCCGAGTCATTCGTCTCGGGCGCCGTCGCCGGCGGCATCGCAACCTCGTGCACATACCCTCTCGACCTGCTACGCACACGGTTCGCCGCCCAGGGGAACGAAAGGATATACACGTCCATCCTGTCCTCAATCCGAGACATATACCGCACCGAGGGGCCACGCGGGTATTTCCGCGGTTGCTCGGCGGCCGTCGCCCAGATCGTGCCGTATATGGGCCTCTTTTTTGCTACCTACGAGACGCTCCGGTTACCACTCGGTGGTGGCCAGCTACTAGGCGCGTGGCTGCCGTTTGGATCCGGCGATGCGGCGGCCGGGGTTCTGGCGAGCGTAATTGCGAAGACGGGCGTTTTCCCGCTGGATCTTGTGCGGAAGAGGTTGCAGGTGCAGGGTCCGCATCGCGCGCGATATGTGCATACTAATATCCCGGAGTATCAGGGGGTTGTGCGCACGATTGCGGTTATTTTGAGGACTCAGGGAGTGCGTGGGCTGTATCGCGGGTTGACGGTTAGTTTGTTCAAGGCTGCGCCGGCGAGTGCGGTGACCATGTGGACGTATGAGAGGGTGCTGAATTTGATGCGCGAGATGGATTGATTTTTATTTTTATTTTTATTTTTATTTTTATTTTTTTTTTTTTTTGATTGGCGTTCATACGTATAGGCTGTTTTTTTAGAGTGATTGCTTCCTTCAGCTGGTTTAGATATAGTCAGGAGTTAGGAGGTCATTTTCTTTAGGTAGTGAACGAACTAATTCTTGGGATTGAAACCTTATTGTTCAGTCGAATATCGAAGCTCGTTATTAAATATGTACGACACCTGATTTCTATCGGTTCATCTAATCTACTAGACAGACAGAAAAGAGTGTACAGAGGGTGTTGTTATGTGCAGTCAGTCCTCTAGTACTCGGCCTCTTCCTCGAGGTCGCCTTCAATGCCATCGCTAGCAACCTCCTCGTAGTCCTTCTCGAGAGCAGCCAAGTCCTCACGGGCCTCGGAGAATTCACCCTCCTCCATACCCTCACCAACGTACCAGTGCACGAAAGCACGCTTGGAGTACATGAGGTCGAACTTGTGGTCGAGACGGTTCCAAGCTTCGGCGATGGCGGTGGTGTTGGACAACATGCTGACGGAGCGGTCGACGGCTGCCAATTCGCCGCCGGGGACGCTCTGTGGCTTCTGGTAGTTGATGCCGAGCTTGAAGCCGGTAGGGCACCATTCGACCAGGTTGAAGGAAGCCTTGGCCTTGACGGAGGCAATTGCGGCATTGCAGTCACGAGGCATAACATCACCGCGGTAGAGGAGAGCAACAGCCATGTACTTGCCGTTGCGAGGGTCGCAGACAACCATCTGGTTGTTGGGTTCGAAGCACTGGAAGGTGAGGTCGTTGACCTTGAAGCTTTCGTGGGAGCTGCGGTTGCTGGAGACCACAGGGGCGTAGGAGATGAGAGGGTAGTGAATACGAGGGTATGGCACCAAGTTGGTCTGGAACTCGTTCAGATCAACGTTGAGGGCACCGTCGAAGCGAAGAGAAGAGGTGATGGAGCTGACGACTTGGGCAATCAGGCGGTTCAAGTGCTCGTAGCCGGGGCGAGGGATGTCCAAGTTGCGACGGCAAATGTCGTAGACAGCTTCGTTGTCCACCAAAAAGGTGCAGTCGGAGTTCTCAATGGTGCTGTGGGTGGAAAGGACGGCGTTGTATGGCTCAACGACGGCGGTCGAGACACGAGGAGATGGGTAGACGGAGAACTCGAGCTTGCACTTCTTTGCGTAGTCGGTAGCAAGACGCTCCAGCAACAGGGCACCGAAACCAGATCCAGTACCACCGCCGAAAGAGTGGAAAATCAGGAAACCCTGGAGGGAAGAGCAGTTGTCTATATCTTCTCTTAGCCAGAATCCCGATCATGAGATGCTATCAGGACATACCGGTAACACGACGAATGCGGTCGATGACCTTGTCGACCAACTCCTTTCCAATAGTGTAGTGACCACGAGCATCTAAAAATGGGCGAATTAGTCTTGTTTATTTTGCAAATCCTTTGTAAAATCCAAGAGCATACAGTTGTTGGCAGCATCCTCCTTGCCGTTAATCAGCATCTCAGGGTGGAAGAGCGAGCGGTAGTCACCCGTGCGGATTTCATCGATGGGCTGCGCACGTTAGTACTGAGATGGTTTCCCTTTTGTTTTATGTGAAAATATCCAGTCCCATTGCACATACAGAAGGATCCAAGTCGACGAAGATAGAACGAGGCACATATTTGCCGCCGCTGGTCTCATTGAAAAAAGTGTCATAAGAACCAGGGTCTCCAATTTTCTCAGCGGCCTCGGGGTCAATCTGGCCATCAGCCTTGAGACCGTGCTCAAGAAGGTACCTGCAAAAATGAAAGGGTTTTTCCCGTATAAGTTCACAATTCGCCGTCGGAGAGTGGAAGGGAAGAATGGCGGTGAGACGACGTACAGCTCCCAGGCGCTGTTACCCAGCTGAGTACCAGCCTGGCCGATGTGAAGATGGCAAATCTAAGAGAGCGGCAGTGCGTTAATAGCCATATTTCTAAAAGTCAAAAGACGTAGTGGCTGTTCGTGATGTTCATCAACTGTCACAAGTTTTTGGTTGAGGTTCAGGGGAATGGAGAGTGGGGGAACAAGGTGTAAACAATCATGAATAGCACTCGGGAGCAGCTGACGAACTCACCTCACCACGCATTGTGACTGTCGAGAGATGGACGCAAAATAACAAGAAACACAAAAGAAGATGGTGACCAAAAAGAAGCCTGGACAAGCTAGCAAGCAAGCAAGCGAGGACACAAAGTCGACGATGCGGACAGCACAAGCTCGCGTTTTGTTTAGGACGAACGCATTCGAGCCAATCAGCGCCGACCGGGCCATAGCTTCCGCGCTAGTGCGTGTCTGGTAGCGCCCTGGCCAATCATAGGCGCTGGTGGCGCGCCCCTGGCCTGAGGCCCCGGCGTGGGACCCACCGTCCACTTGAACCGGCAACTTTATCTTCTCCTCATCTAAGCTGGAGAGCTGTATTGAGCTCATGGGGTTGTTAGCAGAGAACTTCGCGAAGTCAAAAATACGCTGAAAGGTTCATTAAGATCGTACCCGACTAATGCGTCAACCTGACTCTTGATTGGCTGAAAAGAACTGTACTAATATGACCTTTGCTACATCATTGGTTAGTGCCTATTAGTAATGTGATTTTGATTAACTAGGCTATCAAGTCAGGTGACTCAAGTATTTAATTGTCTACGCTTATTACTGAATCACGTGACTTTTCATGCGGTCCCCCGAAATGGCTGTTGATCGGTCAAAAAACTAGTAACGTGACTTGCCGCTTTTGTACTAAATCTAGGGCAATATTTTAGGGCCCGTTCCCTTCTCTAATATCAACGCCCGTTGGGCACTTTCCTTTTCTAATCACAGCACCTTTTCCAACCCCTCGCTTACTCTTAACGCCTTATTACAACTCCTTCAAATCTCTCAACTCCATGTCCCTCCTTCACTTCTCTCTAGCCACCAATATGGCAGACGAGCCTCTGGATCTGACAGCGGAATATGTAAAATTATTTACACAAAATGAGCATGACCAGAAGCCCCATTAAGGGGTCCTTTTTTGGTGATGACTGGTTAATATGCTGTTGCGAGGATCGGTTTTCATCGAAACTCAGCAATGATCATGTCCTTTCCTGCTCTAACAGTCGTGAGAAGCGACAGAGGAAGAGGACTAGCGACGATGCCCAGATAGCAGGGCCTTCTGTGCAAATGTCTAATTTTATGCGACCTACAGTGCCTTCGTTGTATATATTTCAATCTCTCCCGGGAATGTCAACGTGAGGATCCAGTACGAATGTGACCGGGTGTTAAGTGGTGTGGATATTCAATGTTCACCTCAACGTTACTGGCATTACTGCAGCGTCTGCGCGCGAACAATCAGCCTTCTGGCATCTCAACAACAGTGTTAACCGTGCAAGCGGTGGTAATTGCTACCTCAGGGCAAGTTTCCGAGAGATCTAGCTAACGAGGATCAACAGGTTGTGTCAGAGGTACAGGAAAGTATTCATCAGGACTCCATCAAGGAGGAGTATTTTCCCGATAATGTATGGCCACTGCTCACTCAAGCTACAAAACAATCAGATGGGCTCTACAAGTCGGAGCTCCTGAAGGACTTTGTCAAGTCGGAGTTCTACGGACACCAACTTTCAGGGGCTGTTAGGGTGGTTCTGAAACTATACGGCAGTAACGATGCGGAGCTATTACTCACCAGCTAGATCATCAAGCTATATTAGCTCAACAACCATGGGGGCTATCGCATCCCCTGAGAGTTTCAGAGCGATCCATGAAATATTTTTGCCAATATTTCTTTGATATGGACCCGAGTGAAGTTCTGAAGCTTAGCATAAGATTCCAAGTCTCCGCCTCCTGACGACCGGGTTAGTAAGCTTCGTATTTCCACTGGGAAAACACAACCATGACTTATATACGGAATTCTCCCTTCCAACTGCCTTCGGAAGGCATAACAACATGATTTGCCAGTTTTGATCTGCTATGGACGCCACTCAACCTATTCAAGCAACGATGTTGTATTAAGCAAATCCAATCAGGTCTCCTAAACCTTACTAGTTCAGTCACTAAATGCATTCATTCTAAAAAAAAAAGCATGATCACAATACTATTTAGTTCTGCCCCACAATTTGGTCTCGGACTTGGAATACAATCTTTACAAATAAGCCTAGTTTTCAACCATGGCAGCCGTACCGAAAGCTCTCGTTTTTTCGTGGAACAGCACAAGAATTTGTGTGAGATGTCCATAATTGCCTGGAGATACATGGTCACGGGTTCCCTCGGGGACGGAGGTGGAGTGACTGCCGCGGTATGGCTGGAGGCGATTACCGGATCGTGTTTCCACAAGATACGATCCTGCAGCTGCCGGTTACGAGTGGGAGTTTGACCGGGTCCATTCCGTCTTTGTGACAGTGAATCTGGCTGGAAGGATGATCGAGTTGGATCCGCGCCGGCCGTACCGATCCTTGCTTCCGTCAATCGTTCATCTTCACGAGGTAGATACCGTATGGGACGAGGAAAGTGAGGATGTCGGTCTGGCTGAACGACTGAACCTTAGTGACGAAACCCTCAGTGGCCGTCCTCTCCCGGAACGAACAAGTGAGGAGATCTTGGAAGAGCTTTTCGCATCTTCCAAATACCGCCGCGATGTATACATATCCGCATGCATACGAAGGGACATCAATGAGCTGCGACAGCTTTTTGAGACATATTCAGAGGACGATTTTGTTTCGCAACTCAGCGACAAAGGCGACAGCGGCGTGCTACTTGCTGTCACCGAAGAGAACGGACTAGCAAACGGACTAGCAACGGTAAAATGGCTCCACGAGCGAGGCGCAGCCATTACGCATAGCAACCATTACGGCAGAACACCTCTTATGGAAGCCGCTCTCTGGGGTCGATTCGAGATTGTGCAATACCTTACGGCCCAAGGTGTTGCTGTACAAGCCCGCGACGGGAACGGTATGAATGCGTTGGAGCTGGCCATGGATTGCGAGCGCAACGCGGGCGAGCGGGCGTCGCGAGCAGGGCTCAACTACCAAGAACCTGCCTATGCGGATAACCAACGAGCCAGAATCGAAAGCCACTTGAGACGATTGTCCAAAGTTCCCAGCCGTTCACCGGGAGCTGAAGACCCTTCTCGGCGCGGTTTATCATTCTTCCAGCGTACCGCAGACGGAAATCTTGCGCTGTACAGACCTAAAACTATCCTTCTGGTCCCGGGCGGACATCCTTACAAGGCCTTTGCAGAACTTGACCGGGGACCAAATTACCCATTAGTGACGGCAATGAGTGGGTATACCTATCCCGCTTGGCCAAACGTCCTCGACAACAGTCTGTGGGCCAATAGAGCGGATGAGTTGCGCAGGTATCGCGGACTTTCGCCAAATATTCGTGCCGCTTCACACGTCGAGCCTCAGTTGCCAACATACCTTCTCTTCCACCATGATCTTATCAAGTTTACTGACGAGGACGGAGACTTTGAACAAGGAGACCTTCAGAGTCTCTTAAACGATCTACTACCGCTGAACCCAGCCCCAATCATCACTGTCAATAAGGGATGTTTTTGCACTTCATGCGAGGGTTTCTATAGCGCATTTAGGCGCACATTTCACCGTCTGAATGTTCAATTTCGTTTCCAGGGGGCGGGAAATGCTAATCGGCCAGTGTAAATAGGCCATGGTACTGTAATGTTGAAATGTATTTGCGTAAAGCTTCTGCACAAACACCTCATTGCCTTGGCGCATATCCAAACCAGCAGATCAGGTGGAGCAAAGCGCATCAAGCTTGCACCCGGAAGAGCCAGTCAGCGCCCGGCAGAACTGGACTTTGCAAGGTCATCAAATACACGGGATGTTTTCTCCAGCAACAAAACAAGAAGCGTCTAATGATAGCTAGGAAAAGAACAGGAGAATCGTGAAATAGAGACCTGATGCACTCCGCGCACTTGGGCGCTTTCTTTCCGATTCGATTACATCGGCAAATTTGTCAGCCATGTATTCCTGTCACATAGTTGAGGACGCTTTTCCATGTTCAGTCTATAGCCGGGCCCGAATAAAGCCAGATCGGTGTGATGAGTATCTGATGGCCGTGTTGTTCCGATAGGGATGTAGGTCTGTGCGCATAGATGTATATATATATATAGCCAGTCCATTATCCCCCCATAACAAGAATAACAATGAACAACTTCATACCTCTAAATCTTCTTTACCAGTAGTGATCCCCTGTAGGCGCTCATCCTACTCGTTTCTAATTATGGTGAGAAAAACACATAATCGAAACTCTGATCAATTGTTTTGCACGGATAGTTCCGCTTCCAGAACTTTAGTGCCTCAGCAGCCCCACTGTCGTTTCGTACTAATAATAGTTTTATTCTCCTGCGATTGTTTACGTTTAATATATGCACCATAGCTCAACGGCAAACAATCCCAATCAGAGTCCGCAGATACAGTATAGAACTAGGTGCATATAAAAGTAATACAGAAGGTGTTCAAATAGTATATTCTCCGTGTGTCTCTTGACGTCGGCATAGCCTAATACCCTTAGGGATATTTGTAGCCCCTTTTCCAACGTGCTCTGGATCACGTGGAGGGCTTCTCATTGGCTGATTCTTTTCGATCCATATTATACCTCACGTAATCCTTGCTTTTCAGCTGCTTCTTCTCAGCAATAATATTCAACGTAACGAAGTCGCAATCTGTTTTCAAGCCAGACTCACCTTCACTATGTCTTCGGCGAACCTCCCGGTGATCGTTGTCGTGCCAGGTGCCTTTGGCACACCTCAAGGCTTCGAGAAATTGCTACCGTATCTGACCAAAGCCGGATACGCAACACACCCAGGATCATACCCTAGTTGCAATCCTTCTGATCCGGCCAAAGTGTCCTCTCGTCAGGATATTGCCTTCTTGCGCGACAACGTATTACTGCCTCTTTTGAACGAATATGGTAAAGATGTCGTCATCATCGCACACTCATACGGAGGTGTTGTTGCAGGTGGTGCAGCAAAAGAACTTGCGAAGGGGACCAGAACAGCCCAAAGTCAAGATACTGGCGTCATTGGCCTTATTTACGTGGCGGGCAATATTACACTTGATGGAGAATCTCTCTTGACTGCTGTAGGCGGCGCTTACCCTCCTTTTATCAAAGTCCACAAGGTACGGTCTACCTAGAACAACCGCGATCATAACCATAGAGTTTTAACGATCTTTTTTTTTTTTTCTGGTTTTCCAGCCATCTCAGGGACTTGCTCTCATCGAACCGGCGATGGAGGTTTTGTACAATGACTGCGACCGTGCCCTTGAGCCAGAATTGACTAAGCTAATGCAGCCACATGGACTCCAAGCTTTTGAAACACCCGCCACTGCCCCAGCCTGGGCGGAGAGTGCGTTTGATGGTAGGAGAGCGTATGTGCGGACACTGGACGACTGTTGTAACCCTTCATCGTTGCAGGACTTGTGGCTGGAGAAGTCCAAGGTCGAATGGGAAGTTGTAGACTTTAAGACCGGACACATGCCATTTGTGAGCCAGCCTCAGGCTTTGGCGGAGCAGATTACCAAGTTCATTGATGGCTTTATTGCAAAGTAAATAGTGACATGCCCAGTATCTATAGCATGGTGCAGAATTTGGAATACACGCCAGTCAAGTTGGCTTTGCTCTGCAGCTTCTCGCTATGCACGTAATGGACATCATTATCCCAGATACTGACTATCCGACGATCAAGATCCTAGACTCTTAACAACCATAAACTCGTTCAAGGACTGTCTTCGGCGACTCCGCCATTGTCAAGACATTTTCGGAAATCCACCGGAGCCAAAGACCCGCGATAACACGGAGGATTTCCTCGCATATTATAGCGGCTTTGGCGTCGAGACCGAGGAGGGCAAGAGAATCTTCCAGCGACAAATTCTCTCTAAACTGAGTCGTAACAAAAGTTTACACTTCAGGTTCAGTCAGATAGTGCGATGGTCCAAGATAGCTCTAAAAATCGAACAGTTAGTTATAATGCTTACGACATTCTAGATTTAATACCAGCCCCTCCCTTCACATTTAAACATTCGGTACTTCTTTTTATATATGCATGGCTACATGCAAATGTCGTAACACACAATATGAAGGGTGGCTGCTATAATCTCATAGTGCTTTGCACTACATGCGTAATTGCGTACGTACAATGGGGACCCGTTGTGTATATACATTGATTGTTACCTAGGTACATGCTAGCCTTGACTTTCTCCTATCTAGGCAATAAACTGCAGTAGTGATCATTCATATGGAGAATCTGTATCACCATTGTATTCGATTGGAAGCGATTGCCTAGGTACTTACTGTTGCTTGTCTATGTGGGAACCCTTTTTTTAATATTTTTGTACGGTGGAATCCCAGCGGGAATCTCCACGAGACAGAACTGTGTGGCAAAGTCGCTGAAGCCAAAGTTCATCCAAGTAGTCACAGCAATCCCAAAAATGTTCAGCACCAGCTCCATGATGACCAGGCGACCGCGATGAGGCTGTTTGCACGTCTCAACCCGCCACATGGGGATCGCTGTAGTGTTGAGACCTGTACCAAACCCACCAACGATACGGCCGACCATCATATGAGGCAGCGTGCTGGCGGTGGCCTGCAGAATGCCGCCGATGGTCAGGAGCGTGCATCCGGTCATAATGGCTCTACGACGTCCGAGGCGGTCGCCCACGAAACGCGACAACACAGCGACAAAGATGGCACCGAGGTAGTAGGTCGACGTAATCTGGCCCTGGATGGTGGCGTCTGGGTTGTTGAATGTCTGCAGAAAGTTGTCGTGGGTGAGGATCCACCCCAAAGACGCCTTGGTCGTAACCAAACAGGCAGAAACCGGCACCACAGGCAATGGTGATGCCGGTGGTCAGGGTTTTACCCTGGAAATGCGAAAACATGCTTTTCCCCCCTCTTTCTAGAAATTCAGACTCTTCACGACTGTGAAAGCAGTTGATGTGTCTTTTTTCTGACTCTCTGTGGGCTGGCCTGGAGTAGATCGCACTGAGCAGGCGCCATTTTTATAGTAGTATACACGTCTTTAGACGGACTTGCTCCGGATTCCTGTATATTCCCCAGATCCAACAGAGGATATTCTGCGGGGGCCCATGGAGAGAGAGACGGTCCTTTAGTCATCGGCCGTCCCTCCGCGCAACTCGATTTTTGGCGCTTTTCCAGCATTTTTGATATACTCCAGGCTGTATCCTTCGCCAAGTTGCTAGACGAACGCGGGGAAGAGAATATCCGACTGACGAAAGTTTCTGTCGTTGCCAATCACGAGGTTGTGATTATTTCTCTCGGCCCGGATGACCCTCGCGCTGTAACTAGGAGGATGCAACTCTTGAAGCTTACTGCACAGTACATACGAACGGCTGAGAGTGACCAAGCGAGTTCTGCCTTCATGACTTACGTGAAGAGATAGATAGCATGGAGACCACCCCCCTTTAGCGCCCTCCCCCTCAATCCTGACCATCCGCCGCACTCAGCTTGGGGCGTCTGGGGCGAGCACGATAAACGCGGCACGCTCAACCATCTTACCGGGAAGGTGGTGGTAGCAGCAGCCAGAGAAGAAATTCAGACCGGAGTTCGCGTGGGCTTGAATTGGTCTCTGCAGCAGATGAGAAAGCCGCCGTCGTCTAGGAGCGTGTTGGAACATCGGATTAATACCATTGAAGACGGTGCTATGCATGTAAGTCCTCCTCCACTTTCGGCCTTACTTTGTGGTGTTCGTGTGGACTGATTTAAATGATTTGGCATTAATAGGATGATACGCTTCATTTCAATACGCAGACGAGCTCGCAGTGGGATGGGTTCCGGCATTGCGGGTACGCAGATGGGGTGTGCTATAACGGGGTGACGAGCTCGAGAAAACGATGACTGCCAATCCACTGCTGTATTTACGGCAACGAGAATTCAAAGGAGTTTGCTGAATGGTTATGGGATTGTGGCATCGCGGCTGTTTGTACCGACTCACCGGGATTCGAAGCTATGCGTAATTCACTGATCTAATCCTCTCGTTATTTTCAATCATTCTCTCGATTGGTTTTAGTGTACAAGACTAAGCACATGCAACCAGCGCCTCAAGGATTTTTTTTCCTTCGCCCCGTGCTCCTCGCGGGGTTTGGCATGCCCATCGGCGAACTCTTTGATCTGGAGGATTTGGCGGCGCAGCACAGAGGTGGACGTTTTTCGTTTTTCTTCACTAGCAAGCCGTTGAATGTGGTTGGAGGTGTTGCTAGACCGCCCAATGCGTTGCCGATTTTTTGATGGAGCTCCAATTATACATCGTACTAGGTACTTCTCATCAAACTTAGCCGTGTCTACGGAGTAGCCATCGACTGGCTGACGGATCTCCGAGCCGATCCCCAAAACTATATAGAGATGTGATTCAATGGGGAGTGACAAGTTGTCTCACCATGGAGTGGAGAAGAGAAGTCTCGACTACACAGTGCAAGGGTGGAGGGAAGCCTGTCGATCTCTTCCGCATCCCTTAATGACTACAGATAACTCACAGGTGGATCAATTCCCATATCACATGCGTCACATACACCTCGGGGAATTGAATGGTTTGACTGAGGCGGCAGATAATCCACGATGGGCTCTTGGGAGAGAGAGAGAGAGGAGTCAAAGCGCACAGATCAACGTCATCTAGCCTGCAGACTAGTTATTTCATTCGGCTGAGAAGTGGAGCGAACGAGTGCAACGGATACAATTCGGAGACGAGGAGGACAGGACCTAAGTAAACTCCATCATCTGTGCTAATTTCCCTCCTAATGACTGTTATGATATACGTATAAATATTCGTATATATATATATATATGTATATATCGGGTGTACAGCCATTTTTATGCCTGGGCAGGTCTAGACTCCTGCATACGAATCTGGACGCGGCGCGCTGATTGGCCGATCAAAGGTGGATCCGAGCCAAGAGATGGTGGAGCCGCATGCCAAGCGCCAAGAGCCGCGGATGGCGAATCTGTTAATTTGCTTCCTCAGGCCGCGTATCAAAAACACCAAATCAGAGCAAGAACGACCCACCGTGCCGGCCTCAGAGTTCAGGCAAAGTTTGGCACCAGCAGAAGCCAAATCATGTCAGGAACAGCAAGCAAGCAAGTGGCAGTGGCAGTGGCGGTGGGGATGAGCGTCGGATGGCGATCTGGACTCTTTTCTTTCGAGCATTGGCGTGGCCCTCTTCTAGACTCGCGATCGGGACAACTTCTTGGACGTTCGTTCTTTCACTCTTGAGACGGGCTTTTACTGGCAGAATTTCTGGAAACTGTGCTAAACAACCATACGCGCGTACTCTTGGAGTCTTCTCTGATAGCGTTTTGCGTTTCCTTTTTTTTTTTTTTTTTTTTTTTTTTTTTATCTTTTTTTCTGCTTGTTTCAATCTGATCATGCTGGCGCTGTTCGCATTGCACAAGGTCGCGAAAGAAATCTGAAGAAAAAAAAAGAGAAAAAAACGAAACCGACTGCCATTGTCGTCATTTAAAACAACAGCTAGACAAGCATGTCGACTCCTGTGCACGAAATTCAGGAACCTTCGTATCACGATGATGCCACGCATATCCCCCCTGAAAATGAAGCCACGTTGGACGACGCGGAGGCCGAGTACGAGGCTCGTGGCAGGCACAACCTGAGGCTAGATACCGTCCGCGAGATGTCTAGTATGTCCGAGTCGTCTCCGTCAGCAGTGCGTGAGCAGTCGCTGAGGCTAGACGACGATCTGGCTGTGCTCCAGGCAGAGCGTGTGGTGTCAAACTCTCAGCGTGAGGATGAGCTCAGTGAAGGGGCCTCGCTGCATCAGACTCGGTCGCGGCCGGAACAGGTCGATGAGTTCGATGTTGCTACCAACCCGTTACATGAGACAGCTGCAATCTACAATCCGCCTGAGAACCCCCAATCGAATCTCGCCCGGATCTTCATCAAGATTCACAGCTCAAGTTTCCTGATCCGATATTTCTTTTACATCACACCCGTGACGCTGATTATTTTGATCCCGCTGTTATTGGGGGCTCTGGTCTTTAAAACGGCCAATGTTGGTGGCGTCCAGCTGATGTGGTTTAGTATTTGGTTGGAGATCTTTTGGTTGACTCTCTGGGCGGGTAGAGTAAGTTATTCCAATTCTAGAAGAGTCGCAGTGGAAGAGAAATGAAAACTGACCAACTGTTCTCCGACAGATCACCGCAAAATGTGTTCCTCACGTCCTGGGCACAGTTTCATCCATGTTCACCAACAGTGCGAAGAAATGGCGCGATCTCGGCAGGGAATTGGAATTGCCAATCACTCTCTTCTTCTGGTGGCTGGGAGTTGAGGTGTCGTTTTTGCCGACCATGACCAATCATCACGTGGACCGCAATACATCAGTCAAGTCATGGGAGAACACGATGAACAAAGTCATTGTTTCTATTTTTGTGGGAGCGATTCTCAACTTGATCGAGAAGATTATCATTCAACTGATCGCCATCAGCTTTCATACGCGTACCTATGCCGATCGCATCGAAATCAACAAATTCCAAATCGGGAGCTTGACCAAGCTGTATACCTACTCTCGAGAGATGATCTCTGAAAAGGACGAGGACTTTGCAAACCATGACAGTGCGGGCCACTCCGGTATGAAAACGCCCTTGAACGTAGCTGGGGCAGCGATGCGCGTTGGCAAGAAGACCCTGAACAAGGTTGGAGACGTCGCTGGAGCAGTCGCCGGCGACTTTACAGGCAGAAAGATACACAAGAGCAGTCACCCACACCAGGTTGTTCTGACCCTGCTCAGCACCACAACGGGCGGTCAGGTGTTGGCAAGACGACTGTACCGTACCTTTGTGCGCCCTGGGTTCGAATCAGTCTTTTCTGGTGATTTGAAAGCGGCTTTTGACAACAACGAGGAAGCGGAAGCCGCCTTCACGATGTTTGATAAGGATATGAACGGAGACATCTCTATGGAGGAACTGGAGGCCGTTTGTGTTGAGATAGGTCGCGAAAGAAAATCTATCACGGCGTCTTTGAAGGACTTGGACTCGGTTGTGGGCAGACTAGATGCGGTTTTGTTTTTCCTCGTCTGCGTTATCACGATCTTGGTTTTTCTGTCTCTGATTTCAACTTCGGCCGCCGGTGTATTGACTTCGGCGGGATCGACTATCCTAGCGCTTTCGTGGCTCTTCTCTGCCACGGCCCAGGAGTTTTTGCAGTCGGTGATTTTCGTGTTTGTTAAGCATCCGTTTGACGTGGGCGACCGAGTGACTATTTATGGCAACACGGGGGCGAACTTGACTGGAGACGACTACTTTGTGAAGGAGATCTCTCTCTTGTACACAGAATTCAAGAAGATGGAGGGCCATGTTGTCCAAGCTCCCAACAGTTATCTCAATACGCTTTTTATCCTCAATCAGCGTCGCTCTGGTGGCCTCGCTGAAGCGGTGCCTATTGTTATCAAGTACGGAACCACGATTGAACAGATGGACGCGCTACGACAGCGTCTACTAGAATTCGTACGAGTAGAGAAACGTGAATACCAAGGAAATATCATCACGGAGCTCAGAGAAGTCAGCGAAGCCTTTTCGCTCACTCTCAATGTTGTGTTTTTCTACAAGTCTAACTGGCAAAACGAAGGTCTCCGTCTTCAGAGACGCAACAAGTTTATTTGCATGCTCATGCTCTCCATGCAAGAGATCGGCATCGAGGGACCTCGTATGAATCTCCAGGGAGCACACGTCGATTACCCCTTCCATGTCAACCACCACGGTCAACCGCCCAGCTATGCGGCATCGACGAGACACGGCGGCAACGAAGCAGCACCACAACACGAAACTATCATCGAGGAGGGGCGAGACCCCAACCTGCCCGAAAACCATGCCACCAGCTCCGGCAGCAGTGCGTCCGTTCGCCCACAACACTCTATCCTGCGTAAGGGATCGATGGCAGCGGCGGCTCGTGCACGTGGTGAATCCTTGTCTCGACCTGGTCGCCACGTGGATTTCTCTCTAGGCACGTCGCAGCTGGCGTCGGGCGATATTATGGGAGACGTTTTTGAAGACCGAAGTCCTTCGCGGCTCGAAGCAGTCGTTCGCAACGCCAATCGTGAGGCTCTAGATCGCCGGATTCGAGAGGACGACGTAGCGTCGCGCGAGTCGCTTTCGTCGCGTCACCGCCACCACCCGCTCCGGCAGCAGCATGACGGGGCGCCTTCGCGATCATCGATGGAGTCTCAGGCTGGTGGTTCTGTGTTTGGACGGCCGAGTCAGTCATCTTCGTTGCATGGAAGTCGGTTTTTGTCTCGATTTGGGTCTCAGCATAGTAGTAGTAGAAGGAGCGGTGATGATGATCATCTGATGGAGCAGGGGCAGTATCGTCCTTGAGCTTTCCAATTCTTTGCTTCTCGATCTTGTCTCATGATGACGTTTTTTGTTTTGTTTTGCTTTTTGTATAAAGTTGGCGATATAGATTTTGGCCTATTCTCAGGGGCATACTCATCAAGACTTGTCGAGTTTTAGAATCCCAGTGTATCTTTTTATATATTTTTTGAGTCATACATATTTGTGATCTTTTCTGTTGAAATATACCTTGTATGCGTCCCTATGGACGGCCGAGATGTGCTGTAAATAGCCCTAGAATGTATCAAGGACATCCCGCACTGTTCCTGTCCATTCATTTAAGCAACCAATAGTCTTCACATACCTAGGTATAGACAATTTTTACAATTATGCATTATCAGCATAGAGCACTAAGTAAGAATGGGCGATAGAAAAACAAGCAATAAGAGATAATTATAAGAATTCCGCGATTCGCAGAAAATAAATCTCTGCATGGGCTTGGATGGGGCGTAGATATTCTCTGTATGGCGTACACAGAACCGGGGTTTGCAGGCATTAGAGCTAGTAGAGTCATGCTCGTCAATGAGGAGGAAGTTTGACTGGACGAATAATAAGGAGGTTTGATGATGGATGTCAACTTCAAACGCACTAGAAACTCTGTTATGACTAGACTAGCCTGCTGGCTTACTTGCAGTGTTGGTGCATATTATGTGTTGCAGTACAGTGGTACGCAATGCCTGGGTACGTGCCTTATATGCGGGGTTTGGAAGCGTGTGGAATGGATGCTGACATTTGCTACTAACCACTTTATCCAGTGATCCGCGCAAGTCGATCACGATCAACACTTGACTTCGGCGTGCGTAGGCGCAGAGATAGGCATGATGCTGGAAGGTAAGAATCCAGGTGAGATATAACACGGGCTGAACTATGCCTGAGCATCATGTACAGGCGGGTCTAGCCTATGCTAGGTACGTCGTCGACCATGACTCATTGGAGAAGCCAAAAAATGTTTATGACTTGTGCGGTCATGCTGCAAATTAGCCCGATGCACCATTGTACTTCGCATGCAGGACGTAGCATGCGCGGTTTTTCATTCGTGCTAGTGGCCATAGGAACTCTCTCTTTTTTTTTTTTTTTTTTTTCTCCCTCTCCCTCTCCCTCTCTCTCTCTCTCTTCGAGGAAATTGGTTTCTTGCCGGAAGTATAAAATAGCAGTAGAAGAATTTATCTGCAGCATACTCGATGACAACGCACAACAAGCGCGAGGTCGACGGAATCACATGGTGTGTTTTCTTTTGATTTGAGTTTTTGCCTCAGGCTACCGGATGAATCATCGGCGGTGGCTGCCTGCCAATGGAGAGGCAAGGGACGGGGGAAGTATTGCGTCTAGGACTGGTCTCGGAAGAGTCGAGTGATGCGTAAGTAAATAATAAATAAACAGATAGTTAGAACATGCGTGAATGAATGAACGAAGGCGTGTGGAAGGTGGAAAGGAATTCATTAATTGATCGAACATTAACGGCCAACGCGCCTGCCGTCGCGCTTCCCTCCCGTATTCGACTAGTGCCTCTTATCGAACATCACGTTACTTCCTGACGACACGCCCGAGTTTCTTTGGCTCCAACCTTCCTTCCCTCTGCTGTTGCTGCGACTCTCTGCATCATCACTCCCTGTCGGATCGGATTCTCTGCTGCTCTCCTCGCGCTCCCAAGGCTCAGCGAGTTGGGCTCCACAATTCGATCGCCCGTCCAGTTAGTTAGTTGGTTTATCTTGCTTCCCCACCGTTCTGCGACAACATCAGTAGATTCCTCCTCCATCCTCGTCCCGTCCGTTACGACCGACCTTTGCTCCTCGCTGAATCGATCTTGCTATCTACCTCACCAAGGGGGCGCCCTTTGCTGCCGGCCCCTCAGATACTACATCTCGTGCAGTCGGACCGTTGACTTCCAACTGCATTGATGCTCGTGTTCCCCGCCATGGCTTGCTGATCCCACGGGTGAAGCCACAGCTGCTCACGGGTAACCGATCTGCCTGGCAGGCGGTTTGGCTTTGCTTGGTACCCTGCTTGTAGGAGGGAAAAAAAAAAAGAGGATTGATCTATTACAAAGGAGGGAGGGGGAAGAACTGTCTTCGGCCGGCCAGGTCCGCGCGTGTGTGTGTTTGCGTGTCTGGAAAATCTGACGGCAATTGCCGTCAGTAGGTGGAAAGCACAATGGCAGGTAACAATAAAAATCCGTCTCAGTTTCTGGCTCCGCCTACTGTCGCAGCATTGAGGGAAGAGGCCCGTACCCCGATCCATAACAGGCTGGCTCTGGCTCTGGACCGTTCCTATAGCGAAGATATGCGAGCAGAACGTGAGGATTTGCGCGAAGCTGCAGAACAAACCTTGAATGTGATCTTGGATCTGGGCTTGGATGGCCGCGTAAAATGGGTGAGCCCTTCTTGGAGACAGGTTGTTGGCACCGACCCAGACTCTGTGGCAGGCAAGATCGTGTCCGATATCCTCTGGAATAATAAGACGTGTTTTCAAGATGCTGTCAAGTTGATGAAGGAGGACGATTCTCGAAGTCGGTTTATTCGTTTCTCGGTCCTGATGGGCCCTGATTCAATGTTGAAACCTTCCCAAACCCACGACGACATTGAGATTGGTGAGCTTGAAGGCGTTGGTGCCGGAGAAACAGACAACTACCCAAACTACGTGAGAAAAGAGGATGATGGTGATGTACTGTGTATGGAAGCGCAAGGCATCATGATTTATGACCGCTCAGGCGATGGCGAGGGACATGTAAGTTGTGCTTTCGATCTTTTACAATGGAGGCAATAAGACTGACATGTTAAGACCATGTGGATGTTACGACCGTCCACATCGCCTAGAGAAGTGACCATTGATCTTCCCCCACTCCTCGTGAAGTCCCTGGGCGTCGGCGCAGAGGTGCTCGCCAATCACTTGACGACGTTGGCCGAACGAGCTGCTGACCCCAATGCCGACAAATCCGTTACACCTACTCCAGTACTCTGTCGAATCTGTGAACGTCAAATTACTCCCTGGTGGTTCGAGAAGCATTCGGAATTGTGCCTCCAGGAACACACCGCGGAGTTAGAGGTTCAAATGGCCCAAGACAATCTCAACGAGCATCGACATGCAATTGTCAAAATCCTCGACACTTTGGAGGCTCGCCAGGGGCGCATTCCTACCGACGGACAACCAGCTGCCCCCCAACCAGAGTACAAGGGTTTGCCTATCGGACCATCTCCTTCATCGTCTGTTCCGACGTCAACACCTGGCTCCTCTCCAGCCACACCACCACGTTCAAGAGACCCTTCAACCTCAGGCATGGGCCATGGAAGAGGTCGGTCTTTTGCCGTACGACGTCCCCTAGCTCGCATTGTTGAGCTGATACTAGATCTTTGTGACACCGCTCTGGAGATCAGTACTCCAGCCCTCAAGGAGACAAGAACAGACAGCATCGAGGATCTACGAACTTTATCCCCACAATCAGAGTCCCGCATTTCCCAAGTGTTGCAATGGCAGTCCCCAAGCAGCAATACCTTGGAGCAGGAACAAGGCCTTGCTGCCTTGTCTACGGATACCGAACAAGTCGCTAAGGCCAAGGTGGATGCTGTCGTTCGTCATCGCCGAATTGTCGAGTATGCAGAGAGAATCCGCGTCGAATATTCGGTCATGGTGGAGGAGTGTATGGACGTTGCACTCAGTAAAGCGGAGCGAATTGCGGCCGGCGATATTTCGGATTCTTCATCATCCACCTCATATGGGCAAGAAGATGAGCAGCTGGAACAGACCCTGCCAGATGACGAGGCAAAGGACCAGCAAGAAAATGCTGCGGAGGCCGGCGCCTTTTTATCTCAAAACCCTCAGGCCGACGTTCCGACACGTGATTCTTCAGATCCTTCGCCGTTTTCTCAATCACCCCGACGTGGCTCCTCTGTCGCCGTTTCGACTCGTTCGGCCAGTCCGCTAGAATGTCCCACTCCACGCTCCCATAAAAGCATTAGCGGAATTCTAGGCACATCGCAACCATCTATCAAGCGAGGATCTCTTTTGGCCGAAAGTGACATTGGTGATAATAGTGACAGCAGTAGTGTGCCGTCTTCCTCATTGATTGCTGCTGGTGCTAGGGTGACAGAATCGCCGTCATCCGAAAAGGGAATCCCACAAACCAACAGTGGAAGGAGCAGGAAACGTAAGAGCCTGATCTTACCGAATCTGTCGAGCTCACCCCGTCGTCAGGCATCTCCAGGTCGTGTGCCAGGCCCTGGATCCCCCCTACGCCTCTCCAAACCCCGTCTTCCTAGTGGTGAGAGTATGCCGTCGCCTAGCATATCTCCCTTACTGCCTACAAATGAGTTAAATGCTCATGGGCTGCCTTCACAGCACCATCATCATCTGCACACCTACTTTCATCATCGTCGGCAGTCGTCAACAGCGTCTTCAGATCCCAGGGCACCCATCTCACCTCATTTGAGCTCCGTGAGCCAGCCTCAACCTCGTCCGGCGCCGACTTCGATCAAAGATTTCGAGGTCATTAAGCCAATCAGTAAGGGTGCCTTTGGAAGTGTGTATCTTGCCAAAAAGAAGGTAACTGGAGAATATTTCGCCATAAAGATGCTGAAAAAGGCCGACATGGTGGCCAAAAATCAAGTCACCAATGTCAAGGCGGAACGAGCAATCATGATGTGGCAAGGAGAGAGTGATTTTGTGGCCAAGTTATACTGGACTTTCTCTAGTAAAGATTATCTCTATCTAGTCATGGAGTACTTGAATGGAGGAGACTGTGCCTCGCTTGTGAAAATTCTCGGTGGTTTGCCTGAAGACTGGGCTAAGAAGTACATCGCTGAAGTTGTCCTGGGAGTTGAGCATCTTCACAACCGAGGCATTGTACATCGGGACTTGAAACCGGACAATCTTTTGATAGACCAGCGCGGCCACCTCAAATTGACAGATTTCGGTTTATCTAGAATGGGATTGGTCGGTCGTCAAAAGCGTGTTCTAAAGAGCCCAAACGAATCCGCACCAGACTTACTCAAGCAAGGCTCTTTCCCACGAGCTATGTCTTTGGTTTCGTCACGCTCTGCGTCCTTTGATTTCCAGGGTGGGCACTCGCCTAGTTCCACTCCTATCATTGCGCCTGACCCTGTAGGAAGCTACAATCAACCATCCTACTTCAGCCTCAATCAAACGACTGCTTCTCGCGAGAGTGTCGGTCGTGCATCAGGTTACCGTAGTGATAGCGGTGGAAGTGACACTCTGAATGCGATGTTTCGGACATTTTCTCTCGGAGAAGGCGCGCCAGAGACCCCTGCGCTGCTACCACCTCCGTATCAGGCCGTTACTGAAGACGAAGCACCGAGTGAAGGAGGCGAGTCTCCGCATTTGGTACCGCTGAGCAAGACCGTGAGCGCGGCTTCTTCATCAGCAATGTATGGTACACCACCGCAACAATCTATGCTGCCCCCTCCAATGGCGCTGTTTGACCCTGAAGATCATAATCGAAGGTTCGTTGGTACGCCAGATTATCTAGCTCCTGAGACTATCAATGGCGTTGGTCAAGATGATATGAGTGATTGGTGGTCACTTGGTTGCATTCTATTTGAGTTCCTCTTTGGATATCCCCCATTCAATGCCGCAACGCCCGATGAGGTCTTTGAGAATATTTTGCACCGTCGGATCAACTGGCCTGACGAAGCTCAGGAACTGGTCTCCCCTGAAGCTCTTGACCTGATAAATAGACTGATGACAATTAAACCCGAAGAACGGCTCGGCGCTAACATTGAAGAGAAATATCCCAACGGAGGTAGCGAAATACGTAATCACCCCTGGTTTTCCGACATCAACTGGGATACGTTGCTCGAAGACAAGGCGGAATTTGTTCCTAACCCCGAGAACCCAGAGGATACCGAGTACTTCGACGCTCGCGGTGCGACTCTGCAATCGTTCGAGGAAATAGAGGATCAGGCGTCTCCCCATTACCCAGCAACGTCTGGAGAGTATCCTGATCGACCGCATGATGCTCTCTCCAAGGTCCGCTCACAGGTCAATTCCATAAAAAGAGGGCTTATGCCATTGCACATTCCGCCTCATGTTCGCGATACACGAAGTCGACGTCTGAGTGAGCCTGTTTTGGCCGATGACTTTGGCAACTTTAACTTTAAGAATCTTCCAATGTTGGAAAAAGCAAACAAGGATGTCATCCAGAGATTGCGGCAAGAAGCCTTGCAAGCTCAGCAGAGACAAGCGTCATCGACAGCAGCGTCACCCACTGTACCTAGCTCTGCTCCATCTCTCGAAGGTAGCCCTCTCCTTCCGATGCCGCTACAACGTACACTTTCACAGAACAAAGGCAATCGGCCCGTTTCTCCATCTGGACTAAGTCAAAGTGGCTCATCGCCCAATCGCCCCTCGCAACCCTCTTCACCCCTGCTTGTTCAATTTAGCACTGGCCAAAATCATGAACGTAGAAAGACATCTGGGTCCTCATCGGCACAGTCTCAACAATCGGTTAGTCCAGCATCTGATAAAATTGGAGAAGTCCCTCGTCTAACACCTAGTACCAAGCTTGCATCTTCGGCGCCTTCTCCCAACAAAGCTGGCCGCTTGACCACGCATTCCCCTGAGAAGACTGCGACCGGAAGTGCTCAACCAAATGTTACTCGTGCTAGGTCTCAGACAATCGGATCACAAGATAGCGAAGGACATTCTGCCGCAGCCAGAGAGCAATTCATACCCAGCCACCACAAACGCCGAAGTCAATTATTTGATATCTCTCCCTCATCATCTGATAACGAAGACCCGCGTACCAAAGCGCTCTTGAAAGTGCAACGGAGGCGCCAAAGCTCCCGGAGACTGTCCCAACTTAACTTGGTGGACGGCCCAGTTTTCCGTCCTCTTGACATCTTGATATGTGAGGATCACCCGGTTTCCAGAATGGTAATGGAACGGCTTTTCGAGAAACTACGCTGTCGCACGATTACTGCAAATAATGGCTCCGAGGCTATTCGGTATGCTCTGAGCGAAGTTCAGTTTGATATCATTATGACTGAAGTCAAGCTTCCTCAAATCAATGGAGCGGACGTGGCTCGCATGATACGCGAAACGCGAAGTGCCAATAGACATACTCCTATCATTGCTGTTACGGGTTACCTCAATGACCTTCCTGAGGCGCATCATTTTAGCGCTTTGATTGAGAAGCCGCCGACTCTCAACAAATTGACGGAGGCACTATGCAAGTTTTGTCAATGGAAGCCCCCGCCTAAAGATTACGTCCCTACACAACCGTTGATGATACCTCCGCCCCTGCCTCGCAGTATTAATCAAGCTGAAGACAGCCCCAGCTCTATATCCTCTGCGTTCCAACAGATACCTTCTAGTTCTTATCGAGGCTCTAGCAGAGCGGATTCAGTCGGCAGTAGCTATTTCGGCGATATGGAATCGACAAGGACAGAAGATATTCCAGTTGTTGTCAGCCGTCCCCCAGATAATTGGGGTGACACATCGGAGGGCCTGGGGATATCAGAAGGAGTATCAACACTCAAAGCAACTGATACAAAACCGAAGTCAACTGTTCCTAATGCTCTCAGTCTTCCCCAGCTGCAGCATGCTCTTTCCGCGCCGCCTACATCCACCGCCCCTAGTTGGATTGCACCGCGAAAACAGCGGTCCAGTGAAGCAATCCGTGCCAAGCGGGAATCATTGGAGAAACGTCGTTACGAAGGTGCTGAATCAGGGGATGACGAAGACGAAGAACTGGGCAACATCCAGGCTCGCCAGCGGGGTCCACATACTTCGAAGGGGCCTCGCTCCAGCTCGAAATTAGGCACAGAGATGATGCGGACGAATAGCCGTGGAAGCGTGGTGAGCGGCACTGAGGAGATATCTTCGAAAGAGGGAACGCTGGAAAAGCTAGAAGTCAACGAACTGGGAGAACAGCTGAGCTGCTTCCGGTTGTCACCAGAGATAGGCTCAGATAACATCGCCTTGTCCGGACAGGACGAAGATAGGGCTGAGTCACCCCGTTCGTCTAGATCGCCTGATCAATTCAGACGTCCGACGCTGGAGCCTCTCCACGAGTATCCAACAGAGATTCGTTCTCCTAGCGTCCTAGAAGCAAGCGTACAGCCTTCGACAGCAAAACTTTTTACTCCATCTAAAGAGTACAATACGGAGCCAGCCAAATCACCGCAGACGTTTATGAAGCCAAGCTCAGCAGCTTCTGAAGAGCAGACCGACTCTGAGAGCATCGATCCCGATGCAACTCCAAGGCCAGCTCCCACCCCAGCTATGTCAGAGCTAGACAATGCAACACCTCGGGGTCCAGGCAAAAGCCGTAGCCAAACTTCTGAACCGAGTCGCGAACAAAATGCTGGGGACGGCCGGACGAGTCATCATCATTTTCGAGATCTTCTCTCTTGGGGAAAGCGGTGACGTGAATCAGAATGTGAGAGAATTCACTTGATGCATTTCAAATGCGATTTCCATTCGTGTGTGTCTTACTACGATCGTGAACTTTCCCTCTGAACGCTTGTTTTGAAATAGGTTGACTACAATTCTTTACATACCTCTTTCATTTTCCGATATCAACTGTTGGTCAGGAGCAATCAAAAGCGAGCGTGCTCGTGCTTGGAGGTTCAACTTCAAGATCTCTTTTTTTTTCCATTCATATCTTATCATGCCACGTCACGAATATGTCAACTCGTTAGCCTTCGAATTTTCAATTTGGTCAGCAGCGCGATCCGTTGCAAATTGATTTATTATGCTTTCTTTTGTTAAGCCTGGAGTTTTGAGCTTTGTCATGTTTTTCTTTGCTGATGCCGTCAAAAGGCCTTTTTTTTCCCCTGTCAACTGTGTACTGGTATGAGGCGTGATCTTCTCCTTCCTTTTTTTACACCGGTCAAGAGACTTGAGTTTTGACTTTCTTCCTCTCATTAACTTCGATTATCATGTGCATATTTATAACAAGAGGGTTCTTCTCCATTCAATTTTCTTATGATTCATGAAATGCTATTATTTCAATCCTCTCCCCTAAAATATTTTAATTAAATTATTACATAGAGGGATCTTTCATTGGAGAGTATAGTAAGCATAAAGGTCCCAAGGATATTTTTTTATTTACCGTTCTCGCTGCAGGTATCTAGCTATGTGGTGTATATATATACATGTTTGTTACGCGGAATCAGACCCAATATCCATTCTGTACAGACTAACGACAAGATAGAAGCAAAGAAAAAGAGAGAGAGGGAAAAAAAAAAAAAAAAAGAGAAGAAAAGAAGAAGAAAAAAGGTAACGCAATCGTACCCTCTTTACTGCGTCTTCTTCCCCGACGCAGGATGATAATTAGCAACCCAGTAACTCACTGTTCGCGCAATTGCCTCTGGCATACCGACAACAGCCTCATAGCCCAATCTCTCCTTTGCCTTGCGGCAGGAAAAGAAGCGCGTCATGCACGAGTACCGCACGACCTTGCGGTTCAGACGCGGCGTGCGGCCGAGCAAGGCAAATACGCCCTCGGCAATACCGCCGATGATCTGTAGGAGGCCCTCGGGTAAAGGCCAGACTTCGGACGGGTCCACGGGACGGTCGAGGAGGGCCCAGAGCGCGTGCACAAAGTCCCAGAAATACATGGGCGCGTCGTTGGTGAGGTTGAATGCTTCGCCGTCGATGCGCTCGTAGTCGAGCGGTGCGTCTTTGCCTATTTGGTAGCGTGCTGCGCTGGCGAGGAGGCCGCGCGCGGCCAGTAAATGGCCGTGCGCGACGTTGCCGACGTAGGTGAAGTCGAAGAGGTTGTTGTTTTCGCCGAGTTGGAAGCGCAGCGAGAGGTTGGAGCCGAGGTAGCCTTGTTCCAGCATTTTGTAGGATAGTAATGTGTCCTTTTCGCCCATGATACCTGCTGGGCGCACGGCGCAGGTGAGCATGCCGGAAGGGTTGGTTTTGTTGGCTTTGAGGACGAGTTCTTCGGCGAGGCCCTGGAATTTAATTAGCCTCTTTTTTTTTTCTTTGACTCGTGTGTGCAATGGAACCAAAAGAAAAAAAAGAAATTTGTTCTCCGGTGAGGTTACAGGGGCCATACCTTTGTCTCGGAATAGTATTCGCCCTGCAGTTTTCCGCGCACATATGGCCAGTCCTCATTGACATTGATCAAGTCACTCCGCGTATCATGCACTACTGACGATGAACTTGTGTACACAAACGCTTCGCACTTCTTGCCCCAGTCGCCATGTACGCCGCTGGCAACCTCGACTAGGGTCCTCGTCCCATCAACATTCACTTTCCGCAGCATTTCATCGGTCGAGCCCAATGGCACGGGGGCAGCAGTATGGATCACAACATCTGGCTGGACTTTGCGAAACACCTCCAACATAGACGTTACCGAGGTAAGATCGCCCTGGTGATACTCTGCGCCTGGCAGGCGGTTGTTCGTTATGCGCAAGTCTACAACATGGACTTGGGTGTTTTCGTATTTGGGGTATCGTCCCTTCAGCGGCGGGTATTCGAAGCGAGCGTCGTTTTCGATTCGAGGAAGCGCGACTGAGGCGTCGGTTTCGGAGGGGAAGTCGAGCAGCTGGTTGACGATGTTCCAGCCGAGGAACCCGCAGCCGCCGACGATGAGGACTGTGCCTAGCTCAATGGTGGGCCGTTGGGAAGCCATTGTCGAAGGATGGGAGTTGGTTATCGGTGGTTATTTACAAGCTTGACTTTATCCGCAACGTCACTTCTCAAAAAAGTTAAGGGGCGCCTGGGGCAGAAAGAGTGGGCCCGTTTCCGGCTTATGTAATACGTAACTACGCCCCATGAATGTTAACTATAACTAGTTAGTTATTTAACTATTGCTATACTCTGATGGGCCATAGTCAGGATCACAACGCTGCTCATAAGATTTCAAGAATGCCTTTTCCTTACGCCCCAGGATGCATATGCTTTAACTAGCAACTGCTCACCTTTTCGAATCTTTGCTGTGACGAACGAGATACCATGTCAAAATCTGTTCGAAGTTTAGGTATAACGATTATATTAACATGTTGCTCCGATCAAATATCGCAACATCCGCCAACTCCAGCTCCTCTGCATACTTAGTAGCTTATCTCATGGAGCGTCCAACGAATGTCGGTGCGCGAAGTTTCCGTGGTGTGCTTGCGTGTCATGGTGAGGGACTCTGTTGGAATGTGCCGCGATATTGCTATGTTGACCGGATTCACCAGATAGGGGATCGTCGCAGCAAAGGCGTCCCCCCCCGGTGTTCAGAAAACCACTTTCGTTCATCGCATGATGCTAACACTGCATTCGGGTTCCGGGGCGTGTCTGGCGTGCTTTTAGACAAGCTTCTGCTTCTCGGATGAAACTAATGAGATAACACAGCGGAATTTCAACCATCGAGCCCAAAAAGGGACCCCTTATGGTAATAGAACGTTTTAGCCTATCATTTTCTACTTACTAGTAACTACTATACCTATCTTGAGACTGTCGACAATCGCAAGGGTCAATCAGAGTCCATATACATACATGAATTGCTAAAAAACACGCTAAAGTTGGACATGCTATGTATAACTACATTCCAACCCATTCCAAACTCCCTTCTTTTGAATAACGCCCCCAGCCATAAGAGCCAGAAAATCGCAATGCTATACTCCGATGAACCATGGTCATTAGATTACACCACCGCCCTTTCCTTACGTTCCAGAAAACGCTTTCAATGTTGCTAGGCACTATCCGCCACCTCCTCCACCTTCATGGAGCCGAGTGAACCTACTGCACAAGGCACGCCGTGAAAGGGAACAAGTTGATGCTCTTACTAGATGCCTTCTGCATCCGCCTGGCGAAGGGAAAGCAGTGGCCTATATCCCCGTCTATCTGGTTAACAGATCACCGGAGTTCCTGAGTATTACGGGTCGTATTCATTGGAAATACCAGTGGGAAAAGAATCGCGATTCGTAAGACTTATCCTCATCCAGAAGATTGATGGAATTCCGATGAATAAGCTGGCCCCCTGTGATTTGTCACTTTCGCAGCGTCAGGCAATTATGAAGGGAATACTGGATGTCGAAACACAAATCTATAAATGTGATGTCCGAAATCATGATATACACCCGCGAAACGTGATCGTGCAAAATGTGTCTTCGCCTCGACCCAGCATTGTGATTATTTGATTTTGGGTACTCTCTCCTTGGTCGTTCCTTTGACCCCGAAGGTGAACCAGAAGAGGAGCAGGAGATGCTACCGGGGACATATATTAGCCCTCTTATCCGATGGAATTTTAAAAATGAGACGCCGCACTTTCGTATGAAGAATTTCAAGGAGTGGATTATATGGAACTGGAATGCCTGGCTGAAGCGTGAATATAAGGACGATGTGATCACGGATTATATGTGGGCTCATTGGAAGCCTGAATCTACTGATGTATGGCCGCCTGGCACTGAATAATGTCTACACATGGGAAATTTCTCACAAAATGGATGGACGCAGTGCTTTGCCAGAATTACTCCCATCATTCTCAGCATCATGTCTTCGCGTTTCTGAATTTTAGCTGGCTTTGGCGTGGAGTTTGGAAGGGTCAAAATTAGAACTAAGGGGGTATGCTGATTTACTGGATCGGAAATTTAGAATGGTATTACATTCGTGGGAGGAAACAAAAATCATCTCAAGCTTTCTAATGGTGGTTGAAATATTGATGTATTATCAGATCAAGCACTAGTGTTCAACTATCACCAGAATTGATTGTTTCAAGGGTATTTTTGAAAACTTGTATGATGTTCTTTTCATTTATTTCGTTGCTTCGTTTATTACTCATAAAAGTTAAGCCCTACGCCTTTCCTTGCTGAAATGATCTTTGGCCGCCAAGTCAGATAGACGTATTGAATGACTCGACACTCAGGGGATAAAAAAAAACAATCACATCTCCTGCGACTCGGTGCTATTCTCAACCGAGCGCCGAAGTGCTCGGTTGTACTTCTTTCTATCTTCTGGCGTGCCCCAGAACAGCGTCGAGGCCTCCAGATTCACGGTTGTCCGTGGGTCGAACGGAGGAGATTCTTCCTCCAGCGTCTGCACTATAGCATCTATATGGTATCGCAATTCTCCAGGTCGATCTGTGAAGTAGCAGAGTACTCCATCCTTTGAGACACGGTGATGAAAGATGGGAGTTTCGACAAACACTCGCGGCTGCTCGTCTGGGAATTTGGTACTCAGATGGATCTTGATCTTGAACACCCCGCCACCAAGATTCGTCATGGGACGGCCAAAGTATGTCATGAGCCAAACGAACGGACTCTCATCGACCAGGCTCAGATCCACTGTAAAGTCTTTGCGTTCTTTGAAGTCTTCCACTATCTGTTTGTACTGCAGATGTAAGTTATCTGCAATACGGACCTCTTGTTGTTGAGCCGCAAGTCCCTCAATAGCCCAGCGTTTTGTTTCGTTTATGATTTCGTCTTTGATCACCCCAAGGCGTTCTTTCAGCTGTGGATATTTAAAAGAACCCGCCATTTCGTTGGAGGGGCCTTCGAAGCTCATGTTCTTGAACTGTTCATTCACCTTGACCTTCTTAGACTCGACCTCGATCGTATGTATGTAAGACTCATAATACCAAAGAAACCGTCGCTTGCGGAGATCGTCGAAAGATTCCATAGTCTCCCGCACTTTCTCCTCAGGACATTCGCTGTCATCTGCCTCCTTTCCGTCATCCGTTGGGGATGGGGCCCTTGCGTTCCGTGTCTTTATCCCCAAGGCGTCCTCAAGCGGCTGGATTACAGCAATCCGAAGCGTTTCATGCTTTATCTAATACTCCGGTCAGAACCTAATTTTTATTTTGAAATAAGTTCCTAATACCTTGTCAATGTAATTGGCCATGGCTTTGCGGTCCAACGCACTGTCACGGTTTTCGTAGCCCGGTTCATTCTCATAAGGATTCGTGGACATCAAACTTTGGATGGAAATGAGGACGGATTCCAAACCCTGGGCTGACGACCACTCCTCGCCCTTCTGACCAGGCCATGTTCTGTAAGTCAATTAATATCCTTCACCGATGCTTATGTCTGGATTAGAATGCACACCCAAGTATTGATCTAGAACCACAAAAGTCAGTGCGTGTATCCCAGTCAAGCTTCAACGTGCAACAAACTCACAAGCAAACTTTCCCTCCCGCATAGATATTGGGGTTGAACCGACAGCGACCCGAATTCGTCGTCCGCGCCGTCACCTTTGGCGGACTGGCTGGATAGTCTCCAAGGAAGTAAGTACAAGGCCATAGCGAATGGCAAACCCACTCCTCACCTTCAGGGAATTTTATGGTGAACTGTATTAGGCAGACGGTCAGGTTTTTATACGTTATTATAAGCAAGTGCTGCAACTGAGAAGGACTTATACTAACCTCGAAAAAACCAAATTCGTACGGAGTGTTTGGGGGGCCTACGATCAAAGCTTTGATCTTGCGAATATCTGATTCGTCGCAAGCAACAGCCAGGGCTTTTGGATATTCAGTCAGCCAGCTTGGTTCGACAGTAGAAGAGCTCCTACAACTCACACAAATCATGGCCTTGTTGAATTTGACGGATTTCCTGTAATCACACCCCAGAGAATGTGCTTACCAGTCAGCCATCTGACCTGGATGTTGAATATCTCCAGCCATTCTGAGGAAACGTACGCGCGCAATGCGAATAATAGCCTGGTCTGACATTTTGCAATCGGAGTACATAAACTTAATTTCGAGGTGTAATCAACAGAAAGAAGGCCGACGAGGTTGGCGGGCTTTTCCAACGCCACAAGGCTGAGCTTTGACTTGGAAACTGTTGAGCGTTGTGAGAGGGGAAGAGCGATTGCGCATCATGATCAGAGAAAGAAAGGCTGCCTGCCCCAGGCACCACTGGTGCCTGTTTCAGGTACCTCCCATTGACTTCCAAAAAACGTCACGATACTGTTTGGAATATTACTTTGAACATGACAATTTGTAAGAGAATGTTCCTATTCCTGCGGTATGTAAGATTTTCTGAAGGAAAAAAAATCAGTTGTTGTGCCCTTTATGTTTACATTTTTTTTATATTGCTTGTTCCATTCTGCTGGGATGACAGCGGTGGAGTTATATAACCTAGGTGTATATATTATAGAAAATGATACTGCGTCCAACGGTTGATTGCATTATTGTATAGCTTCGAGAGTTCTACAAACGACGCCCATATGTAGCACGATCATATATAAAGCTCAAAAGTAGACAGGGCTGAGATCTTCGGGGCCAAAGATATATATATTTGACGGTCAACATTGCACCTCATACTGAGACCATAGGGCCCCCTCCTCGTAGTGCCAGATCAGCATCGAGTCCTTGACTCGACTATTCCACTTAAGCACGACGCTGTAAAACAAAAACGTAATGACGTGTAACGGCGTGAGCTCGCACAGCTCCGCACTAGCCGAGCTTGGGGGGTTGACTATCTCAGAGCATAGCCTCGTTGGGTCTGCGTAGGACCGTGGACTAGTACGTAGCGGCTGAAATCTCTCGACATATATGTATGTGTCGAATATGGAGTAAATAGCGAGGAAAACCTGGCCGCCAAGTGGCGTAGCAACAGTCGTGGTTGAGCGAGGCAAGAAATAATAATAATAATAGCAGTAAAAGTTGGTGGGGAAGCATAGGCGGTGGGCGTTCACGTGACGGCCGGGAGTTGATTAGTTGATAGGGGGGAAGGTGCTTGCTTGCTATTCCGATTATTATTTATGGTCACAACAACACATCTCACCTCTCGTGCTAATCGTCTCCCTGCGCTTCCTCCGATCAACCCCCCCCGGCGCATTTGCTTTGGCTGCATATTCGCATCCGCTCCTCGACGCCCTGTCTGCTGCTGTGCGCCAGAACGAGCGCTGGGAATGACTTAGGTCCCGTTGAATGGTAGAAGGTGCTCCGCCGCTATTGTTGTGTCTCACCTTCAATTCCCACCGTGCCTGAGTCTGGCCCCCTCCGCTCTCCCCGCATCACTCTGACGACCGTAAGTACTGACCAGAGAACTGCTGTTGTCTTGCTGGAATTGTTTTCGAGTCTCATATCTGACAGCCTCCAGCCCACTCGGCCTCCCTGCTTCTCCTGTGTTGTGCCACTCCCCTTGGCGCCGATCACCCGCGGTTCTTTCACTCGTCTGTGTGCATGCATGGCCTGACCGTCAGCAAATATCAACCAAGACAAAAAAAGACTCGATTACCCTAAGGTAGAGAAAGAAGGGAAAACATATTACTGAGGACCCCGTCACACCGTTTATGGCTTGAAAGAGGTCCCTCGAACCTGTTGCTGCCTTAGGTTCCCGTTTCCGCGACCCCTTGTTCGGCGGTCTGGGTTACGAAATCGGTTGCCCGCGAGCGCTAGAACACACAGACAGCCGAAACAACGTCGAGTAAGTATTGAATAAGACTCACAGGCTAGGCAAAGGCCCATCGGACGATCACCATGGCGCCAGATCGAACCTTGCCCGACATCCTCATGCCGGGGAATGGCGGTTCTGGAAGTCCCCGCCCCTGGGGGAGTGGTGCTGGAACGAATTCCCAGAACCCATCCCCTATATCTCCGATCGATGGACATCTTCCATTTGAAAGAGCTCCTCCAGGCAGCACTCCATTAGCCGTCGCGGCTCCAGCTCCCGTGTATCAGCCGGACAACCGTGTTGGAAGACGTCAGGATGTCAACCCCGCCGAACCTCTTGACCAGGAAACAATTGATAAACGCGACATTCCGGCTCCGCGAGAACGGTCTCGTACAAAGAATAGAACTACACACACTTGCAACAAGTGTGGCGATCCTTTAACGGGACAATTTGTGCGCGCTCTTGGTGGAACCTTCCATTTGGAATGCTTCAAGTGCAATGTATGTTGTTGAATATCCCCGTTTTTTAGGTGGTGTTACCTAATTATGCTACTATAGGATTGCGGGGAGATTGTCGCTTCTAAATTTTTCCCAGTTGATGCGGAGGACGGCAACGGACAATACCCATTATGCGAGACAGATTATTTTCGGAGATTGAACCTCCTTTGCCATGATTGCGGTGGTGCTCTACGGGGCTCATACATTACTGCTCTCGATCGTAAATACCACATCGAACATTTTACTTGCTCCGTCTGTCCGACCGTGTTCGGGGCCCAAGACTCTTATTATGAGCACGAGGGCAATGTGTATTGCCACTACCATTATTCCACACAGTTTGCTCAAAGGTGTAATGGTTGCCATACTGCCATTCTCAAGCAGTTTGTTGAAATCTTCCGCAATGGTCAGAACCAGCATTGGCACCCGGAGTGCTACATGATCCATAAATTCTGGAATGTCCGACTTGCCCCGGCTGGCCAACTGCTCGATAGGCCCGAACTGGACGGCGAAGCAACAGATTCAGATCGTGAAAAGGTGCGGCAAGAAGAAGATCTTATGGAGGAGAAAGTCTACAAGATTTGGAGTATTCTGTCGACCTTCGAAGAGTCTTCAGCTGCTTGCATATCCGAAATGCTTTTGCATGTCAGCAATGGTGCCTATGTGGACGGCGTTTTAGTCGCAAAGAGTTTCATCTCTCACGTGGAGATTCTTTTCGCGGCCATTGATATGCTGGCTTTGAAGTTGAAAGAACAGGAAATGAAAGGTATGTGTCCCAATTCGCGAGTAATAAGTTTGTCATTACTAACTTCGACCATAGATCTATCCTACGCGCGTGAAGCAAAACTCTTATGTAAAAAAATTGTAGCCTTCTTTTCGCTTCTGTCTAAGACACAAGAGACTGGGGTGAGGAAGCTTGGCGTCACACAGGAGCTCTTATCGCTAGTTACGGGCCTTGCACATTACCTCAAACTTCTAATTCGGATCGGTCTACAGGGGGCTCTGAAGCTTGAGCGCGAAAGAAATACATCCGAAGCTCTCTTCAAATTCTTAGACCATCTTGAGAATAGACTTCAGGATCTCAAAGCATCCGAAGAAGGACCGCCGGATCTCATGGCTGGAGTTGCTGCTTTGGCGGACCAGTTCTCCGATTGCTGCGCAGCATGCAAAGATCCGATTGATGATGCATGTATCATACTGAACGACAAAAGATGGCATATCAAGCCCCCTCACCTTGTTTGCAGTTCTTGCCAGAAGGATCTCACCGTGGACCTTCCAGATGGCGTCTGGAGTGAGAAAGAACAGCGACCGTTTTGCCGTAATTGTGCTTTGCACAAAGGCCGAGTACCTGATGCACAAGATGGCTTTGAACATGTCACTAAATTAGTCCAGTATGTGTTTTTGTTGCAAGTGGCCCTTGCAAGGCTGCTCTCAGTATTACGATCAAGCGGCACGATTCCACATAGCACAGGTAAGTTTGCTCTACCTCCTTAAAGAACAACAAACTCACATTTGTACGGATAGACGACCCTAACCTGAACGATTACGATGCAAATGAAGGCCATCGCGTGGAAACTGCCGGGGGGGGGTTGACAGCGGGAGCTGGTCCCCGGGCAACAAATACTCGCTCCCAATCTTTTACCGGGTCGTCCAAGAATGAAGAATCATCACTTGAACAGACTGTCGGGGAAATGCGAAGACTCCGGTCTATTCGCAACGAAAGGACTTTGTCTACAACTTATAAAAAGGCTCGAGCGTCGAGAATCATTGACGGCCCTGAAGGAAGGAGTGTACGCCCGGGTTCATCCGGAGGCGAAGGAATCGACCCCAGGAATCCGGGCTTTCAGATTATTGAGGAGAAAGACGTCAATGGCGAACCGGTAAATGAGTTACATTTTGGCCACCAGGATGCTCTCACTTTGGATGATATACCTCGAATTGTCGCCGCTGAACAAGCGAAGGAGCAACGACCAAACGCATCCAAGTACGCTGGAACTAATCTCATCAACTCCGATGACTATCAAACCAAGTATAGCCCAGGTCATCGACGCGAAGTGTCTGGTGGGCCGGACCAACTCCAAGTCGATGTCACCGGATTGAAGGCGAAGAAGTATTTCTCAGAGTTGTCAGCTCTCGAGTACTTCATTGTTAGACATGTTGCTGTGCTTTCCATGGAGCCACTCCTGGAAGGACACTTCAATCTGGAAGAGTTGCTTTCTTTGATTGAGTCACGCAAACCTACAATCTGGAACATCTTTGGACGCGCATTCAACAAGGAAGGAAAGAAAGTCGGAAAGAAGAAGGGCGTATTTGGTGTTAGCCTTGATTACCTTGTTGAAAAAGAGGGTGCCGAGTCTACTCATGGAGTTGGACCTGGTGCTTTACGTATCCCCGCCCTTATTGATGATGCGGTATCCGCAATGCGTCAGATGGACATGTCTGTTGAGGGAGTATTCCGGAAAAACGGCAACATTCGTCGATTGAAAGAACTTGCAGACTTGATTGATAACAAGTACGAACAAGTTGATTTGAATAGAGAAAGCCCTGTTCAGGTTGCCGCACTAGTGAAGAAATTCCTGCGAGAGATGCCAGATCCTCTCTTGACTTTCAAACTTCAGCGTCTCTTTATCATTTCACAGAGTGAGTTTCTTTTTTGCTTGTTTAAGTTCTAATCCTCTTCAGATATTCTTAACTCACACACGGCGACAGAAATCTCGGACCCCGAAAAGCAGAAACGTGTCTTGCATCTAACCTGCTGTTTGTTACCAAAGGCTCATCGGGATACTATGGAAGTCCTATTTGCTTTCCTCAGTTGGGCAGCTTCATTTTCACACGTGGATGAGGAGTCTGGCAGCAAGATGGACATTCATAATCTCGCCACTGTGATGACCCCAAATATACTTTATTCTAATACTAAGACGGCTAGCATGGATGAGAGCTTCTTGGCTATTGAAGCCGTGACCTCTCTAATTGCCTACAACGATGTTATGTGCGAGGTAAGAAAGACGGATCATTATCGTGACAAGCCGAACGAGGCTAACGTGTGACAGGTTCCCGATGATCTTCAATCCATTCTAAATGATACAAGCTTTTTCAAGGATAGCGCCGATATTACCACCAAAGAGATTCTTAAGAGATACGGAGACTTTGGCAAGGGTGTCGTTGCTCAGCGAGTGACGCCGAATATAGAGCAAGGTGGCTCGGGATCTACTCGTGGCAGCAACACGCCTATCTCTGCTCGAATTGAAAATGATCCTTCACAGGCGGCAGCATGGCAGATGCAGAGTTCAGTCCGACATGTTCAGGCACCAGGAGGACCGGCCTATGCAGCAATGCCCACCAACTACCAAGGAGGGAACGATTTCGGGCCACCACCAGAACAATACCGCGCCCGCAGTGCCAGCGCAGGCAGTCAGAGGCCTACTCCGTCCGATTCAGAACAGCTTCCATATCGTCCTAGTCCTGGTACAGGGCCCATGGGAGTGGCTGGCTGATCAGGTTACGATGTGCTTGCAATACTTGACATCGTCATATTTCTTTTCTGAGTTTCTTTTGCACAGGTGCAATATTTTATGACACGGGTGAGCATACTGCCGACACTAGCTAGGTGCGTGCTAGGAAAGAGGGCGTTAAGTTAATACTAGTTAGTGATGAAAGCCATTGCATTTGGTGAGCCAGCATGTTAGGCGCGAGATATTCTTCTTTTCTATTTTATTTTACCACCGTTTCGCTTTCTGACTCGCCAATTTGACGGCGATGTTTATTACAATTTCATTTCTTTTAGCCTTTTTCTTTTTCTTATACCATCACGTCTTGAAATGGGTATGTAGCTGGGTCTTTTCTGCTACCACATTGTTAATGAGGATCATAATCCTACTGTGCATTACAAAGTCCAGTGCTTTTTCTATTATTTTTTTCTTGCTTTATTACGATTCCCATCAATTCCCGCACGAACTCGCCCTTTTTATCTTCGTTTTTCCTTAATTAAGCACTTCGCTTAACATTCGCGACACAAGATTCTCCACCAAGGTTCACTTCATTTTTATCACTTCATCGAGCGAAGTACTTGACCTTTTCTTAAATTTGGTTGACACATGGCATGGTGCATGTTTCGTTTACAAACAGTTTATTCAACGTTTGGAGTTGATCTTTCAATACTTAGTATAGGATGAAGGTCTTGAGAGCCTCTCTTGGGCGTCAAAAAGTCTAGGAGAAAGAAAAGCGCGCAGGGTATAATAATCCATTGCATTGGTATAATTTTTTCCTTGAGCCTCTGATTTCTTCTCTATCAAATAACTCACTGGGGCACCGGAATGCATTCTGCCAGGCGGTGAAGTGCGAGGCTTCATCTCGAGACTCTGTGATCCCCAGAAATTCCATTGATATTTTCTATTTGGCATACTATTCCTCTCTTCATCTTATATCTATGGATCAAACAAATGAAGCCAACAGGTATTTTATGATTTACTCACAGATGTCACGCGAATTTGCACTAAATCAAGGTTGTAGATCAGTTGTGGCCTGCCTTCGATGTAGGAAGCAGAAGCTCAAATGTGGTGGACCTGGGCAGATTCCCTGTCAGAGATGCCGTACAAGCAGGGCCGAATGTGTCTTTGTGCCTCCAAAAGCTGTACAGTCGAAGCCTACATCGCAGTCTGATTCAGAGTAAGCTTCCAGTATCATTCCACTTTAAGATCGCGATATCTTAACGAGGTGTAGGGCCAAAATATCCCTGCTTGAGCAACGTTTGGATTTTGTCGAGAGCCAGCTTCGAGGGGAGATTCAAGAGTTGCGAAAAACCATCGCGCAGGCGTCATATAGCAGAGAAAGCCCACGAAGCAGACGCAGCTCACATACGCGTCCAGGGCAGGGCGAATCTATACATATAGACCTTCCTATGCAAGATATCAACCAATCCTCGGATATTGTGTCGCAAACTGAATGGGATGAATTATATGCCTTTTTCATAGCTAATTGTCGCACAACGGTCTCCGTCGTGGATGACCAATTATTCTCACCGGCTGTCGTGATAAGGCAGCATCCCCTGATATCTACTGTTATCTGCGCCATTGCTTCAAGAGCAGTCTCACCTGGGCGATATCTCGAACTTGTTACAGTGGTTGACAGATTGGTTGCGGCCACATTTCAGGGGCCGACCCCTGATCTTTTAAGCTTTTACGGTATCCTACTCTTCGCAGTTTGGACTGGTCGTATGCGTCTACTGGGTTACGCTGCTTCGGTAGCTGTGGAGATGAGGCTACATGAAGCCGCATTAAAATTAGGCGAAGGCGATGCCGAACTCACAGAGAACCTCGTTATTCGTGCGAGGGCGTGGTTTACTTTGTGCTGTATAGATCTGCAGTGAGCTGACTTCATATTGCCCTGTCATCTTGATTTTGGTCTAAAGGATAGAACAGAATCAACATCAGTCGTCCATACGTCATCAACAAGATGAAAAGCTATTTATCGTGCGCCAAGAACCTACTCACATCACCCTATCGTCACCTAGTGGACGACAGAATTTGTGCTTATATTGACGGTTTCACGATAGCTGGTTCGTTCATAATATTTTGACATCATAGACTGATTTTATCTGACGTGTGTCTAGGTAACGTCAAGGGCCATTTACAAAGATCCCAGTTGCAAATAAAGCCTTTTTCTCAAGAGATAGCAGAATATCTCATTTCTCAGGATGAAGAGATAGATCGGTGGTTTCACAAAGTCAACAACAGCACGAACCCACTGTATCAGTCCTTCCCGGAGAAGCAGGATCGAAATCGCTTCATGGTGCCATTCGCTTTCATGAAACTGTACGGGTATTCCAACTCCGTCTTGATATTCGCTGTGCTAACTTTCCTTTTTCTTTTCCTCGCCTGCAAGTTACATCAATGGCGTAGCAATGCACGGTGTTGAATCGGCTGAAGAACTCATTTCCGATTCCACCCGAATAAGTTTTATACAGCGAGCTTTAGATAGTGCTGGCTTGATTATTCAGACTCAATTCGAGTCTGAGGTATTTCGGGAGGCATTTCGCTACACAATGGTGAGTTCTGATCGATTGATCAACAAAAAAGTTGGTTGAATCTACATGCTGAAGTATAGCTTCTTTTTATCTTAGGACTACAACGGCTCACCTACTTACTATGCAATAAGCTTCATTCTTAAAGCCCTCCCAGTAGCCCATGGGTTCGTTGACTCTAAGAGGCTTCTAACAAATTTGCAGCAAGCAGCCCACATGTTTGAGCAGGCAGGTGCTATAGACGCTGCGAACGAGGTGCGACGAGACGGAGAAAGGATCGCCGTCTTAACACAAACAGTCTTGAGCCCAGAGGCGTTTGAAAATCCAGCGGGGGACATGCCTCTACCCGCCCTGTTCGATATTCCATCCTTCTTTGGTGAAATGGTATGCTTGCTCTGTACCATATCTGCTTCTTGATGTCACATTATATTTAACTTGAGTAAGCAGGGATGGGACGAGGACTTCCCAGCGCTGGACACGTTTGCATTTGACTTGGCTACTCCACGACGGCTATGAGGAGAATTTATCGCGATACTTTATTAGTCTATGTTCTATGCTTTCAATAACTTTTTTTCGTGGCGTCCTTCTACCAGGTTTTGATGATTGTTCCTGCGGCCTATACATACATATATCTTAATGCCTGGTTTCGGGAGACTCAGCACAGTATACATGCGCTAAAGGTTCCATCTACCTACGGATCTTTGCCTTTGGTGTATGTTCTTTATCCTTTTGTCTATCTATTTTATATGAATACAGGGGATATCGTTTCCGCATTAGAGGCCATTGAAGCACAAAGTTACGAACTCTCAGCAGGTTCCTTCCACCGGCCGGCCTCCTTCATGGCTTCAATGAATTCAAGTTTCATAACGCGCGCAAATTCATCGTTCATCAATACGTCTAAGCAAATCAAGGCGTTTGCTTTACCCGCTCGAAGGGCTTCTTGATGTGCGTACTCTCCACATGCAGCCTCTCGGAAGCCGATGGAGTGTGGAAAATCGCTAGCTTTGATTTCAAACATGGGTTGAATACCGGGGCAAATATAAGAACAACTACCGAAATCCCTGGGGCAAAAAAATTGTCAGTCAGTCTTGCGTTTTGGAATAGGTACAATCTAAATTTGAGGAAGATGAGGAGGTCTTACGAGCATCCTGGCTGGTCATGGGCGATCCGGGACTCTTCCAGAGTTGGCATTTGTTCAGGAGTCAGGCCCAAATGACGCAACATGTACTGTCGATATTGCTCAGCTAGTGCATTATTGGAAATCACATCTTCGTATAGTGCAGTCCTATTGACATCGGAAAGTTAGTCCGTGTTCGACTTCTTTTTGTGTACTCAATGCCACTAACCATTCCAATTCAACCCTGCATCCCGTCGCGTCAGCCGCAGCTCCAAAGATAGGCTCGAATCTAGATCGTAGTTCATCTAGCTTCTTCATTGTAGGTGCACGTATACTGAATACTCCCTCGGAATACTCAGGTACGATGTTTGAAGCCTTCCCAGCTTCGAGGATGCATCCTTGTACGCTCTGTCCTTTTTCTAGGTGTTGCCGGAGCATGGAGATTGATGTATAGGCGTTCACGATAGCATCACAGGCGTTCCGTCCTTTCCATGGCGCAGTCGCGGCATGAGCAGCCAGGCCATGGAATTTCGCACGCAACTTCCACGACGCTTTTGTGAGGCATAGCGGGGTGCTGAAACTGGGCATCCCATGTGTCATCACGCAGGCATCAACGCCTTTCCAGGCGCCATTGTTGGCCATGATCCATTTCCCGCCTCCAGATTCCTCGGCCGGAGTTCCCATTACAATGACGGTGCCATTGACTCCTCGGGATTTGATCACAGTCTCCACGGCGATGGCTGACGCCACGGATGAGGTAGCAATCAGGTTGTGTCCACACGCATGGCCAAGGTTTGGGAGGGCATCTATTTGCGCATGAACTTGTCAATTAATTGCTTTCTGTTGTTATATGACTACCGGGACTCGAGCGTACCGTATTCGGCATTGAAGCAAACGGTTCGACCGCCTGTACCTACGGAGAAACGAGCTTCGAAAGCTGTCTCCAGGCCATAAACACCTCGTTTTACTGACCATCCGCGATTCTCAAACCAGTCAGACAGCAGTTTGCATGCTTTGTATTCACGGAAGATCTGCTCCGGGTTGTTGAAGATCTATAGACAAGGCCGTATACCGGGTGAGTGAACGCTCGGACAGAATGAAAAGAGAGGGGAGAAAAAAAGAGGTTCTTATCGTTATGATTATACTTACTTCCAGGCTTAGGCGCCGCAATTCCTCGCTGGCAAGGTCTATAGCCGATGTAGCTTCCGCAATGATATCTGCGGGCTGGAGGTCAAGATTGGCCATACTTCGTTCGGTATTTGGCGAAAGCGCGTCGAGCTTGTGGGGAAAATCTTCTTTTCTCTTGATTTTTCTTTGGTTTCCCTCCAAAAATATTGCGTGGTGTCTCTTTTCTGTATACTTCTCGGACGTGCAAGACTCGCACCGGCTTCGGTCGGGCCGCATGCCGAATGGTTATCTCCCGTCTCTTCTATCAAGTTATCAACTTTACTCACCGTGGGAAGTTGCCCAAGCGCCAGTTGCGTATGCAAAGATAAGCGCCGCCATTTATATTGAAATGTTGACTCTCCTCCCCTGTGCCGGTCAGCCCATCTTTTCATACTCTCCATAGCCGTGCGAGTAGGGCAAAGTGCGCAAGAATTGTTCGGCCTTCTTGTCATCTTGGGGACTTGAGAGAAAGTTCGATCAATATGTCGCATGATACGAGAGAAAATGTCCCCTCTGGGCCTGCTCCTACCACAGCTCATCCTGAGAAGGTTCTCAAGGATACTGACGTTGGCGCCACGGTCCTACATGGAACGGTGGACGAGCTGCACTATAACAGTGGCGAAGCTCGAAGAGTTCTCTGGAAGATAGACCTCTTCTTGCTGCCGATGCTGAGTATAACATATATACTTCAAGTGAGTGTCTCGTCTAGCATCACGTGGAATGCATGTTCTAAACAATCTGGCTATCCTAGTTCCTGGACAAGTCTTGCGTCTCTTATGCCGCACTCTGGGGTATGAAAACAGACGCTCACCTGGTCGGCGACCAGTATTCCTGGCTCACAACCATTTTCTATCTCGGCTACCTGGCCAGCGAGTTCCCCAGCAATGTTCTCTTCCAGAAGTTTGATATCGCACGCACCTGTGGTATCTTTATCACGGTGTGGGGAGTGGTGCTGCTCTGCATGACTGCTGCAAACGACTTTGCTGGTCTTGTGACAGCTCGTTTGTTTCTAGGGATCCTTGAAGCTGGAGTTAGTCCTTGCTTCGTACTTTTGACTACCATGTTTTATAAAAGGTTAGCATGTGCCCAGAAGCGACCACTTTTGATGCGAATTATCCCTCACACTTGGTATATATCCATAGGAGCGAGCAACCTTTGAGGACGTGCATCTGGTTTTCAATGAATGGAATGGCCAATATTTTTGGTGCCCTCATCGGTTACGGGATCGGCCACATCGACGCTGCTCTTCCAGCTTGGAAATTCCCCTTTATCATCTTCGGTTCCGTGACAATAGTCTGGGGAGTAATCTTCACTCTATTCACTCCTTCTAACCCAACTAAGGCACGGTGGTTGACGGAGAAAGAGAAGGCTATCGCAGTGCTTCGACTGGCTGATAATGAGACAGGCATTGACACCAAAGTATGGAAGTGGGAGCAAGTCAAGGAAGCTTTTATTGATCCCCGATTCTGGTTGATTATCCTATTTACACTGGCCAACAATATTCCAAATGTATGTTTGCCTTTCATCACATAAATGGGGAAATAGCTGGCTGACTGGGTCCCTATTCTTTCTTTCCTAGGGTGGTGTCTCTGCATTCGCTCCTCTCATCGTTAATAGCTTTGGCTTTAACAAATTCGAGTCTACCTTGCTCGGAATACCATCTGGCGCTGCGCAGATTCTGGGGCTTTGGATATCAGGGTATGCTTTGACATACATAAAACCCAGCAAGCCGCAAGATTACTGACTGAATGCAGTTACTTGGCTATGAAAGTAAAAGGAATCCGTCACTTCTTAATGATTGGGGGGCTTTTGGTAGCCCTTATTGGAGCCTCATTGATCTATGCTCTGCCCGACTCTTATCGAGTTGGTCGACTTCTGTAAGTCAAGAAGACAAGACGATGGTTTTGCCGAGGAAGATATGCTGAACATTCACAGTGGCTACTACCTGCTAGTTAGTTTCAGTGCGAGTTTCGTTATCGCTATCAGTCTTGTTCAATCCAATGTCGCTGGACGAACCAAGAAGACTATTTACAACTCTGCGTTCTTCGTAAGGTAAGCAATATGCTACAGTTTCCGAGAACTTTTTTCTTTGTGTCGAGTTGTAATCTCACCCATTTATTTACATTTAGTTACTGCGTTGGTAACCTCATTGGTCCCCAATTATTCTTCACACGTGAGGCTCCTCGCTACCAGTCCGGCTTCGAATCATGGATTGTCTGCTTTGCTGTACAAATTTTCCTCGCCGCGGGGATGTATGTGATCAACCTGCGTGAAAATCTCAGGGTACGTCCCCTTCTACTTCCTGTCTTGGAGAGTAAGGATTTACTCATTTTATTCGTAATCCAGAGAGATCGTCTTGCCGAACAAAACAACAGTCGAGGTGTCCTAGAAGATGAGTCCACCGCTAGAATAGCTCTGGGACTGTCCGATTTGACAGATGTGAGCTTTACTACCCGTTATTATTCTGCTACTTACCTACAAGAATCTGATACTGACATCACTTGTTTTCTCCAGATGCAAAACTTGCACTTTCGATATGTGCTTTAGTCAGGAGAAAGAGACACAAAACCTCTTGGTTCTCATCTTTTAATGGGTCTGTTAATTAATTCTAATAAAGGTCTTGCCGTGACGGATTTATCTCTAGAGTTTTGATTGTATAATTTATATTGAATGTCAAGTAGATCAATACGCATTGCAACTATTCACTCTGAAGTGATAATTTCAAATCCACTTGAAGAATTGGGCTCTGCCATACATGTAGCATTCACTGAAATCTACCTTTTACTGCAATCTTCCCTGTGTAGATCTATAATGGTACACTGAGATTAAAGTATCCAGGACTGCTCGGGATCATTTTTAGCTGAAATAGCTGTGTCCCAGATATGACTACCTGTTACCTAATAACTAGAACTATTTCTCAGTATTAGTAGAACACGTTATTAATGCGCCAGACCAAAAAAAAAAAGAAAAGAGAAAAAACAAAAAAATTCACCACTTCTTCGGCTCGGTCAATCGGCCCGACCGAGTATACATAACCCTAACTCAGAAATTCCATGTTGCCATAAGGATTGACTATTTACTTGATTATATAGATGTGAAGTAAGCTCATGCGCTAATGGGGATTCCAGGAAGTTCAAAAATATGAGGGAAAGCAAGGGCATGAATCGGAGCAAGATGCTACCAAAGAAAGATTTAACAAATACAAATAATTGGCCGACAGTAAGTTTTCTGAGCAATACATCACGATTCCAGGTTTTAATAAAGAATCAGAAAAAAAAGCTGTTCACAGTCCTGATCGTTATGCTGGCCGTGTTGAACAGCAGCATGGGAAGTTCTTTGACAAGCAATGCCGTTTTGTATATCACAAAGGAATTCCATATAGAATCCGAATGGCTCAAAGTTCTTCCAATGTCCGTATTTTTGATTGGTAAATAGACATATTCAAAATTCAAAGTTATGACGAATCGGTGCTGACTGCACAAACAAAATAGGCTATGTCTTCGGTACGCTTTCGATACTGCAAATTCCAACCCTGACCATAAACTAATTTGTCACCAAGGCCCAATTGTATGGGCTCCTTTGAGTGAAGAACTTGGTCGACGATACATCACCATTGGGAATTTCATTCTCTTTGCGCTATTCACAATGTCCTGTGCTTTGGCACCAAGCTGGAATGCATTTCTAATCTTCCGACTATTCTCTGGCATCTTTGGAAGTTCGATTGTTGCGATCGCGCCCGGTATACTAGCTGATATTTTCCACAATCCCAGCACTAGGGGTTGGAGCATAGCGATATTCATGGCGGTACGTATCAGGCTCTTCGCTATCATGTGTCGGTAAGTCTCTTACTGACCGGAGAAACTAAAGGTGACCGGGTTTGGTCCCGGGCTTGGACCGATAGTATCCGGATTTGTCTCACCAGCGCTTGGATGGCGATGGTCGTTTTGGATTGCTCTGATATTTGCCGGCGTTTCATTCGTGCCACTCTCCTTTCTTTCAGAGACGAATAAACCTATACAATCATCCACTTCGGCATATTCAAACAGTGATACCGAAGCAGAAAGTCTAGAATTGACAATGAGGCCGAAGCGCACCTGGAGTGAAATACTCATAAGAGTCCTGCTGAGACCGCTTTACTTCTTGGTGACAGAGCCTATTGTTAGCGCTTGTTCGGCTTATCTAGCACTGTGTTACTCTATCTACTACATGTCATTTCAGGCATATCCTATTATCTTCGTGCAACTATATGGTCTCTCCCCAGGCCAGTGCGGCTTGGTTCAGCTAACGATTGCTGCTGGATGCGTCTTAACGCTTCCATTGTACTGGGCATATAACGAAATATGGTTACACCGTCAAACGGGTGAGGAAACATCAACTATGAAACTGAATGAAGCAGAGCGCTACCGTCTACCGCTAGCATGCCTCGGGGGGCCCCTTTTTGTCATATCCCTTTTCTGGCTTGGCTGGTCCTCGAGAAGAGATGTGCCCTTTGTAGTACCCATGCTGGCTGGTATACCGTTTGGAATGGGGTTTATGTGCAGTTTTATATCACTCTTGTACGTCCATTCAGCCCTTCTTTAGCCTCGGCCTTTCCTGCTTACACATATATGACAGGAACTATATAACGGATTCTTATAAAACACTGGCGGCATCTGCAAATGCAGCCTCAAGCTGCTCTCGTTCTCTCTTGGCCACACTTCTCCCCCTCGCAACAACACCTATGTTTGATCATTTGGGGATTTCGGGAGCGTGCAGTTTGCTCGCCGGTTTGAGTGTTTTGATGTCCGCAATACCGTTTATATTCATCTGGAAAGGGGCTAGTTTGCGGGCCAAGTCGAGAGTGTTACAAGGAATACAGTGGAAAGAGTGAGTTACGGGTGATTTTCAGCAATCGCAGAACGCTTCTGAAGTGCATTTTGAGGAAGGTTTAAGGAATTATAAAAAGTTGGCCATCTGAAAGCTATTTTGCACTATAATGACACTATCTAATACCTAGGTGGTGTCTCCAGCCCTTATGTTTTGTTTGATTTTATAGATTGCATAAGAGAAAAACTACAGCGCTTTCATTTGATTTCATCACGATTAATATCTAGATATCATACGGATCTTATAACCGGAGCAACCCTCAATAGAGATGAGAATACATAAATTCTAACAAAAACCCGCATTTGCTAGTAGGATCTTTTTATCCATGCTTGGTTGTACGTCCAACTCTCTGATTGTCTTATCCTCCTCAAAATCAGCCTTAATGCGCGCCGCAACCTCATCATCCGTGAGGATATTCCAGCCTGTGATGGCCATTCCTTTCCCTGCTTGCAAGCAGAGTTCATGTGATTCTTTGGTTCCTGCTACTGCTGTAAAGCCAGCTGTATGATTATTACAGCCTGGTTGTGCTGGTACACCTACGTAGGCTTGAAAGCCAGGGCATGCGTAGGTTACGTTGCCTATTTCGTAAGTTAAAATCGTTTGTCATATGAAAAGCTTGAATATTTGTTCTGTAGAGAGGATATTTGACGAACCTTGGTCAGTTGAGCCAGGAACACCAGCGGAGGTCAAGTCGCAGCGTACTTCAGAACCCAATTTTGACATTGCTTTCGCATAAACTGTCGAGAGGGTCTTATTGGGTCGTAGGTCTGCATAGGTATTTTTCCTGCCAAAAAAAAAAAAAAAACAATATCAGTATAGTCCGGGACTCAAAGGGAGGAATATGTTATCCTGTCCGTACATTTGCAGCTTCATGGTACATCCAGCTTGCGTCGCAGCTCCTTCAAAACAAGCCTTCACACGCTCTAGAAGCTGCTCCGCAATTTTCACACTTCCTGATCTTATATAACAATCCAACGCCGCAGTGCCGGGAATGATATTTGGTCTATCCCCTCCATTGGAAATAATGCAATGCACCCGGTTTGAAGGGTGGATTTGCTGTCTTAACGCAGCAATACCGTTATATGCCAGCACAGCGGCATCTAACGAATTTATTCCTTCCCACGGCGCCATAGCAGCATGTGCCGTTTTGCCTGTAAACTCGACACCAAGCTTGAGGCTTGCTAAAGTTGGCATGTATGCATCCCCCGTGAAACCGGGACATTCGGTGAATGGGCCGGGATGTGTCATTAAGCAGGCATCGACATCTGTGTATGCGCCGGCCTTGACAATGGGGATTTTGCCGCCGAATCCTTCCTCGGCTGGTGTTCCAATCAGTCGCACACGGCCAGGCACAGGCTGGCCCTTTTCGCGCTGTTGCTTGAGTACCTCGGCCACACCGAGGAAAGCTGCGATGGACATCATGGCGATCAAGTTGTGCCCGCAGGCATGCCCGATGCCTGGGAGAGCATCGTATTCGGCGTTGAAAGCAACCACTCGTCCACCTTGCCCATACTCGCTGACAAACGCTGTTGATAAGCCATAGGCGTGTCGCGTTACCTGGAAGCCGAGAGATTCAAGCAATGCTGTGATGTTATCATGTGCCTTGTATTCTTGGAAACCGAGCTCCGGATTGCTGTGAATCTATGCAATTTACCGCCTATCAATATATTTGGTTCTCTATGCAACGCCAACTTTTATCAGGCAACATAGTCACGTACTTTCTGGTTGATTTCCCAGAGTTCTTTGGCTTTCGCGTCGATAGCTTGTACGACTTGCAGCATAAAGTAATCGTTTTCGGCAGCAGATGCTGCTAGTAGGGTTCCTGTAGTCATGTTCCGTCGTTTTCCCGTATTAGATTTGAACTACTTGCCCTTCTCTCTATGCTTAGTGGTTTTCTGTATCTATATAATGATGGTGGATCTCGGCAGACTCGGTATCGGTCGGACCGATTCAGTACCTACCGTAGTGATTGGCTTATCATCGTTTATACACTATTTTTCTTTTCTTTTCTTTTCTCCCACTTTTACAAATCCAAGTTACTTATTTAAAGCAAGGATCTGTGAATTCTCTCTTCCATTCAATTGCCAGATACTGTTGGGTACGGATAACTGCACAATTCAAAGGGCCCGTCTCAATCTCCTGTCCTTCCTCCTTGGATCTCTCTTAAATAGCCTCTATATTCCACTCTTGAGTAACCGGATAGGCAATACTTTGCGGCACTTTGAGTTTTGATACCATTAATTAAGTCCTTTTGATGTCCGATGGCGTACTTGTCTCCTCAGCTGGTTGATAGCAGGTATAGTCATGACTAGTGCTAGCCCTCTAGACGAGTGAGGAAGAAGCGATAATTGAGACAACCACGATTTGATGTGAGAGTACATCTCGCTGAACTTCGCAAGATGTCCCATCCTCGGTGTACAGCAGCCGATAACGCCCAGACATATAATGTCCAAATGCGGAAGTCGTAAACTACCTGAATCTTCTCTCATGGTTTTATGTTATGCAAAATTCATATTCCGAATATAATGTCTTTAACCTCGCACTCGAATTGGCTACTTTGTCCAAACATTATATTTAACTTGAGACGACCTATTTCTCCATATCATCCGCTATGTAGTTGCATGTTGATCAAAATGATCCCAATAAGCCGGCAGACCATCTATTTCCTCAGTGGTTCGAAGTCCCAATCATCAGGTAACGTTCTCGCCGCATAAGGACTCTTTGTGAAATACTACCTATACCGGTCAAACTCCCAAGTGACATCCTGAGTCTCGTTGATATACGTAAACCAAGAGTTATGAGCCGAAGCCCATTTCTCGAGTTCGCCCCCAATCTCGGAGAATAGTCTCTGTTTTGTTCTTCATTTCCCAGCAACAAGATTAGCAAATATTGAAGAGTAGGAATATGTTTAAAAAAAGGATAAATACCAGCCGGCGGCAAGGTTGGTAGGAACTGGGGTTCAGCGATGTATCCTCTTCAGAGAGAACATTGTCTGGCTCTCGGTCACTTGCTTCTTTCAATCTCTCGCCACTGAGGGTGAAAATGAAGCAAACATGGACGATACCATGCTGTGTGATGGGTACCATGAGTGGGACGACCCTCGCTATGATTTTGATATTGAGTACCAGCTACGACATACTCATCAACCTGCATCTAGGCAGGGTGTCATCAACATGGGAACCTTCCATCGATAGATCCGAGTGTTGGTTTGTAGGCTGGCACAATGGTCCTGCTGATTTACAATGCTGCGTCGAATGAAGGGTGCTGTGGTTTCACCGAGGCAGTAGCTGTCACTTTCAGAGTCAATTTCACAGGTCTTCGTGGTCTTCTCTGAGAAAATGGAATATATTTCCTCGCTGTACAGACACATATCTGGTAGGAGAATGCGAATAAAACAAGTTGTAGGATAAGTTGCAGCAGTTAGCCCATCTATAGAAATAGTTAAACCATTAACACACTCCCTCAATAACCAAACGCCATGGCCATAGGCCAAAATTAGACAGAATATGAAGCTTTAAACAGAAGATAACAAAACCAACCCTACTACTCCCGCTCCCCGGATCTATAAGTGTATGCCGCTTTTTTGTTGAAGGGAAACCAATAACCCCGATTTGGAACACATCATAGTACTCATGGCATGCCATCATAGTTAGACACGCTTGCGAAGGACCCTACCAGTACTGACAGGTGCATCAGTGCCGACCTTTCTTGTTGTAGCTGCAGCTCGTTTGGCGTTTGCAGCGGCTGTAGGCCCTTGACTGCGAGCTACTGTGGTCCGCTTTGCTGCTGCGCTGGACGTTGTGGCAGTGGCTCGCTGTGCTTTTCGGGTTGCCTTAACAATGGTTGTACCGGAGGATGCATTCGAAGAAGTAGTACTGCTGCTCATGTGCCGATCTTGCTGTCGCGTGGCGGGTCGCGCTGGGGACTTGACAGGAACCGGATTGGCTGATTTGGTGGCGGTTCGCTTTGTTTGCGCGGTAGCTTTGGTTCTGCGCACACTTGCGGGTGGAGATGGTTTCTTGGTCTCGGTGCGCGTAGTACGAGCACGAGCATCTTCAATCATTGCTTTGAGAGGACTGGAAGGTTTCAAAGGTGAGGCGGGTCGGGATAGGTACGAGGCCTTGGTGGGCGACGTAATGAGCGGAGACTGCTTGTAGGTTCGCGAATTGGAGGATTTCGGGGACAAAACTTTCGACTCGGCATCTCGCAAGACTTGTGAAACAGATCGCGGCTGTCCAGATGCGGCTGGGTTGCCTCGTTTCTTTGGGTTTTCGAGGGGGATGTGTGCATCAGGCACTGGTGCGTTCTCTTTATCCGAGTAACTGCCACCGTTGCTGGTTTCTTTGGTGCGGCGAGAGGGTGACTTTGCCACACTGATAGTTGGATAATCCGGATCTCGGGGTATAATTTTTGTAGTTGCAGTCTTTATGGTAGTTCTCGCTGGAAGGGCCGACTTCTTCGGGGATTGTGCCTGGGGGACATTGTTGTGCTTTTCAAGTAGCGCGCCCATCGTGGTCTTGCGCAGCGCGACCGGAATTCGGTTTACTCGTCGTTCAATTCTAGATCGAAGATCCTGCGCCTGGAGCGCATATTGAGCGCGTAGTCCGCGGGCTCGCTCCGTGACTGCAAGACGGTTAGTAACCGACAACAAGGGATAAAACGACGCCTCTCTCATGGAGCTCAAAGACGTACTTTCTAATTGAAGGTTATCGATTAGAGTCTGTTTTTGATGCTGAGTAATCTTCAACTTTTTGCGAGCTGGGCTGTTAGAAGGCGTTGTGATGTGGTCCTCATTGACACTGTCGCGCTCTGGCTCGGGCGACTTGCGCTTTCTTGAGATCGCAGCAGACATTGTGCCTGATAAAAACCGTTGGAATCAAATAAAAGGCTTCAAACGTCTTCAATCAAGGGGTGCAATGCAATGGTGGCAGAATTAACGGTCGAGAATGTCGCGGTGGTGAATAAGTCGCGTGAGAAAGAAGTGCGCGTGTTGAAGAAGCGATGATGTATTTCTATTTGGCGAGGGTAAACAAGAACGCTCAAACGGAGCCTTACCGAAGCAGGACTAGCGCGGTTGTGGGCAGCGTCGACTTGGCGGTGCTGAGTGAGCTTCAATGATACCATACCGCCGTTACCTTCCACCTGAACCACCTCGAATCCATCGTCAGAGTCTTTATTTTAGACGTGCATCCAGCTGCGTTTCCCTGCACCGGCAAATTCGAGTCTTATATACAGTGTATTTCTGTATTTGGCTAGCCTGAGATCTTCGCCTTCTTCTAAACATTATCATCGCCTTCGGAGCTTACGACCAGAGCTTCTAGCTCTCACCAGCCGTCAAGATGGTATTGGAAGCAACCATGATCATGTTCGTATTTTCCGCCAGGCAAATACTTGGTGCACTGCTGACAGTTCCTAGTGTCGATAATAGCGAGCCGAGCAGAAACGGAGACTACACGTAAGCTTCCGTAAGCTACCTGCAACTACCTTGACTGACTCCTCCCTAGTGCTACACGATGGCAAGCGCAGATCGATGCCGTGGGCGTTATTCATACGGCGAAGATGCGAGCTAACCCGCAGTCTGCTGTCGGTCTCATGAGCATGGGTGGAAACGGGCCGGAGGTTCTCTCGACTTTTACGGACGACTTCGGCAAGATCTTGTCTGGACTGCACCGAACCAAGATCTACGGCAAATCGCATCTCGCATCAAGTATACAAGTCGCTGGTGTATGTAATGCTAGTCTCCAATCGTTTGAGTTGATGCTGACATTCTGGTGATATATCAGTTGGCCCTTAAGCACCGCTCGGAGAAAGCCCAAAGACAACGAATCATCGTCTTCTCATGCGCACCCGTAACCGAGGACGAAAAATCACTCATAAAGCTGGCCAAGAGAATGAAAAAGAACAACGTCTCCATTGACATTGTTGCATTTGGAGACTTAGACTCGGATACTACTAAAAAACTGGAAGCATTTGTCGAAAACGTGAAGGGAGGCGATGGCTCTCACCTAGCCATAATTCCACCTGGTCCCAATTTACTAAGCGAAGAGTTACAAGTTACCCCAATCTTGGGCGGTGAAGCTGGCGTCGGTGTTGGCGCCGCAGAGGAGGGTGGTGAAGGGTTTGGTTTTGAAGACGCTGCAGAGAACGATCCCGAACTCGCCTTTGCTCTACGACTATCGCTCGAGGAGGAAAAGAACAGGCAAGAGAAAGAAAACCGCGAACGCGAGGAGAGGGAGGGCAAAGCTTCATTGGAGAATATCCCCGAAGAAAGCAAAGACGGCGGGGAATCATCCAAGGACAATGACCAGAGCGGCGATAAGATGGACACTGCGTAGGTGCTGTGTGCTTGTCCGGATTGCCGCTGAGCGTCATTTCAGCCATCACACAAGCAGAGTGTAATGTTAACTACGTACTTTTCAATAGACCAAATAATGGGAGATTGTCTTCATATAGCGATGTGCGCAAGTATTGGTTTTTTTTCCCCTTCATTGATTTTGTTTCAAGTTCCTCTATGTTCTGCCTCTTAGCCATGTACCTAGGTGCCGATCAAAAGCCTCGCATCGCACAGGCATTTCCAACTGGTAGAAAGGATTCTTCATAACATAATCTGCGTAGAGTTCATACACCTTTTTCATCACGGTGTCGATATTGGACATCAAGGGATCTGTAAAGAGGAGGAATTTCGTGCCTGTTTGCGTTTGGAAGCAGGTGAGGCGGAAGCGATCGGTTTCAAGCACTTCGATTCCAGATTTCGGCTGGCCGGGTTCTGGAAGCGACCAGTTCGATGATGCGCTGCTCGTTGTGTTAGTGCTGGCAGTGGTAGGTATCCGAGGGGTGATGGTGCGAGTGATGGCGTGGACACTAGTTAGGAAGAGAGAGTCAGTAAACCAACAGCAATAAGAACAACAGCCTCGAGGGATAGAAAGCTGGCGGCAACGAACCCATGGAATGTTCCTGCTAAGACGAGGTAGTCATTCGTGGAGAGCTTCTGCAGGCCAGCCTGGAACTCCCGTTGATAGATGAGACCGCCAGCCTTGTTTATGATGATAAGCGAGAAGACCGCCCTGGGAATCCACAAGGCGCAGTCAGTAATCGATCACGTTCGACAAGGGCGGGAAGAAGAGGCGCATACATGGTTGTCCGTTTCTTCAGCCTGTAGTCTCTTTGTCAGGCAGAGACAGACAGAGTAGTCGCAGAGCTATTGCCTGCGCGGCATTACTCAGGTCCCCCGTCGCTCCTTCCGCACGCTGTCGTCTCCTCCTGGTCGCGCCTGCCCAAAGAAGAGATGCCCCCTAGAAAGCTTATTTTAACGTCTGCTCTTCGTCTTCGTGGGGCAATTCTTTCTCAACCACGACGACTCGTATACCCTCACTGCTCTGTCCTCTCTTTCGTTTCGTGTATACACACACTATAACTACCCGATACATGCGGATGCTAGCATTGGTTTTGGGGGAACACTTGGCGGCCAACTGACCAATAGCCTGCTGTCTACAGCTACGGCCAACTTCGACTATTCCCTGGAGCTACCACAATCGGCAGTATGGCCGTGTAGAGCCGACTGAAGCTCGCAATGGCTCTTTCTATTGCACAGCGAACATGCTACGGGGAATCTCCAAATTGACCGACTGGCATTCAGTCGGCTGGGTCGCATTCTAGGATCGGTCGCACCGCATGGAAAGGTTGAATACAGTTAGGGCCCAGTTCACTTATCTCTCCTCCAACTTCGAACAATGCGGCATTGTGACCAAAATTCAGCTGCATAAACCTACTACGCCATATTTCATGTCGAGCGATTTCACTTGGGAGATTCGCGGTCGGGATGGTTAGTCTTAGAGGCCAGAGCGTCAGGGGCACTAACCATTACACATTGGTGCTAGGTTACCGTCATGCCAGTGGCTCACCGTTCGATGCCCATTGCCTGGCCGTGATCGCCCAGGCGAACTGGCACCGCTTCGCCTCATCATTGCCCGGGTGACGATCTACAAATCACACCTACTGACAGGAGCAATCATGCAGCCACGGAACTATTTCTGACTAACAAGGATATACGAGGCTTGCATGAGATGGTCTCCACGTGTATGGCAATCAACTAATGATTCCAGATGGTGAACTACGAGCACCTAAAGCAGACGAGACTTAACGCATTCTCTCCCAAGGGTGACTTGATACGTGTCGCACCAGTGGCGCTAGCCTTGGGACTACTCAATACTCGCTCTGGAACAGTGCAAGTCAAAGCACTGTTATGTATCCGTAGTCCGTGCTGTCAAATTGCAGACAGCAGAACTGGCTACGGAGTAATTGAACGATTTGGCCTGCTGACTGCAAAGGGCTAATTTAGACCGTCGACTGGGATCTTAAAGCAGACTGACAAATACTGCGACGCAGGGTCAAGAGAGTGGGAACTCCAGATATCCATACTCTCTTTCTATACTCTTCGGTCACGTTTGGAATGAAATGACTCGAATAGAGAATAGCCCCTTAAAAAGCGCTGCAACAGCTATACATTACTACCAGCATGAGATCAAAATTTTATGCAGGGGCGCTGTTTCACTTTCCAATTGCTCAGCTCCACGCTTAATTCACATCCGCTTTATTTCCGAGAAAACGCTTTCTGAGCAATGGCATTTCCGATTAATCAGTGGCTTACGGAGTATCCTGCAGACGGGACCAAAAAGGAAAAAGAAAAAAGGCCATTCCCACTACTACGTACTAGTAACCGACTAGCTGCTACCAGTGTACTACCACACGAAGTACCATGGGCTAGGTCGGGAACCAGCAACGCAACTTGAAGTGACTTGCAAAATAATTCAAGTCAGAGACGTTTTTTGGCTGCTTACTGTGATCTATATTAACTAACTTTGTGGGCCTGAGATGTTTGGCAACTAACTACGGAGTAATTCATTGGAGATGGGCTCGCGCTAATTACTCTCTATTAGATCGAGTGGCGGCGGCGAGCCGATACTAATTTATCGCGACAGGGAGATCGACTACGGTCGGCTGGATGAATGTGGAAAGACGTAGCCAGTTTATGCAACCGAATGTACTTCCAAACTAATCCCAAGTACACCTAAGAACATCAACCAAGGGGATTTACAACGGAATGTTGTACTCCGTACGAACTGTGCTCTGCTCTTCAACGCGTCCGAGGACCATGCCTTGACGACCTCGATTCCCCGCACCCGAGTGTTGTCATCAGTCCCCGGGGAGGAAAGGAAGCCCTTGGCATCTGTCATCCAGCAATCCAGCATGCAATCAAGTCGCCACAGGCATGAAATCCGACGCATCCACATCCGCTTGGAACTTGGATTCGCGTAGCACGCGGGCATACGGCAAGGAACTTGACGATTAATATGTTTAGTTTACGTGGAAAAAGGCGGTGTCCCCATGTTGTGGAAACGAGGGATGTATTGACGACGAGGAAACAATTTGATTGGAAATCGCATTGATGTGCCGCCGGGGATCTTGAGAAACACGAATCACTGTCTAAACCGGTAAATAGAGAATCCCCCAGGCGGTGCCAGCTACGTACTAGCTCAGCAGTCTAGCTCTAAGTTGCTTTGACAGAAATGGAATGGCGCGGCGCAGAGAGCGTCCTGCCACGCCAGCATAGAGAGCAGAGGTGCAGACAGTGCCACATTACGGAAGCGCGGCCAAGGCAGACTTGGTTCGACGGAGAAGTAAGTACTCCACTAATTGTGCATTAGACGCAACATTCATCCAAGCAGATCACAGATAGATGACAGGTAGTCATTAGTTTTTCAGCCCGGGCTATGTCTGGCATTGGCGCTATTATTTGACACCGCATGCTTCCAGATCGATTACGACCAGAGCCACTTTGACTGGACCCGGGCAAAAATTGTTTCCGTATAGTCGCCGAATGACTCGTTCAGACACGCCCGAGTCAGAGTCTCTTCAACTTTAACTACGGTCCACGGAGCAGAGAAAAAAGCAACAGTGACGCCCGCGCTAGACCACGTTTCTGCAGATAGGGTTTCAACTAAAAATACAGCGCGTATCTATCTAGTGTTGACTAAATCGGTCTAATTCCGCGTCGATCTACGCCTCTCCAAAGTCGCTCTTTGAGTCTTTCTTATTCTGGATCGTGGCTTGCGAATACTGCTCCACTAGACACAGCATCGGAGGACGGCGATTTGAAGTTGCCGCGACACCCTGTGAGGTACTAGTTATGTAGAGAGATTGCGGAGTCGTGTTTGCTTGTGCTACCAAGATCCCATAGCGTACACTACCGATAATGAGACGCAGGCACGGTTTAGGAAAAAGAAAGGGGAGTGCTTGACACAGTCAGGGTGACTGGCTTAGCCCTGCGACCATGTCAGACTAGCGCTCAAAATTTATGAACAACGAACCGGTTCAGAACTTACGAGCAATCGTTGAGAGAGAGGGTGAGGCTCAAACGATTGGCTGGGGGGTCTCTGTTTCCAACTTAGTCTGCAGTCCTGTGTGGAATGCAATGGACAGCGCTACCCTAGTAGATAAGAACTCATTGTTCAGCTCCCATCTGATTTGTCAAGCCATGATCGAGATTCTAGGCGGTTTTGGTCGGTGATGCGATATTATAAAAGCGTACCTGCTACCTGCCTCCGTAGCACAAAAAGCGCCAATGGCCAAGGGTGGCCAGAGAGCAGAAGTTTCTTCTACTTACCAGAGCCCTCATTGCATTTTCGAAAAACGCCTGGCGGTGCTTATGATTATTTGAATTCTACCTTATCTTTCTCTTTTCATTTCAATTCTTGGACTGCTTGTTCGCTGTCCATATACTTGCAACCCACATCACGATGAATATGGATTCCCCATTTTCTCTCTATGACAACGACGACGAAACTAAAATGATGGCTCCCATGGCCTCTCCCCCTCTGGATACGATCTATCTAAGCCATCCGCCTTTCGACGTGGAATATCCCTATCATCCCTGGAACTTGGATCGGAAGAAACGTTTGGAACATCACGTTCTACCACTTGAAAGGTGTGCCAAAGGAGTGCCATATTATGTCCCAAAGCTTGAGTCAGGCTATGGGAACACTACGTACCATCTTTCAGGAGCCTTTGGAAAGGATGCGGGTTTTTCCGGCGTTGTTTCCACTGATTTCGACTATCCATCGCCGTTTCGAGTTGCTGCCGCTGATCTATCTTCCATCTCGGAGACTGACCGTTCCCCAAGTCCCTTTGTTCATTATGGATTCTCCAATATACATGCCATTGACGCTGAGAGTGCAAATCCAAGCTTTTCTAGAGTCTGGAGTAGTGACGCAACTGGTTACGAGTCTGTCATCCCACGAGATGTTCAACATGTTCATGGTGAGTTATCGCGCATTGCACTGATGAGATTTTTAGAGGATGGCAGAAACTGCCTGATTGTCAAGTCTACTTCCCGCTGCTTCAATGGCCGATACGAAGCGAATGAAAGACTGACGATCGTTTTTCCTTGTATAGATGTTGCCTATCCGGAGCCGGAGAGTCCTGTGCATCAGAAGGTGTCACAAATATACCCTTGTGCGAGCCTTTACCAAAACCAAGGCGAGACACTCAGCGACCTTGAAATCAACGACGATGTCGACGCCGACGGCGAGCCCGACGCTGCGTGTGACCACGACGTAGATCCTGAATCTACTCAACGAATTTCGAAGATGCCTAAGACAAAGAAAATCTCTCGCAATCACCAGAAGTCCACGGGGAGCTTAAACTCTGGTATTCGCAAGCGCGGCCCATCGCGTAAGACCGGGCAAAACTCCAAGAACAAGCCATCGAGCTCGAAAGATACCTCTACCGATGGTCGCACATATGCCTGTAGTTTCAGAATGTACGGGTGCGAAAGCACCTTTAGCTCCAAGAACGAATGGAAGCGCCACTTCTCGTCCCAGCACCTGAAACTTAATTTTTATCGATGCGATCTTCCAGGCTGCAAGTCCCCTACCAAGGGGCCAAACGACTTTAACCGCAAGGACCTATTCACCCAACATTTGCGTCGAATGCACGCCCCGTGGTCTGGCAAGGCGACTCCTACTAGTGAAGAAAAAGAAAAATTCGACCGTGGGCTTGAGGATATCCACAAACGATGCCTGCAGGAGCAACGACGCCCTCCGTCTCTAAGCCGTTGCACCGTTTGCGACCAACATTTCGTGCACTGGCACGACCGCATGGAACACATGAGCAAACATTATGAAGAGGACCCTCAGTTCAAAGAGCTGGAGGACCCCGGCCTTGTGGAATGGGCTCTCCAAGAGGGCATTCTATACAGGAAGGGCGTTTCCAACGAGTTCGTCTTGGCTGACAAACGTGATCGTGGGAATAAGTCGATTTCTTAGGCTGATAGTTCTCCGTCTGGATTCATTTCCGCCTCAATTCATTCGATACCATCTCCACTTTTGCTCATGGCTTATTTTATAATTTTGTTTCATTCTCTCCTTTCTTCTTCTCTGTACTGTTGCAATATTTCTTCTGGATACCCTTTATCTGCACCAGTTGGATACGCTGGTGTGGTCACGACTTTACGAACACTAAATGAGCCGATGTGTAGGATGGGACTTCTTTTTCTCTTTTGTTTTCCATGGATTGTCTTTAATTCTAATGCTGTTGTATGATGACGACTGTTGTATTATTTAATGTATAGAGTTATTTTTGTTTTTGTGAAAAGAATGCCACTATCGCGTTTACTGCTTACCTTGACTATGTAGCTCTAGTGCTATATGACTACGAATTTTAAACAGAGGCGAATGTCACCCTCGTAGACACTATAGCTGTCAGGAAACTTAGAAAAATAGTTAGAACACCAAAAAAGAGGTGATACTCTTGCTACTCTACTCTGCTCACGAGAATGCTGACGCGCCAGTCCATCATGGACTGACTGCACACTGTTACCTGACTGACTAGCAACATCCAGCTGGGAAATGTGTCGGTCAATATACAACTGACTAAAATGCAAGCAATTCTTGGTTATGTACATAACCATGCAGCCCCCACGTGCTGACCGTTCATGTGTCACCGTTTACACACAAACGCAGTGTTTCAAAGTCGCCTACCCACCAGATTCAAAGTAAATTTCTGTTGTACCGGCGTTCAGAAAATCTGGATCCGGACTAGTCGCCCATGATCTGATCTATACATTCAAAAGTCCCAACCCCGATCTTGTTTGGCCCCGGCGGGAAGCGTCATCAACAACCAACTTGCGTTCTGTCATGCAGGCAATATGAAGTCTATCGATCCTCAGTGGGCTAAATATAGCCCTATTTTGCAGCCCAGTATTATCAAAACCAGTCATTAGTGTGGGCAGAAACCTGGGTACGGCTCGTTGCGTGACCTGAATCAAGATTGGGCTTCAAAAAGACGTTTATGATGTCGGGGAAAGAGAAGTATATCTATCTGAAACGATCTTCGGTTTGTTTCTATATTTTGTTTGGTGTCCTGCTGTTTCTTTATCTCCTGGAAAACCCCTTTCGTAGGTACTAGCTCACGTTACAGCAGATAATAATAAATCATGGCGAGGAACGACGTCCCCAGGACCTCACAGTTTACCAATCCCCTATACCCTGCAACTGCTGAACAGATGCATTTAAAAGTTCCCGAGCAGTCTGAGGATTTGTTCAATGACGAATCCCCCATTGATCGATATGGGCCTCAGCTTCGGAATACAAAACTGGTCGCAAGGCAGTCTTCGAACTATTCCAGGGATACAGAGGGGCATTCCCTGGTTGAGCACGATGCGTACGCAGAGGAATACGAGAACGACAATGACAACAATGCTGCAGATGATTTTCATCCATCTACAAGAGTCCAGTGGGCGGTTCCAGCTCCCCTCTGTGTGAATAGTACTTGGTACGGAACACAACACGGCAACGATAGCAAGTTGATACTCCAAGGCTTGAGCGACCCGTACGAGAGCGGAATTAGCCATGTTTCGGATCAATATTCTCATAATATTTACACTAAATCGGAATCTAGACTTGCTATTTCTCGTCCGGAACCAACCCTACAGCCGAGGGAAGCAGTTGCAAGCTATCAGAGGACGCAATCACCAACACCTCCTGCTATGCAGGAAGTATGGCTGGACAGATCTAGACACTGGACTGGCACAACGTTCTCGAGATCGCCCACACCGCCCATCAGACCACAGCGAGAGAGCATTGTCAGTCCATCATTTCGAACGCCAACAAGTCTTCTCAGCCCATTTAAGACGCCGCCGGGTTATATGAATAGCAGTTCGCAATTTGGTCATTATTCGGTTGATACAAAGACGCCGTATCTCAGTCCAAAGGATTCATATGCCCCCAAAAAGCAATTGCCGATAATCATCCTCTTTGTGTCTCTGACGACATTCTGCACGGCTTTGGTATGTATCTAGGTTCTCAAGCATGATATTCCCATCGCATCTATCAATTCGTCTAATCTTCTATTAGGATCGGATAATAATTATCACGGCCCTTCCTCGAATAACAGACCAATTCAACACCATTGAAGATATACAGTGGTACGGTGCAGCCTATTTGCTGACAGCTTGCTCGGCACACCTTCTGTATGGGAAGCTCTATCGGTCTTATCCCACCAAATGGATATATGCAGCTGCACTAAGCATTTTTGAGCTGGGATCCCTTATTTCTGCTGTTGCACCCGTTTCTGCGGTCCTGATCTTAGGTCGCGCGTTGGCTGGGCTTGGTGCAGCCGGACTTCTGTCAGGCGGAGTATTGATTGTAGGTCAGTCGGTACAGTCGAGTCAGAAGCGAAGATACTTTGCGATACTTGTTTCTATGTCCAGTGTTGTGTTGGTTGTAGGGCCTTTGTGAGTTTTGTTACTTGTGCTCCAGTCTTGATAAGTATTAGCTTGCTGACGTAGTTGACAACAGAATTGGCGGTGCCCTTACGGAATACGCCTCCTGGCGTTGGTGTTTCTACATAAACCTGCCCTTTGGCGGCCTATCCTTAACCTTGCTCCTGTTCTCGTATAACCCTTCTTCGGACAAGTCGCATCGGAAAGAATGGAAGGAAGTGATATCTTCCATGGACCTGGAGGGCATGTTTCTCTTCATCCCCAGTGTTCTATGTCTGCTTCTCGCTCTCCAATATGGCGGTATCAAATATGCCTGGACCTCTGCCACGGTCGTTGTCCTGTTTGCTGTTTTTGTCGTGACTATCGTTGGCTTCGGCGTGATTCAGAACTACAAGAACAAATTTGCAAGCGTGCCACCTCGGCTCTTTAAGAATCGAAACGTATACGGGGGGATGATAGCATCCTTTTGTTTGGGTGCTAGCTTTTCAGTTATGCTGTACTATGTTTGTTCTCTCTTCTCCTCCCTTTTGACAAGATCTGAACTGACTGACAACCAAAAGCTGCCGTTGTGGATTCAAACCATCAAGAACACTTCGCCCTCGCAGTCAGGTCTTATGCTTCTACCACTACTACTGAGCATGGCGATCACATCAATTGTCAGCGGTAATATAATCAACCTCGTCGGCTACTACACGCCTTTCATTTTGTTTGCCTCTGTGATCATGTCTGTTGGTGGTGGCCTGTTCACCACTGTGAACGAAAACACCAGCACCGCAACATGGATTGGCTATCAGATCCTCTTCGGCATCGGCGCAGGCAGCGGCATGCAACAGAGCATGGTTGCCGTTCAAGCCTCCTTCAAAAGATCACGAGACGTCGTCACTGGCATTACGCTTATGACATTCGCGCAGATGCTTGGCGGCGCTGTTGCCATCGCCATCGCCCAGAGCGTATTCGTGAACAAGCTTCATACCAGCATCCAAGAAGCGGATATTGCGAATGTTGATGCCAAACTCATTGTGCACACGGGTACCACAGATCTGAAGAGGATTCTATCGGGCGGGGATTTGACGACTGTGTTGCGACTGTATGGTGCTGCGATTGATGGGGTGTTTTTTGTGGCTATGGGGTTGGCTGCGGTGTCGATATTGGGGGGTTTGGCGATGGATTGGCATTCTGTGAAAGGAAAGGGTGCTTGGAACTCTATATATTTATTTAGATGATACATAAATGTTTGTTTGTCACTAATCTTCATTCAAAGACCATTGGCAGAGTTGATAGAAGAGCTTTCATAGTTCCTCTGGAACACAGACGAGCAGATATTCACCCTTCCTACCTACCAGTATCACGGTCTAGACGAAAGATTATGATGACCGCACCTTGTGAAATAAAATTCAACAAAGTGAAATGAAATACTAGAAAGAAACCCTCGCTATGGGTGTGTTTTGGAAGATAATTTTAGGGAATTTATATGATCAGCCCCTGATGATTCTATCACTAAAAAAGGGACGAACCGTTTGATGGGTCTTCTAGTAACGCTCATTTTATATGTCGTGCCTTATATTTCGCAGTCACCATCATTATGGAGGAATGGCAGCTGATCAAGGACGTTGGCTAGATGATGTCCCAAAGAAGAGGAACCTGTATCTCCCTCGTTGGGGCTAGGAATTGAAAAATATATAGCTTAATTACTATCAAGTTCTGTTCCTGATAGTCCTTTTACGAAATTATCGATATTTGATTTAAAGCATTGCCATGTAACGGAGGTAGATATGACGTGTTGGGCGAGAGGTTCAGTGTACCAGCCCTCGCTTGAAGGATAGTTCGGGCACAGGGCCAGCGCTCCATACAATTAGTAGAACTCAAAGCGTCTTCAAGAGAGAAGCTACTGCTCTCAAGGTCTGCCCACCTGCCCTATTCGGCCCTCGGGCCTTGGCTGAATGCGCCGGTTCTACTAGCCTCTACAATATCAGACATGGTTTCAACCTTAAGCCGCTCCAAGGATATCCATGCAGCGAATTCGGATTCGAATGAGCCCTGACGATGCGGCCAGGAACTAAGAACAGCAACTGTGCGGAGCCGAACACTGTGGTTGCGGCACCACATAGCCGCAGAATACAGTGGTGGGATGATGCCGACGTCGAGTGTCACATTCGGGCGGTCCGGGAATCTGCTCATAATTCCCTCCGTCATGTCGATATGCTTTTCATAATCTGTAGTATAGTAGTTTAGTGTAGTCTCGTCGCGAAGAAGACATGTCTTGACTGTTAGGGCCAAACTGAGTTGCAGGAGCCTCATCATATCCGCGCCTCTTTGCTCTTTTGCATTGAGGTTTCTGTTCGCGCAAAACAGCTCCAGGCTGTGACCAAACCCATTACACTATGAGATGAGCTCTGACTGTTTCTAATGCAATACCCCGTAATCCGCCAGTATCTCCTCCTACCATAGAGCGCCACACTGTGTAGTAAATCGAAACCCCTCGCCCAGAATCGAGTCGAGCGACTGGCGGGCCTCTTGCTGACTGAAAAAATCTCCTGGATGCTCAATCCGACGCTCAAAACAGGGATTCCCCAGTAAGACTTCGCAGGCCCTACACTACAGAGATTGACTCTCTAGATTAGTGAATACTGCGATTACATAAGGCTTAATAAACAGCTTGTAGAGATTCCTTTTTATCTTATTCAAGATCTTTAATCTGTAATATAAATGTCTAAAAGCTTCATCATACTAGCCCTATAATAATTTGACAGCGGATTATGACCGCTATTCCGAATACAGCATGTAATCCACAACCAACACCGTATTTCACAGAGGTGCACCTAATTGGCCAGAATAGGCATCGGATACGTGTCTTAGTTGACCCCTATTCTGATCATAAATATGGCCTCAAGTAACCCCCTGAATATTCTCTTTAGTTAGATATGCAGATTATATAGTATTCTCAATACTAGCTAATACAGCGTTCCGAATCCGTTGTTATAATTATATAAGAACAAATAACAAACAGTATAGACGCATAACTTCACGAAACCAAGGATCCTGCGATGCATGCCGTCGACCGAGTAGAGAAAATGATCTCCCACTCTGATCGAGCGCATAGCGATGCCAGGCGTTCTGGAGATCTTGGCTGTAAGTTCGCATCGACCCGCAGGCGCTTCCTAAGCCGCTCCAGCCCCGGGACCGGCGCTAACTATGTTAATCTCCGCCGCATGGCGGCGCGCTTGAGGACATTATGTTGTATAACTAGTTGTCGTCTGCTAAGAAATCAAAATGAAATATATCGAGACTTACAACCGTCAGATATACTATGTTTCGTAGTTTGTATACTATATTTCTTCTCTATATAATGCCATCAGGTGTGCCTAACTAGGGCATAGTGCAGTCTAGCCGCGTTGGGTTAGTGCAGCTGCTAACAGAGGTACCCATAATTTAAAGCTTGACCTAGTATAGATATACGCAGTTAGATGTTAGGTATTCCCAGCTCATTTCTGATGACTTATGATCATATAAATCTAAACTTCAATAAGAACATCGACATTCTATGTTAGCACTTTAAAAGTCCTCCTTTCTCTTTTGTACTGGACATGTAAGATCTTACCACGCAATTCGATTCGATTAAGATTGCTTGGCATACGGCAGCTATACTGTGTTAGGTACTAGCGTACATTAAAATAACCCCAGCGGATCAAAATGATTGGTTCGGGCGTGTAAGAATTCCATGGCACTTTGCCGAATCCCTTAGTTACCGCATTGGGTTGGCGTTTTCCTGAAAGTCGAGAACTTCAGATGGTGCATAATAATTGGTTGGGCGGTGTTCGATCTGCTGAGTGAGATGATTTTACTGGATCTATAGCTAGTGTAGGGGGGCTCATCACTTCTAGACTAATAAGAACGGGAAAGACACGGAATCGCTTAACAATGACACGATTTTTGGTTCGCTCGCTCGTGTTCGAGATTATCGATGAGGCCTTTCAGACTTCTAAAACTGAGGATAAGGGACGGAGAATGGAGAGTTAATAGAGAGGGAGACCGTTCTATGAGAAGAGATGGATGAAAAAGATAAATAGCCCATCCCTTTGGCACCATATTCATTACATTCCCCTCGATCAAGTCACAAAGTAAACAAAATTGCGTACCTCCTAATTCCGCAAAATGTCCAGCACCAGCACGAGCACCTACACCTACATAATAGCCGGCGGTGGCCTCGCAGGCTGCACGCTCGTCTCCCTCCTTGCAGCCCGATATCCGGAATCAAAGGTCTTCTCATCGAAGCCGGCCCTGACGTTGCAACCCACCCTCTGACATCTTCCCCACTGGCCTGCTTTGGCGCTCATAATTCACCCCTTGACTGGGCGTACACAACCATCCCGCAAGCTCATCTTGCGATCTTCTCGAATCCCCTAGGTTGGGAAGCTCTTTTATCCAGGCAATCATTTAGGCTGCCTCCGGCGTATCCACGTTTGGTAGAGAAAACACACTTGAAGGAGATCTGCCCGAATATAAATATCCTTGCTTTTGTATTAAAATAACCTTACACAGCAAAAGTTTGACTTAAAAGTGCCTATTCGGACATACTTTGCTTTTCGTAAGGCCGTCCACATGAGTTGTACTGGGAAAGAACGCCTGGCCGTTGATCAGATCCTCAACGAATTTGAAAGCAGGTGCATGTCAAGCACGGATCGATGGCCTCCTTTTGGACACGTAGTACTTCCTAAATACTGCTGTTGTGTAAACGTTTTGACTGTGACTAGGAACTGCATCCCTCGGATCCCGGGGTGGTCCGTTTAAGGTTGATTGACAGTTTGTGAGATTCTCGATGTTCTCAAAGATCTAATTATACGGCGTCGTAAATGTATAGAAGTGTCAATGATTGGCTAAGTTATGTGTGTCATGTTCCTTTTTGGGTATGGCGCGGCTTGCGCTTAGTCGAGCTGCGTACTGTGCTCTCATTCGCCACATCTTATTGCTCACTATATCCTGCCAATCGCAGCCCGTCTTATACGGCCCGTATGCCACGGGCTCCGTATAGCGCAGACGCCATCGTTATGAATACAAGCTCACTTATAATTCTGGAGTTGTAGAAGTCGTATAGGCGTCGTATGCGGATTCCACAGATCTGAATCTTCCGTATAAAGAAGACTGTCATTGGCTAATATTCTCCATTAGCCTTGCAGCAACGGCATAACCATAAACATGTGCTTTCTAATTATGAATGATCCCAAATCCCAGACGCCATCGCAATAACATCGTCTCGGTAAAATTCCTTTCCTTCTTCCCGAATCCATGGATAGTACTGTCTCGTATTGAGCTGGGCCCGGATGCTGCCTTCCGAGATACTATCCTCTTCAGGTTGTGTATACATAGCTCAATAATTGCCCCTTTCAAAGACTCAAAGCTGAAGCAGTCTCCTCTTCTCACATACCAAATTAGATGGAAAACGAGTTCTTCTCTGCGACTCTAGTATTTCTAGTTTCCCCCGTCTGAACGATACATTTTTCGGGAGTTGGTTGGCTGACTGCTTTAGCCAATGTCACAAATCCCGGCCCCTGGAGGCGCGGGCGCCATTGCCGCTGCTCAGGATCTCGCACATCGTGTAGAGCTTAGCATTTCAGAGAAGACTACGAGTTTCGAAGACAGCTCAAATGATTCAACAAAGCAAGGTTCCTTTGAAGACCTGAAACAGCACGAACGAGACGAAATCACCGATCTTGCACGGCAGATATCCCGCATTTCCAATCGCAGTAACACGTATTCTGGGGAACCAACCAATTCATTCCTCAATCCCGATGCCGACCCGGAGCTTGATCCAAATTCAGAAAGCTTCAAGCAGAAGAAATGGGTAAAAAATCTGCTACACATCACATCTCGCGACCCGGAGAAATATCCTCGGCGAACTGCCGGTGTTACATTCAGGAATTTGATTGCCTATGGTTACGGGACAGCCGCAGATTACCAGGGTGATGTATTCAATACTTGGCTCAAAGCGTTTGGTTATATCAGGGGTTTGTTGGGATTGCGAAAGAAAAAGCGTATTGACATTTTGCGGGACTTTGAAGGACTAGTGAAGAGCGGCGAGATGCTTCTTGTTCTCGGTCGGCCTGGCAGGTATGTACACTTACATTCTACACTTCTTGATTCATCGTACTAGAGAGAATTGACGTGCTTTTGACTGTTGTCAGTGGTTGTTCGACGTTATTGCGCACATTGTGCGGAGAGACGCACGGTCTATGGCTCGATGAAGGAACCGATATTCAATACGAAGGAGTCTCCTATGAAGAAATTCACAGCCGTTTTCGGGGTGAAGTTATTTATCAAGGCGAACAGGACATTCATTTCCCCCAAATGACTGCTGGGGATACTCTACTCTTTGCTGCCCGTGCACGTACGCCTGCAAATCGGCTTCCCGGCGTGACCAGAGACCAATATGCCACTCACATGCGTGATGTCGTGATGGCAATGTTTGGCCTGTCCCATACGAAGAACACCAAAGTCGGAAATGAGTATATACGTGGTGTTTCCGGTGGTGAACGTAAGCGCGTCAGTATTGCTGAGACAACTCTCTGTGGGAGCCCGCTGCAATGCTGGGATAACAGTACTCGTGGCTTGGATAGTGCTACTGCACTCGAATTTGTTCGTACTTTGCGGACTTCAACTAGATATACCGGCTCTACGGCGATAGTTGCTATCTACCAAGCCGGCCAGGCTATTTATGATGTGAGTTTTTGGGATGTGCCTATACTCAAAAATAAGACTGCGACTAATACTGACTTTGACTATAGATATTTGACAAAACAATCGTTCTATACGAGGGCCGCGAGATATACTTCGGTCGTGCTGATGATGCAAAACGCTTCTTCGTGGACATGGGCTTCTACTGTCCTCCACGACAGACCACGGCCGACTTTTTGACGTCCCTCACTAGCCCTGCAGAACGTGAAGTCCGTCCGGGCTTTGAAGGACGCGTGCCCAATACCCCTGATGAATTTGTGGCCCGCTGGCGAGAGAGTACAGAGCGACAAGCTCTAATTGCGGAGATCGAGGCCTCCCAGGCCGAACATCCCTTGGGAGGTGACAAATATACGAAGTTCACTGAGTCACGCAAGATGGAAAAGGCCAAAGGGACTCGTGCCTCATCTCCGTATACCCTCACTTACCTCATGCAAATTAAGCTTTGCTTTTGGCGAGGTGTCAAACGGTTGCAGGGCGACATGAGCAACACTCTGGCGGGTGTTATTGGCAATATAGTCATGTCACTAATTGTTTCCAGTATGTTTTACAACCTGCCAGAGGATACGGACAGCTTTTACCAACGGTCTTCTTTGATGTTTTTTGCTATTCTATTGAATGCATTCGCCAGTATATTGGAGATTCAGACATTGTGGTCTCAACGTCCTGTCGTAGAGAAGCACAAAAAGTACGCTCTCTATCATTCGTCTGCCGAAGGTCTGAGCTCCATCTTCGTCGACTTGCCTGCGAAAGTTGCTACAGCCATCGCGTTCAACTTGATTCTTTACTTCATGACTGGCCTCCGCCGGACCCCGGGTGCATTTTTCACATTCTTCTTGTTTTCATTCACGACTACTCTAGTTATGTCAAACATATTCCGGTTTATCGGTTCTCTGTCACGAACACAGGCTCAAGCAATGGTACCCGCGGGTATCTTTATGCTAGCTCTGATGATTTATACGGGATTCACGATTCCCATCCGCGACATGCATCCTTGGTTCCGTTGGATCAACTATATAAACCCAATTGCATATGCCTTTGAAAGTCTGATGGTCAACGAATTCAGCGATCGAGAATGGCGATGCTCGACTTTTGTTCCAAGTGGGCCAGGCTACAACAACCTGCCCGGCCAATCTTTCATCTGCAGCGCAACTGGTTCAGTGACAGGAGACACCACGGTCAATGGAAACGATTACTTGGCGCTCACTTACCAATACTCGCGTAGTCACCTTTGGCGCAACTTTGGTATCTTGCTTGGATTCTTCTTCTTCTTCCTGGGATTGGTCATCATTGCTACCGAACACGTTACTGCGAAGCCATCGAAAGGTGAAATCTTGGTATTTCCGCGTGGTAAAATCCCAGCCTTTACCAAAGAGAAAGGAGGGAATGAAGATCCAGAGGCTTACTCGAAAAATGTTCAAACCGGCGTTGAGGATAGCGGAGTTGACGAGACTGCTGCTATTGTTAGACAGACATCTATCTTTCACTGGCAGGATGTATGCTATGACATCAAAATCAAGGGTGAGCCACGGAGGATTCTTGATAACGTCGACGGATGGGTGAAACCTGGCACCCTTACAGCGCTCATGGGTGTAAGTGGTGCAGGGAAGACCAGTTTGCTCGATGTTTTGGCCAACCGCGTCACCGTAGGCGTTGTCACAGGCCAGATGCTTGTCGACGGTCATCTACGTGACTCTTCTTTTCAACGAAAGACTGGGTATGTGCAACAACAGGATCTTCATCTTGAGACTTCAACAGTGAGAGAGGCACTACGATTTAGTGCTCTTCTTCGTCAGCCCCAATCCGTTTCTAAAGAGGAAAAGTACGCGTATGTTGAAGAGGTTATCAAGATGCTGGGTATGAATGAATACGCAGAGGCCGTTGTTGGAGTCCTGGGTGAGGGTCTCAATGTAGAACAACGCAAGAGATTGACGATTGGTGTTGAAATCGCTGCTAAACCTGAATTATTGCTATTCTTTGATGAACCCACTTCTGGATTGGATAGTCAGACTGCCTGGAGTATCTGTCAGTTGATGCGAAAGCTCGCGAACCATGGGCAAGCAATTCTATGCACAATTCATCAGCCTTCTGCTATACTCATGCAGGAATTTGACCGTCTTTTGTTTCTAGCCAAGGGAGGTCGAACTATCTACTTTGGCGATTTGGGTACCAATATGGGCGAGTTAATCTCCTACTTTGAACGAAATGGATCTCCTAAATGCCCCGAGTCAGCAAATCCTGCAGAATGGATGCTGGAAGTCATCGGCGCAGCACCTGGATCTAAGGCGGACAAGGATTGGGTTGAGGTGTGGAAGAATAGCTCGGAACGTGCTGCTGTACGTGAAGAACTCGCGACGATGAAAGCAGACTTGCTGGCCAAGGATCGCTCCGAGACTTCTCCAACTGCATGGGCAGAGTTTGCTATGCCTATCTGGTACCAGTTTTGCGTGATTTTACGCCGTAATTTCCAGCAGTTTTGGCGTACCCCAGACTACATTTACGCCAAGTTGGTTATGAGCATCATGCCGGTGAGTATCTATGCCATTTCCGTCCTCACCCCCCCGCTTGTATTTTGAACAGCCTTACTAAATTAGCAATCCGTTGTAGACACTATTCATTGGATTCTCCTTCTGGCGAGCTGGGACCTCGATCCAGGGTCTTGAAAATCAGACATTCGCTATCTTCATGTTTCTCACCATGTTCCCTAATCTCAGCCAGCAGATGATGCCATACTTTGCACTACAAAGATCATTGTACGAAGTTCGTGAACGTCCTAGTAAGGCATACTCATGGAAAGCATTTATACTGGCCGCGATCGTGGTCGAGATACCATGGAACCTATTCATTGCTGTGCCGGCCTTTCTTGCCTGGTACTATCCTATTGGATTATACGAGAACGCAGAACCGACGAATAGTGTGGTCTCTAGAGGTGGCACTATGTTCTTGATTATATTGCTGTTTATGCTATTCACTTCGACTTTTACGATGATGGTTATTGCTGGGATCGAGGATGTGGCGGCAGCAGGTCAGATTTCGCAGCTGCTGTTCTCGCTATGTCTCGTATTCTGCGGGTAAGTAATTCGCTTTTCTCTCTTCTGATTTACATCTTGCTAAGTTCTAAACAAAAAATAGTGTTCTGGTTACTCCCAATGCACTTCCCGGTTTCTGGATTTTCATGTATCGGGTTTCGCCGTTCACCTACATGGTGAGCGCTGTGCTGTCGGTCGGCCTAGCACAGACAGCTGTTCAATGCTCTTCCATAGAGCTATTGAGCCTAGCACCCCCTAACGCCGGAGAGACCTGTCAGTCATTTCTAGGATCATACGTCTCTTCCGCTGGCGGACAACTAATGAACCCAAACGCGACGAGTAACTGTGAATACTGTTCGTTGGCAACAACGGATGAATTCCTTGCGGCCGAAGGTATCTATTTTAGTGATCGTTGGCGCAACATAGGCATTTTATTTGCTTATTGTGGATTTAATATTTTGGCTGCTGTTTTCTTGTACTGGCTCGCTCGCGTCCCCAAGGGAAATAGGGTTAAGGAAGTCCCCGATGCGAGAAATGCGCCACTTGCACAGTCAGAGAGTGCGAAGGAGCTAAAAGAAGGGAAATAGATTCTGCCCTTGACATGTTTTCACAAATTTCTTTCATATTTTCTCTCTTTCTGTTTTATTTTTTGTCGTCTACACTTTCTTTTACACTTTTTCTCGTTATTTTTCTATAATTTTGAAGGCGAGGGTTTGATATCGTTATCTCTAGCTGATGGTCTCGGAGCATCAATGCATGCTGTATAGATTTTAGACTACATGTTGGAAATAAATAATTAGTAATATAGCTGCAATTGCCACACATAAGTAACCTTCGATCTGAATGACTACTTCGCGCAGGACTACGCTCATACGGACAACAAGTTTGAGGCATATGAGAGACCGAGTCACAAATCATACATACATCTCTTCCAACAGACACGATTTTAAAGCTCTCTGGCAGCGACACAGGATATCATATCGAAGTCTTGAAAACTTGCTTGCATATGCATGAAGCATGAAGGCAAATAATCTGGAACTGACACGCAGATAGACGCTTGCCTAAGTATGTACTGAACAATTAGGTAGGCTTACCCGCCTTCCCACCTTTGGGTAGGTAGGATGTTCTCTTTCTGACTGACACAGAGTACCTACTTAATGCTGTGCTACGATGACGATCCAGTTTGAAATCACACGAACCTTGATAGCTGTGCACATGACATGATCTTCGTGCCTCGAGGCGTGCTTAGCGAGGCGAGTAAATATCCATTCGGGGTCATACATGGTGAATGGGCCCTTCTTTCACCTGCAGTAGTTCGCTGACAAATATGAACTCTGCGCACAGTTTGTCGGATGTAGCTATACGAAAGCAGTAACCAATTTACTAGACAGCTTTGTGCATCGCACTCCACAGGTAAGATTGGGAACTTCCCCGCGTTCATGCACGACTGGCTGTTATCAGGCCTGTAAATGAGATTGATCAAGAAAGTTGTTTTGATGATAATGTATCTGGGTAACCCGAAAAACTCGTGCTGGCGTGATTTTCCATTTATTCCTGTCATGTGATTTTCTTTTTTTTTTGGAAATTATCTAGGTAGGTGCCTGGGCAAAACCTTAGAATACAGACTGGTCGGGATCCTCGGGGTTTGTACAGGATGTTATGGCAAGGGCTCAAGGGCGTATGTCGATATATCACGGAGAAACTCTTCAAAGGCTGCTAGAAATCTCTTACTCATAGACTGCAGCGGCTATGACTTCCCTAAAGCTTGAATCTAACACCCTTTCATATTAGATTGGTCTGTTTGTGTTGCTGATATGCAGCTTAATTTGCATAGTCTATGTTGTAACTATCCAATGAAGTACATTACCTCTGGATAGAATGAAAAATTCTTAGCAATTGTGGCAAGAAAGTGATAAACCTACGTCTACACAGTTGTTTGACCAATCAGGTACTTGCTCTTCGCGATTGGTAACTACTGATTAGAAGTGACATACTGAACCGGCCTGATGCTCACTTACGTCTTGCTTATCGATATTTTTAGCTGTCTACCAGGGTCTGGTTCCGCACGTAGGCTAGTGCATCTTTCACACCAGCCGGGCAAAGAAAAATATCGTGGTATTACAACTTGACTATCTTCCTAACAAAGGAATAGAGACGAGTACAGCAGAATGATGCAATACCGGGAAAAGAGAAACAATGGAGCAACGCAGAAACAAAACGAGTCTGAAAGAACGGAATAAAAGAAATATTAGCCGGGCTTTATATGCAACAATCGTACATTCAACCCCTGGTGATAGACAGGAGGGTCAAAGGTAACCTCAAATTATCAGGCACCGGGGCAGACGGGGACGTCGATCACATAGAGACACTGGCATTCTGCGGATCACATCCTATACTTAGAGAGTCTATTCTAGTAATATGTCAGCTATATTTGTACCATTGGGATTCTTGTGTGATGTCCACCTTGGAAGGTACATGTACTTACTAAACTGGATGGCACCTGCTGTTCAAGTGGTTCCTTCAGAACTTGATTTTCAAAAATCAGAGCTTAGATCAGGATAAATTGTTCTATTGCATCAAGTGGATTCAGTGGAATGGGATTTCCTAAATGTGCAAGTACTGATACTTCTAATGGTCCACGATTGGTAGTCAGGCAAAAGGGACGCGGCCGTTGCGATTTGGTAGTGCGACATGTAGTTATAACAACACCAAAGGCTCGCTACTAGATCGTTTGAAATATCATTAATTACATAGCCTTCTAAAACCATAGTTGCAATACTGGAAAGCCCGATAAATCCGAGATGTGAATGATCTCTCCTTAAGTACTCCGTACAGGGGACCTTTTGAAGGCAAGTAATGACATTCGAATCGGATCAGATCCAGTTGAAACCTGACTTCTCAGCGTATTATTTCTATCTCAAGACGTGAATCCGAAACCAAGCGAGATAGGGGGCCTTGCGGGCTATGGCGCTCCGTATAGAAGTCAACAGTTGCTTTTTTGCCCCCTTGTCCCCGGTATGTTACAGTTGAGAAAAGCCAACACGCTACTGCGGGAGATCCAGGGCTTTGGTGCCGCTACTAGCTAGGTCGCGCAGCTGATCTGCAGCGGAAGATCTGCGGCTCTCATCGAGATATGATTTGGCTGGGGTTCTTCAGTTTCGCCTTCACCTTCTTCTTCCTTTTTGTGGGAGGCTTGCGGGTCGAAAGGCGGCCCCCCTCCTCTACGGAGATGCGGCAGTACTTCAAGTGGATTCCAGTGTAGTATTCCAGTGAATAATTTTCGGCATTATGGATCCTACGCCACTATGGTGCATGCCTAGCCCAGGCTCGGCGGGCCTATAGACAAGGATGATTTTGTTCGCCATGGTCGGGGCTCTGCCTTATCTGGACAAATTGTGGGAGATCCCTCGTTTTTCCGGCCTGAAGAAACTCGACTCGGATCCAATGGTATCTTCGGGTTTCACCTTCGCCTTTTTCTTTCTTGCATGACGAACGAGAAAATATATATATATAATGCATTTGATGGGTCTTTTTTCACCGATTCTGACTATTTGCTTAATTATTCATCTAACCCGTCATAATCTGCTATTATAAGCTTAAATCATGTTTTGGCTGGCTGAGAACGCCACAGTGTTCTCTCTCTTGACATCGAAGTTAGGGCTACCGGAGATCAGCTGATGGCGGGTGGGTGTTCCAAAGAGGGCCCTTCCAATTGTCGCACGACAAGCACTAATACACCAGCGCTGATTCGTCAAATGGCGGGTTCCTTTGAATTATCACATTATGCGTTAGGAACAAACGGTATTTGTCTTACATTTTTGGCTGCTCCTTAAGGACAGCGTACTTGATGGGTATTGTATGTACTTCATAAGCAAGTAAAGATCGGGGTAAGAAACTGTACCGCACCTGTAGATTACCTGAGTAGTCTAGCCTATATATATGTCGAACTGTAGTATGTACTAGGGGTACTAGGGATACAGAGTAAATTTTGAGCTGACCACACGTGTTCGACATCCTGATACCATGTGTTGGTCATCGATACACTCAACACCAGCCAACGCTAGTGGCGTATTAGAGTAACTAAACTGAAGAATCCAAGCTTCTAGTCTGATCAGGAAGCACCGATTAAGTATCTCAGGAAGAAGCTATGTACTCTATTGGAGTACACGGGCAGCCCGACGGTAGCCCACCACAGTCCTCGATCGATCAAGGCCTAGAAAATCCGCTGTTCAAACGGAGTGCGTAGTTAGTTAGCTTTGCCCCTAAGCAATAATGAGCAAATACCTATAACCCAGGTTGGTTATGGCTCTGCCAGTTCGACGACAGGGATCTACTGAATGGTGTCTCCGAACTGACCGGATCGCCGTTTTTGTTTACAAGGGTGCTTGAATCACTGCATCCGCCACTGGCTGGGCGGTTTCGACGCACAGGGTTATTGACACCCAGTCATAATGCTCATCGAGATGACATTATCGTCAAGTCTTAACTAGTTATCTATAATATGACCTGACACGATGAGTGGATAGCATTTAAGCTGTGGCGTTGCGGGATTTCAAAACGGCCAGCTGGCCTCGGGCTAAAAGCATTGTTGACTCGGCCTGTCTCCCTGCTCATTGCTCAATGAGTTGATATCGTAGACCTGCGGAAGCGCCGAAGTAAAGCCAATAGGTCAATATGTGCGATTAACGATGTCCGATAAAGAAAAGGTAAAACGAGCGATGAGCCACTGGACAATGCCGATCTCCCAGCAGGTACGAGGTTCAATTTTTGATAAAAGGGATATGTGGACCTTTCTCTAAAGGTATATTTAAATCAATAAGGACAGAAACTAGGCCAGCTCATTCGTTCTGCTTTGTCATCAGAACCCTTTGCCAATCGAGTACCTAATCGGCATTTGAACGAGCTATGCGAATCTAAGGCTCGGTCTCCGGTCTTCGGATGGTTCTTTAAAGTGTGTAACCACGTCATCTGCATGAGAAGAGGGCCCATGCTCGCTAAATTCATGCTGATCAGGACGCATATAAGCATTTTATTGTCGTGCTCCAGTGTAGTCTGAACGCTGCAGCACGGCGTCTCCTAACTGGGTCTCCGTAGTGCAGCATATAGTCATGCTGGTGCAGTCAATTTTAATAGCGACATGGTAGTTCCTTTATTGAGCAATCGCATCGTGGGTTTCTAGGTTGTGGGTATCTTCTTCTTTCCCTGTCTACATACTTGGAAAAGTGATTCGTATGCAGTCAAGCATACTAGAGAAGACCGACATCAGCATCAGCAAGACAGATCAAGCGTACATTTTCCCCAGCGGGAAAAATGGGGAAATCTCGGACTGGTTGAGGACATAAGCCCTTTTAATGGGTTTATTCCCAATTATCTCCGCCGGTTTCTCGTTTCTTTTTTTCCTTTCCTTGGGCCTGCCAGTCTCGATTTTCGAGTCTCTGCAATGACGACTGTTGGCTAGATCTTAGATATGGCTCCACTATCACGATCACCAAGAGAAGGTGCAGTTCTCCATTTCGGAACGGACCACATTTCTGCTCTCTAGTAGTTAGACTTTTATGGAAGTGCGATTCTGACAATGATCTGCATGACACCGTGTGAATACATGGATGCATGATGTTTTGAGCAGCTTAGGTAGATGTATATATCGGGAAATATCTACCTTCTTTTCTGTAGAGCTCAGTCCTGCATCAAAAGTACTGTACCGTCATCCAAGCAACAACTGCCCTTTTCTTCTTTTCGTGCTTCTTGAACATTGAACAAGGCTTGTACCAGTCTTGCATTTCTTCCTCCAGTAAAATACCACAACAATATTACTGCAAGGTACTTTCGAGTACGGTGCTTTCTGGAATGATTGAAACTCGCACTATCAGCCTACAAATGCCCATGCCAACACTCATGTCTGACGAAAAGACTGTCGCTGCCGCCACCTCCACGACCACTACAACTAATTCCTCAAGACAACGCCCGGGATCAGCATGCGAGGAGTGTCGAAGGAGGAAGCTGAGATGCGATAGACAGCCTCAATGTGGCAACTGTGTCGAAGCCGGGGTCGTATGTACCACGACTACGGTGCGGCCTGCACGAGGCCCGAAGAAAGGTCATCTCAAGGCCTTGAAAGGCAGAATAGGTAGCAACCTATCAGGTATAATATCTTGTTGGATGATTGCTAATGAATTTTATTCAGCCACACTCGAGCGGTGCATAATGGAACAGCAGGGTGGTATTTCTTTGCCAGTTAGTGACGGATCATTGTCACCGGAAAACCCACAGCCATGTAGTCCAGACGCGGAGAATGGATTGGATAAAACATTCGAGAGACGGACGTCTGTTGCATCGATTTCGCCGTCCGTGCAAGTCCCATATACCATTTCAGAACTCGTGAAAGCTGACCTGTATGTTGCTTCATTATCACGATCAAACTTAATCTTGATCGATTGAATATGTTCAATTGCTAACCGACCACGGCCAACCCTAGGGATCAACTCTACTTTGAAAGAGTGCATCCTCTCATTCCAGTCTTGCAACGAACTCGATATTTCACGTGGGCTAAAAGTCCGTCGAAATCAGATTCCCGCGTCTGTCTGCAATATGCCATGTGGACATTGGCCGCTTCGCTATCAACCCATTGCCAGAGTATTCGAGACTCACTATATGCACACACCAAAAGATTGCTTGACGTGATTGAGTCTAAAGACAATGAGATGGACTTCTTCGACATAGAACAGGCGCAGGCATGGCTATTGATCACAATCTATCAGTTTATGAGGACTACCTATCGCAAAGGCTGGCTGAGTGCCGGCCGTCTGTTCCGACTCATTCAGTTAATGAGGCTATATGAACTCGACAGTCCCAATGAGATAGCCAACCAGATAATTGAACCAGACTGGGTTGAGCTAGAAGAGAAGAGACGAACATTTTGGATGGCATACACCCTGGATAGGTTTGCCAATATCCGCAGAGGATGGCCCATCACTTTAACGGAGCAGGTCCTGACGCGCCTACCTATGCCTGAAGTTGAGTTCCAGAGCGGGCAGCCTGTCGTTATGGGCTTTCTGTCAGACTCGCTAGCGGGCAGTGACTTCATTTCCACTCCTCAGTCATCATTCTCGGAATGCATCATTTTAGCTACTATATGCGGACGTACCATCTCCCATAAACATCTATCTATGGTGGATGGCATGTATGGTAGCAACCCGCAAGAGTTCTGGAGCCGACATGAGTGGATCGACACTGCTCTAGCAACAAGGATTTCTATGTTGTCATTAACATACCCATTCCAGCCAGAGCATATGGATCCCATGCTCTTGTTCACAAAGATGATAGCACAGACCACCATTCTATGTCTGCAGAAGATAATCGAGTCAACGACGTGGGAAACTGGCGAATATAATAATCTCATCCTTGAATATGAACAGCGATCTCGATTAGCAGCGAAAGAGACCGTCGAATTGGCCAAGGAGCTGACACATCTGAGCTACTTCAAGGTTTGTCCTGTCCAAGAATCCCCTCTGTACCGAAAGTTTTGGGGAACTGATATGACACCAGGTTCATCCTTTCACGCCCATCCCCCTGTGTATTTGCGCCGAGTTTTTGAACACGCGAGATAGAGAGATCGACCCTTCGCTTAGCACGCAGCTGCAGGAAATCCTCAACGCACTGCAGTACTTGAAGAATGTGAACACTTTGGCAAACGAGAACCCCACTATTCCTTTTTGGATCGACTTGAATATGGATAATTTTGTCGTTGATGCTCCTGTGAAGGTCTAGATCGTCTGAAGATTTATGTGGTATGGCTGTTGTTATATAGGTCGTCCGCGAGGACATGGTAGTTAGGATAATAATAATACGTGATTTTCCGTTTCAATCAGTGAGTTAAGGTGTCAGCTATTTTTCCATGACGAGGAACCAAACTGTTGCTAGCAACTCATAACTGTTCTACAGCGTCTTCCATTGCATGGGGGTTTTTTTTGGAGCTGTAAGCCCTAGAGGCTACCCAATTGGGATGTAGGGCTACGGCAGACTCCTATTCCTTTCATCTCCCACCTTACAACCTCAGATTCTTTCCATCCCACCACCCAACTTAACCTGATCTCGTCTTTACGGTTACCTATTCGACCCTTCACCTACGCGCGCGCGCACACACTCTTACGCCGCTACAACCATCCTACTCATAAAGTCAACTTTCTTTCACCATCAGATCGTTCCACCAGAACACTTCGAGAATGACCATCGACACAGAAGCTCCGCCATTCAAAAAGCAGAAAACCATGGAGACTACTATCATCGACCCTCTGGGAGATATCCTGGTTCATCTTCGAGACACATCGGTGCAGGTATCTAGCTATGTACTTTCTCTAGCCTCCCCAGTATTCAAAGCAATGCTCAATGGGAATTTCAAAGAAGGTCAAAGCAACGCCTCATCCAAAGACCATGCACAAGAGATATGTTTACCCGAAGACGACACTACATCGTTTGTTCTTCTGAGCAAGATACTCCATCATCAACAGAGCGTGACTTCGAAGTTTCCAGACGCCTCAGCCCTTTTAGCATTGGCAACTCTTTGCGACAAATACCAGTGTGTCGGTGCCGTGGGAGTCTACTTCGACAAATGGATACTGGACAACCTGAATTCTAGCGAAGGGACATCTTCGCCTGAAAAGATTTCGAAGCTCCTCCTAGTTTCGTATATTGCAAATATTGCGAACGCATTCAAGTCGATTTCAGAAGGTATCTTGAGTGCTCTTCGCACGCAGGCAAGAACCCTGAAGGAACGCAACTGTTGGTATGGAGATTGATGTTCCATCCACTTGTGCGTCACGATCTGCCCAACAAATTTGAATTGAAACTGCGGGCCAGCAATCAAAAAATTAAGGATGGTTTCATGATGCTTCCATTTACACTTGTTCACGAGTGCCTTTGCAATGATACAAAAAGATATGCTGGCTCGTTCATGGAAAATCTCTACAATATGAACTTGTTACCTAACGAAATCACGGTGATGCCTGTCCAAACCATTCGGAACAAAGCAGTGAATTTCCCTCAGACTTTGCATCGGTATTCAGGTTGTCCATTCAATAAAAGGTCGCTGCGTGATGAAATGCTTGTAGAGATCACCTTTGTCGCACAGGATGGACTGGGTCTCTGCCTTGATTGCATCAAATCGGAAGGCAAAACAAGGATTGAGAAAAAATGCCGGGTTTCTCACGAGACCGATCTTAAGGTTACTCCTGGACAAACCTGGGGTGCTTGCATTGCAGGATGATTTGATGGCTATACAGTCATCTGGGTGTTGTCTCGACGGAAACGCCCCTTTTGTGAGCAATCTAGAAAAATTCTCGAATTCAACAGTTCAGGAAATGGAGGATTTTACGAAAAAGCAAACTGCAGGAAGGACATGTGACTTCTGAAAATAATTTTATTACATTGTATCGCTTAGTTCTTTAAGAAAAATGATATGATATATTCTTTCGAGAATCCTCAAACACCCTAGCAGGGTCATAACACACACACATACACAACTGAGGCATTCATTGACTGTAAATTTGAAAATGAACATAATGTCCGATTTAAATCACCACCAGAATATACAAAGACAAGCATCAGGAATACCAAACGGGTCCAATTATTGATTGTAAAAGAAGGCTCTGCTAGTTATAAATAACATGACTCTTGGCCCCGACGCCGGAATGCTTGCGCATCATCCCATATCTCCAAGTATCGACCTCCATGCACCCTATTATTCCACAGGAAAGTGCCTAGCACAGATTCCAATGCATACCACGAACCAATTGTCATCAAAGAGGCAATGTCGGCTATAGATCGTAGATACCATTCCATCAACGCATGGTTGGGCGCGCTGACGGTAGAAGCAGCAACGAACATAGCCCATAGCTTGAAGTCGAGGGGCAAGGCAAATTGTTGTCCATTGATAGTAGCACAGCATATATTATTATTATCATCGTCATTATCATCATTATTATTATCAGTGGAATCTTTCCACAAGTCTCGGAATTTCGCAAGAAGCAGATCGCAGAGGGGCAAGTGTGGCGGGCTCGGGTTAACCAAACTCTCTGCAAAAAGGAGCAGTACTAGTCTGCACAATTCATGCATGGGGTGCGAATATTTCTCTGTTGATAGCAGCTGGTACTGTGATTTTGTAACGAGGAATCGGATTTTGGCTGCAGCTGCGTAGTCTTTTCTATTTTCCATGAGGGATGCAATCAGATGACTAGCTTCGTCTAGACAATCAACGCAGTGTTTTATCCTTTCGTCGAGCATCAGTATTCTATCAAGAGTCCTGAAGCCTGCGGTGGCTATGGGGCTCTTGTTCTGGGAGCTGTTGGTGGCACAGCTTGAAGGGGGAGGTAGATAGTAGCAAGAGAAGAAAGGTATTTCAAGGGCGTCTACAGAGCCACAGAGGTCGGCTCTAATCATTGCGGGTCAGCATACGAAAGGACGCAAGATATGGATCTAATGATAGTCTTACCGGAATATCTTACTCATGATTATCGGTTTTGACTCCAGAGAGTGCAATCCGCCGCGAAGATCAACTAGCCTCTTGAGACCGCCCATGTGTATTCGCCAATTATTATAGGAACCTTTAATTTTCTGCTCGTGGAGTGTCAACCAATGAAAGCCACAGAAGACGCAATGCACGACAAAAGATGCCACGTAAACCTTACCTCTACGTAGGCTAATGTTGCCACAACAGCAATAGTTTCGTCAGTCACCGACTGCATAGTTGCAATGCGGGTTTTCATTATCGTTAAAGTCCGGTACATGTGCGTCCCAGGAATTGCCTGTTCTTGCATATGACCCATTCGAGAAGCGTACGAACCAGCGCATCCAATGAGAAGATGCATCAATGCACTATCACCGAAAGCTAGAGTTAGACAGTAATCCGACATGGGATTGAACGAAGTATAGTTCTCAATGGTGTAAAACTCCTTCCAGATTGTTGTCATATCTGTTTCAAGATTAATTCGACAGTTCACAGATGGAACAGGTCTTATAACGCACAGTACTTTAACAGATCCAGCATATACGGCTCTAGCTTGACGGGGAAAGCATCGAATGGATCAACGTCATTGATTTGGTGTACGGGGCTCAAAGCATGAGGCTGCTTTATTTCGCTTGCTGTTTTACGTTTCCGGTGTACATAGTTGTTCATAGCATGTTTTCGAATAGTCGCGCGTGTTTCATCGCTAATTTTGCCGGGCTTGCTATTAGTACTTGACGAACCACCCCCGGCCATGTGGATGAAGTGATAGTCAGCGCCATCCTGGGTGTCCCCACTAGCGCGTGTTGGAGATTCCTTCGGCTTGGGTTTCTTGGTAGCTGTGTGTGACTATGATTTAGCATGAGTAATCTACTAAGCGCAATCAGTGACGTTGGGGTGATCCGTACAGCCCAATGGACGACCTCTCCTCCTCGGAGCTTTCAATTTCACGGGGCCATGATCGTAACGGAAGACGCATGGATCCTGCGTCGAGGCTACGGAGACGGGAAAGACAATCTCGCTGGGGGCTTGGTGCGGAAGCATGCTGACTCTGTGCACATAGACGATACGTACGTAGCGGCTGTTCTTCGGGTTGGATACAGTCGCAGGATGCTGACTGAACTGACGACGTTTGAGGTTGCGTCGCTGAAGAAATCAGAGCACGCGGCGTTAATGCGTTATCTCCACCGCACTAAGGCAGATACGGAAAGAGGCGCGAAAAAATTCGACCCAAATAGGCTTAGCCAGCAGCTATATCGTGAGAATGAGATCAGAATATTTAGACATGTTTGAAGCCATCTGGAGGGAGACCGTAGAGAAGGAGAAGGTACTAAGCACACTGTGACACGTTCTACACTCTCGATCGGAGGACAATTGTGGAAATTGAGTGAAGAGGGCTGTGGACGTCGAATGTTGTTGTGTTAAGAGACGGTTCTCTTGAGATGAATTAGTATCTAGGTCGTATGCTTTGCAGTCAAGAAGTGCGGTTCACTCCGTGTATCTATGGTAAATGAGAATGTTCATTGCTAGATTCTATGTAATTAGTGAGTATTACTATATTAGTTATATGCATGCATGCAACTTATATACATGTTAAGTATTATGCGGATAGACCGCTAATTAATTATCCCATAGTTCATCTTCGGCATACTAATGCAAGGCCGTCGCGTTAGATCTAGAATTCGCCAACTTCTGTTACTTCGGCCACTTCAGCGATTGGTTTAATATCAGCAGCCTCGACAGAGTCACCGAACAGCTCGGGAATAGACTCGAGCGAGCGTTGGCTTGTCTTCGGAGCGGAAAAGATGTTAGTCAAATATACATAAATGGAGAGTGAGTGAGATTAGGAGAAACGCATACCTCAGGGCAGAATAGCCAAACAAAGAAGAAACTCAGAGTTGTGACCGCAATGAACACGGTGAAATACTTCCATCCAATTTCAGCAAAGGCCGTAGGAGCAGCCTCCAAGAAGATGATAGTCGCGACGAAAAGACCAGAGACAGAAATTGCAAGACCCTTGGCACGTACGGGCGTGGGAAAGATCTCGGATGCGTAAATGTACGAGGTTGCATCACAAGTCACAGAGAAACATGCGATGTGCATGAAGAGGAAGAAGACGGCAGCATTTGTCGAGGCGGTGGAGCCTGTTTTGTTGTAATAGCTTAGACTAACACACTCGCCGATGAGAGCAGCAATGGTTCCAACGAAACCCGACATTAGCAGTCGGGTACGACCGATTTTATCGACAATTAGAGAATTGATAAAGTTCCCAACAGGACAGACAGTAATCCAGCCGCCCTGGATTATTAGTTGCTTCACGGTATCAAATCCTAGCGATTTGTAGAGGGACGGACCGTAGTCTGGACGGATAATTTCAAAAAGAAATAAGCATTTCTTCAAACACTTAATGCGCGGAAAGATCAAAAACCTACTGTTGATAACCAAAGTTGCTGTACCCTGGCATGCAAAGAGGACAGTAAATCCAATCAAGCATCTCTTACGCATTGCAGGACTCTTCAACATATCAACGAAAGAGTGTTTCTGCTGCCGCTCATGAACAATCAGAGACCGGAGGAGGTTGAACTCCTCGACCAAGGCTTCGTGGTCATTGGCAATGGAAGAGTCCGATTCGGCATGGATAGATTCGAAGGACTTCAAGGCATCTTCTGCTAGGTCATTGTCGATCAACCATCGAGGAGACTCCGGCAGGAAATAAATGCCACATGACAGAATGAGCGGCGGCAGGCACTGAATGGCCAGGGGGAGACGCCACTGAGAACCCGAGGCATTGACAAAATAGAAGCCTAAGCCGACCCAGCTTGCAAGCGCATATCCAACGCAAATCATGACGCCGTGGGTACCAACCAGGAACCCACGAATCTTTGGCGGTGATATTTCCGACTGGTACAAAGGGACCAGGGCAACCAGAGCACCTAAGTGGGTGGTCAGTATCCTGTATAAATTACAAAACGTAGACAGAATGACAACTAGGGAAGTAAAACGACTAGCAACATACCAACACCAATACCCGTGATAAAGCGGAACACAAGATACATGGCAATATTAACGCTGCCAGCTTGCAGCGCCCCGCCAACAACGGTTACCAGACAGGCGACCAGGATGGCCATTTTACGACCAAGTCGGTCCGCCGAGCCAAGGCAAGACAGGGAGCCGAATAGACCACCGGCCTGGAACAGTCCATTGATGGCACCTTCGAGCTGAGTAGCATTGGACCGGGTGTCTAGCTCGAAATAGGCCAGAAAGGACGGCTGCCCGAGGGTAGTCGAGATGATGCTGGAGCTGTAGCCATAGGTCAAACTACCCAGGGCCACAAAGCCGACAACCTTTTCAAAAAAAAAATTGTCAGTCTTCTGCTGTTTTTGGATATCTAGGCAATAATCATTAGAGCAATTGACTTACCAAAACTCGAAAAACGGAAGGGGACAGCGGCATTGTGATTGACAGATATTTCCAATTGCTTTATCCAACACGCAAACTGCCGAGTCCTGTGTAATTGTTCAATCCTGCATGCAGATAAGAACACAAGGCCTAGTGTCAAAGTAGCTTCAATCTGAAGAATTCTGTGGGGTATAACTTTTCCCATTGTAGGCACGCGAGTTAAAGTTTGTACCCCTGAATAATACGGTATGACAATTACCGAGTGAATTGCGTTGAGGCACACAATTAGTGTCTCAAATACCGGTATATCTCGTCAGAATTGGTAATTTCAGTGTAATTTAATCTAGGAGGATCCATACGAGTGGGATATGGATACATTCCAACCAATCAGAGCATGCATATGCCACGAGAAATTACAGTGGGGTCTACCACTAGTCCATATTTAGATTAGTTTCATATCCCTATTTTCACCTAAACCAGGTAAACAATCCTTCTGCCTACACTCTGTTGATTTGACCGGGAGAGAAGAGGATTCGACAACAAGCTTCTAGCGATACCCGAGTTTATGCAAATTATGTTGACTGACTGAAAAAGATTTGTCCACTTTGATGTGCCAGTAGATTACAACCTGGACAGAAGCACTCTCCAAGTACTAGAAGGAAAGTCACCGATGCTCCATTATGACAAAATCAGTGTACAAAGCAGGCAGTCAACTCGCCCCGAGACCTTGCTCACTGGCTCTCTAGTGCCTTATTCGTCTTTCTGGGTAACAGATAGTCGCCCCCAAACGCAGCCTTGTACACTCCATACAAGCCACTGAGCGGCCAGATACTCCAGAACAAAGCCAGGAGCCACAGCGTCCAACTCTCCTTCAATGCTCTCTCCTCAGCGGTGATATCTATATTCACCTTGTCGTACACTGACGGCAAATATGTCGCATGGTATTTTCTTCGCAGTGCGTCATATGTCTCGCGATCGTAGATCTGATTGAATTCCTCCTCAGTATAGTATGTGTGGGCATACAACCACTTCTGGCCCTCAAGCTCATGAACCTTGCGCTCCAAGTTGCGGTTCCATTCTACGAACTTGCGACGGTCCTTTGGTCCTGGGCCCCATATTCCGAAGTTGAGCAACATCTCCGGCAGGGGAAGTGTTGTCTTTCGGTACATGATTTCAAGTGCTGGGTCAATAGACTTGACGTTGCATTTCAATGGACAAAGCCAGATTGGGTAATGTTTGAAAGAGTGGTCCAGGTACTGGAAAAATTCATCGGATTTTGAATAGGGGATTCCGACATCCTGAACGACGTATTGCGAGGAAAATCCACTTTTATGGAGCGCATGGTACATAACGCGCGTGTGCATGAATCTGTCGAGCATCCAGCGTGTGATGCGGTTAAATGGCGTGACAAAGTATTTGAAAGCATAGGCAGCAACCCAGAATCCGCCACGATCGTACCGGAAAACGTAGTCAACGATTGGAACTGCCTCGGTGATTGGACTTCGTGTTCCCTTGATGAGTTTCTGTGCGTGAAGGTAGAACCAGCGATCCGCTGGGCGTGTGAATCTTTGAACTCGCACCTCCTTCTTAACGTCATTTGTCAATCGCCCCGAGCAGACCACTCCGCTATTTTGAGAGTACATGATACCATCTAGGTAGTCATTTGAGGAATCTGCCGTAGCCTGTTGGATCTTTTCTATGGCCTCTGACATGCTAAAGACGGGATAGTAGGTCAATTCCACATAGGACTTGGCCTCTTTGAGCCGTAATTCAAGAAGAGTAGTCACTCCCAATGTCCCAAAAGACGACGCAGCACCATAGAAAAGATCAGGATTCTCGGTACTCGAGGCTGTCACTATCTCCCCGTTCGCCAGGACTAATTCAATCCAGTTGATAGTGCGGTCGAAAAACCCGTGTCTGTGAGTGCCAAGTCAACTATGGTGTCCGATATTTACTAGACATAATTGAAGGGGCTTGCACCTGAAAGAGCTGCTTTCCCCCGAAGTGCCGGCAAAACCACCACCAACAGTAACACCCGGGAACTCAATGACCACCGGAGGAATCAAACCGTGCTGCAACGTAGCTTCTACAAGAGCGTCCATAGGGACGTTGGGCTCCACCAATGCAGTTTTTTGTTCGGTATCGATTTTCACAACATGCGACATGGCACTCGTATCAACCATCTGGTCTCGACGGTACTGAGATTGACGGGTACTGTTGGTCGAGCCATGGTATATGCGAAATGGCTTTTTTCGGTCGTAGAAATACCGCACATTAGCCGCAATAGCAGCTACTGCAGTAGAGTGTGCATCCATGAGCTAGAACTTTTTTTGTATGCAGGAGGTTGCAAGTCGTTTAAGGCCACACGAAGTTTTACCGAGTGAGCCGGATGAACGATCTAAACACGGGGGGGTTGTATGGTGGTGTCTACGGTCTAACGCTCTCATTCTTCCATGTCCTGGTTTGCTGGGAGTTTAGGTGATTTTAGTTAGGTACCTAGGTAATCTTTAGATGACTAGCTTCCTTGGGCAGTTATATAATAAAAGAAGAGTAACTAGTTACTTGACTAGAATAAGATCTAACGTAATCGGTAAGCGAGCCGTCACTGTAAGCGAACCGTCATTTTTTCCCGAACACCAATACTATATTGATTCAAATTATTCAACGCGTCAATATGCCACCAATTCGCAATAAAAGCTCAAAAAATTTAGCTGAGCAAGAAGGACGAATCTTATTAGCAATCTCTAATCTAAAAAATGAACAGATCTTACGTGTGGCTCAAGCTGCAAGGATTTATAATATCCCCCAGATGACTCTACAGAACCAACTCGATGGCACTCAACAAAGATCTCTCGTACGCGCCAACAGCCATAAATTAGCTCAATCTGAAGAGGAATCGCTTGTCAAATGGGTGCTTGATTTAGATCGACGTGGATTACCCCCCCGGCATTCTCTCGTACGAGAAATGGCTAATCATCTTCTCTCACAACATGGAGATCAACAGGTTGGAGAAAAATGGGTATATAACCTCATTAAACGGCGCCCAGAGATTGATTCCAAATTCTCACAAAGATACAACTACGAGCGTGCTAAATGCGAAGATCCGAAGATTATTCAAGAGCATTTTGACCGCGTACGAGATGCTATATCTCAATATGGAATCCTTCCGGAAGATATTTATAATTTTGATGAGACGGGCTTTGCTATAGGACTCTGCGCAACTGCAAAGATTATTACTAGAAGCGATCGATATGCTCGGCCAAAGCTTTTACAGCCTGGAAATCGAGAATGGGTAACTACAATTGAGGCCACAAATTCAACTAAATGGGCCCTGCCTTCATACATGATTTTCAAAGCAAAGAAAAATGTACAATTAGGCTGGTTTGACGAGCTTCCAGATGATTGGAGAATCAATATTAGCGACAATGGCTGGACTACAGATCAGATAGGATTAGAATGGCTTAAAACCCATTTTATTCCTCTTACTAGTGGTCGTACATTGGGAACGTATACTCTATTAATTCTCAATGGCCATGGAAGCCATTTGACCGCAGAATTTGACCGTACATATACAGAGCATAAGATTATTCCAATCTGTATGCCACCTCATTCTTCGCATCTATTACAGCCTCTCGATGTCGGCTGTTTTGCGGTTTTAAAACGACATTATGAGCAATTGGTTGAGCAACGGATGAGGCATAGTTTTAATCATATCGATAAAATCGACTTCTTAACGGCATTCCCACAGGCTCATACGGTGGCATATAAAACTCAAACTATTCGGAATAACTTCGCAGCCACCGGATTAGTGCCTTTCAATCCAGATCAAGTTATACAACAACTTACTATTCAATTAAAGACACCAACCCCTCCTCCAAGTCAATCAAGCAATACACAATCTTCTTGCTTACAAACCCCTCAAAATATACATCAATTTATACGCCAGTCAACAACAATCAAGAAGCATATAAATGAGCATACAGGGAGCCCAAATCAGATAATCGATCAAGCAATTATGCGCATGTCAAAAGCGTATGAAATGACTATGAATGACCTCTTACTCGTACGGAAAGAAAACAATGATTTACGAGCTGCGCATGAAAAAGAGAAGCAAAAGCGCAAGAGATCTAATAAACAAATAACTATTGAGCAAGGGGTTACTAGAGAAGAAGCTCAAGCGCTCATACAAGGTCCGGTTGAGGCATCTCAAGCTGCTCCTACTGCTCCGGCCGAGCCCCAGCTCCCAGCTTCTCAACCAATCGTACGCCGCCAATTTCAGTGTAGTGGTTGTGGAATTATTGGGCATCGAATTAACCAATGTCCTAATCGTACTAGTAGTTAATTTTTTGTATGAGAAATGTATGTGGATTTGCAAATTAGGATTTGAAATCAATATAGTATTGGTGTTCGGGAAAAAATGACGGTTCGCTTACAGTGACGGCTCGCTTACCGATTACGTTACCATGTCTTACTTAGCTAACTTACACTACGGTTGCAGTGAGAACAACCACGGTAATTACAGCGCTATAAGCTATCTTTGATAGTATCAAGAATCACCAGCTGCCATTGGTACCCAAGGAAATGAATGAGCCAAAAAAAAAAAAAAATAAAAATAAAAAACCTCCCTGGCGGGAACTGATTATGTAGTAGTCGGTTCAAGATTTGCAGAGCCTCCCCAACTTATCAACCAGTACAAGGTCAAGCGTGCATTGTGCCTGTCTTCCATAAGCTCACTGCCACCAACTTTTCAATTCACGGACAGCATGAGGAGGCTTGTTTTCCTTGGGGTTTTCGCAAAGTTGCACTACCATGAGCTTAATCAGGCACCTTGCCTAGTCATGTCTGACATTGTCGTAGCACCCCTTCGATCTCCGAGAGCCAGCTTTCAGATCTATGCTAAACCCTAGGATTGATTCTATGTATAGTTGGATGCCCGCGCCAAGAGCCGTTATGAATGGTGGCCTCAGGCAGCCAGACGCCGGCCATCTTTTTTGTATTTCTTTGTCCCTGCTACGCTGTAACTGCAAGTGGCATATTCACTAGACTCGAAGATCCGATGAGGCACGAGGGCCTTATTCCTCCCAAAGCTGCGATGCGTGAAATTAGTGCCAATATTCGAGAGATTGTTGAGCGCGTAGGCCCAAGACACACACCCACATGGCGTGCACTTAGGGCAACGAACTAAGGGCCTTAGTTCTAAACACCAAATAAGAATGACTTACTTGGCTTGTTTTCATGTCTGGTGCTCGAAAATTAATATTAGTTGTTTATTTATTTTGCTCGCTCCTGAAACACAGAAACATACAACTTCCGCAAGCAGCTGTGCCACCACCAGCGTTCATTGGCTGCTGTCCCCCGCATTGGAGATAGAATTTCTCGCATACAATTTATTTTCGAAATTACTGCTTCTATGCGCGCAATTCCGCACGAAACACGCTGATTGATATTGTCTGGGGCGGCATCTGATTAGCTGTACCAACCTTGGGACAGCCTCCCGCCACGAGCTGCAGCCGCACCCACCCAAGAAAATCGGCCCTTGGGAAATCCTTGACATATCACAGACACATTCCTCCTCCGACCTTCACGCTGGATCCTCCCGAGCCCAATCTGCACTCCGTGGTGACCAGCGCCCATCACCGCCGTCGATCCTCAAGCTCTCTGCCTCCGCTCCGCCTCGTCAAGGAAGAGCCGTCCTCCTCGACCGCGCGCGAGGCCTGGGGCCAGGGCAGCTCCTCCGGTCTCCCCGCCGGTCATTCTGCGCGCCCTGCCATATCGACCCTCTCTCCAATTCCTGGCACCCCCGCGAATCCCCTGCCGTCGCCAATGTCCCTGTCGCGGTCCCCTTCTCCCCTGCCCGGGGGAGGGTGGTCAAGCCCCGGATTGACTCCGGCCAGCGGTTCCGTGAGCCCCCGCTATGCTGGCTCATTGAGCCCGGGGGGCATCTCGTGGTCCGCTGCGAAGGCAAAGAGCGACGAGGTGCGCAGCTACCCGTCGTTTTCGACGAGGAATTCGGGCTTCTTTTCGCGACAGAAGCGCAAAATTTCCGCCAGCTTGCCCAGATTCACGCTGTCGCATGATTATCGAGAACAGGAGAAAATCAATCGCGGCCGGCCGTCATATACCTTCAAGGGACGCCTGGTTTCTTTCGTTGGGAATGTAATGCACAGGAGAAGGTTCAAGTTACTGTTTTCCTTAATTGTTGGGTTTATACTATATCTAAATTTTTGGTCCGGTGAGTGAGAGCCTGCCTAAGAAGCCTGTGCTGATATCGAACTAATTCGTTTTTGTTACACAAGTCGTCGTCGAATCGTACCGAGCATCTGCATTAGGAGGCGGGCGAAAGGTTGTGATCATGGTTGCGTCGAATGTGGAGGGCGGTGTCATGGAGTGGAAGGGTGCGCGCGAATGGGCCATTGAGCGAGTTAGCTTGTGGAATAAAAGAAAGTACGCTAAGAAATGGGGGTACGAGCTGGAGATTATGAACATGGTTGCCCAGAAGCGGTATGCTCACGAATGGCGTGAGAGCTGGGAAAAAGTCGACCTCATCAGGGAGACGATGAAGAAATATCCCAATGCGGAATGGTAAGCATTCTTACTGTTACAGGAGATGGTGGCATGTACTAATCGATGTGCATATAATACAGGTTCTGGTGGTTGGACTTGAACACATTTATCATGGAGTACACATATTCGTTGGAAAACCATCTTTTCAAACACCTCGGCCCATATACATACCGGGACATTAATTACTACAACCCTCTGAACATCACACATCCGCCAACAGACCCATATCTCGATTCCCTGGCTCGAACTGCGACAGGTGATTCCGATCCCTCGTCGATCAATCTCATCGTGCCTCAGGACTGTGGCGGGTTCAATCTGGGCTCGTTCCTCCTCCGGCGCTCAGAATGGACAGACCGACTGCTGGACATGTGGTGGGACCCTGTCCTCTACGAACAAAAACACATGGAATGGGAACATAAAGAGCAGGACTCTCTCGAATACCTGTACGCGAACCAGCCATGGGTGCGTACCAGCACGGCATTCGTCCCGCAACGACGGGTCAATTCTTTCCCTCCTGGTGCGTGTGGCGATGGCACGGATCTGGGCACTCACTATCAGGAGAAACACCGCGATTTCGTCGTCAATATGGCCGGGTGTAATTGGGGCCGTGACTGCTGGGCAGAGATCTACGGGTATCGGGAGCTGAGCAACTGGCTCAATCGCACGTACTGGGAGAAATTCAAGGATTTTTTCACCGATCTTTGGAGAAAGTGGAGAGGCCAGAAGACATTGTACGAGGAACATCATGAATGGGTTCAATGACTGAGCTGTCTTCTCTACCTTTCTTTCTTCTCCCTTGTTTTCTTCTTCCATTTTTTTCTTCTTTCTTTCTTTTCTTCTCGACGAATAACAGATACTAATATCGTTACTCTTTGTCTCTTACATTCCGATTGGCCCTTGACTCCAGCTTGGTTCAGTCGATGGAAGGAGTTTTCTATATCATGCTTTATTACTGACACGAAACAGAAAGACAATATTTATTGAATGATCGTTGGTTGGCTAAACACCATCTCATACTTGCAGCGTTTGTCGTGTATGTTCTTACCTGGGTGAACTTGTCTTGTCTATGCATTTGACTTGTGTGTGCATGGGAGTGGATTTTGTACGAAATCCACGGTTTTTTTATTTTCATTTTTACAAGGATTTTCACTTCTCTTGTAATCTCAAATTTCCTTTTTCTTCGTGGATTATACATTACTGAATGAGATATTAATGATGTGGTATTACTTACTCCTTTGTCACTCTAATCTGCTAGCATCGCAAGTATGTAGTTGGAGCATGTAGTAGTTAGTAGCCTGAGGGATAAGGCCGTCGACGATTGTTGCCCGTCAAGCTATGCCGAATTCTGCCACCCACCGCCTGCGGAATTGTCCAATCACACGCATCGCTGCCCCGAGCACGCTTCGGGATCTCTCAACGTCTTCGTCTTCAAGCCTCAATTCCAGAAACAGCAAATCTCGATTGTCAGAGAGGTAGCCCGGTACGAAGACCCCTTTCTTTCTCACCACTAAACTGCAGATTATGACTTACAAGGCACACAGTAACAGAAAGAAAAGGAAAAAGAAAAAAACAACCCAACATGCCTACCCCCGAATCCGCCGCTTTCCTGGCTAAGAAGCCTACCGTACCTCCAACTTATGAGGGCGTCGATTTCGAAGACAACGTCGCCGTGCACAATGCGCGTGATGCTATTATCCGCGAGCAATGGGTGCGAAGTATGATGGCGCGACTTGTCGGTGAGGAATTGGGCAAGTGCTATGCTCGTGAGGGGGTGAATCACTTCGAGAAGTGTGGAAAGCTTAGAGGTTTGTCCTTATCCCTTCCTCTCTTTCTTTTTGCGCCTTCATTAGCGGCAGAGGTTAGAGGGTCAGTTGCGGAATTGTGCTGATTTCGCCTTTTCTTTCTTGGCGAGTTTTTAGAACGATATTTCGAGTTGCTCAAGGAACGCAAGATCAAGGGTTACTTGTTCGAGGAGAAGAATTATTTCAGCAAGTCTGCTTAGGAGGACGAGCGAAGCTATCATGCGGCCGGGAAAAGAATTGAGTAATGAAATTGCGTTTGGAGATTTGGGGGGGAAAGGGAGCAGAAGGCATACATACATACGACTATCCAACACTCGGAGGATCTGCCGCATTCAATTGAGAGTGAGCGGGGTTTTCGCCATATATTCCCAAGGTTTCAATGGAGTCGTCTGTACTACGTTACAATATCTGTCCGATCTATGGGTGCTAAGAGCCAGCTTGGACCGCAGAGCACGAAAACCGGGGAAACCCGCTCGAGGTGTATTAATTGTACATATCTATCGCAACATCAGTTTTCTTATTTGCAGCTCTAAAACTAGAGTATTCGTTTAGATTTTCTTCCAAGGTCAAGCAATCCGAGACTTTTGTTTTCTTGCAGGGATATCATTGATGATTTTGGGGTATACATTATGCAGCGGACATATATATTTGACAAATCAGTGCAATTGAATACATCAGAAAGAAACGAGTTAATAACCTAATAATAACTGTCAGTTGTTGCAGATCTCGGTCCGGGAGGATCCTTCTCGTCGGACGGACTGATATCTTCGTCACTATCATCCAGAGCTAGGGAAGATATTGCCGGGTCTGCCTCATCTGGAGGAGCGCGCATGCGGATGAGTTCGCTCTCGTCTAGTGATGGAGGTTTGTACGGAGGTGGAGCGGTATGTATGTCTCTTCCGGATGGGAGGTTCGAAAGGAGTGGTTCTGAAGCTGGAATCGACTGGGTGTTGATCTATTTGGCTCAAGATCAGTATAAGAACGTTTGTGAAAGCATATCATAGATATGCACAACCCCCTTCCCCCGAGAGCAAGAAACAGATCTCACCGTATTATTCATTTTAACCCACTTCGATTCCAACATATCAATCACGCGACTTTCCTCTTCCCACCCGGCATCATCACCACGACTCAATTCATCACCCTGGACTACCGCCATACTACCCGAGTTACTCTTCTCTAGTCGACGCTCATCCCGACGATCTGCCCATCCCTTTTTGAGCTTCGAGAATGTCCCCGATTTCCCTGCACTTTCCCCCTCGGGCAAGAGGGCTTTCTTGATACCCAGCGCCCCTTTGCCCGCTCTCAGCCACGCAATACCCTCACCAACTTTTCCGGCTAATTCTGCATCTACTGCAAAAAACCGACATGCCTTTGCGCGCGCAACTTTGGCCACGGTCTGCACATATTTGAGCAGATCCTCGTCGACCTTGGTGGTGTTGGTTGTAGTACCTCGGCCCGTCCTGCCACCGGCGCCTGCAGAACCAAGACCACTGACAGCTTGCTCCGCGTATTCAGCACTGCGTACACAGAGTCGCGCGAATAGTAATGCTCGGACTTTGGGGATCTGCGGCGCCCGTACCATCCATTCCTTGTCCAGCGGGTTGCGTGCTTGGATACACGTGAATGTATACGCGTCATCCTTTAGAACTGCCAGAAGCGTTGCCTCTGCGAGAGCCAGGGAAGCAAGTGCTGTCTGCACCATTGTGTTTAGTTGCGGTGCGGCATAGGCATTGTTATTGTTATTGTTGTTGCTGCTGCTGCTGCTGCTATCTTGCGCAATGGCTTCGTCGGAAGTACTATGAGACGTCGCAATCAGCGTATGAGCAGAGCTAGCTTGGAGCAGTAACTTCGTCGCGTTCTGTACTGCTGCTGCCCTCTGCTCAGCGGTTGGCGTCGATGAAGCATACAATGTACGCAAGAGAGTAACTCGCGCCAGGCCCGAAAGCACATAGCCCAAAGTGCCAATCACGAAAGCAATCTCAAAATCGATGCCACGACCTCTGATTCGCGTATTGCCACCTCCTCCCCCTGATTTTGTTCCTCCTCCGCCTACAGATGCAGATTTCAGTATTGACGCGAGAGAAGATAGCACCGGCCGCCATTCCACGATGAATTCTTCTTTGAGCGTGATATCGACTTCCTCCTCGCCGGCCCCGCCCCCGCTTTTGATGCCTCGGCCGCTCAGTCCATCGTTGATTGCGAAGAGGTAGGGGATATACTCGTTCAGAGCATTCAAAATATTCTGCAGATGTGATTCTCGTTCTCGCGCAGAGAGGCGCTTGTGCGTTTTGAGGGCGATGCGCAGTGCGTGTCGGGCTGTGGATGCTGCTTGCGGGAGGGATGGGTGAGTGCTGGAGTAGAGGTAGTTTTGGAAAGATAGGTGGGATGTCGTGGGGAGATTATAGTTGTATACCATTCTCTCCGATGTATTTTAGTAAAAGGAAGTGGTGTATATTTCGGTTGTATTTGCTTTTTTTTTTTTTTTTTTCCTGGTGATGAACTGGAGAGTATTGAAGGTTGCATAACGTCGGGTCTTGTTTTGGTGATGTCACGCTTTGGCATGCCGCGCATTTCCAATTTGGGCGCGCTACAATATAATACTATTGTTTTTATGTGCCAGAGCTATGATTTAGGGAAAGAGCAAAATAGACTATTGATGAATGTCGATTTGTCGCAATCAGATAACTAAGTATATGGCCTAGGCCAGCTAGCTGTATGAGACTAATATTCTCTCGTATGGTGTCATAATCTCAGACTCAAATCAGTCCATCTGCACGTCGCTTGTTATAATTCATAACCAGAGATCCACCGTCAGGCTTCGGTTGATCAATGGCATACATTGTAGGATTGTCAGATCTATAACAGAGGTGGGGGACATTCTGATGCATGGAATCGTAGACATCCGGGGTATGGCCGTAGGGATAACCGGGCTCGGTGTTGCAACAGCACATGTAGCTTTGCGAATTGCCTGTGTTTCCGGCCCATTACGTTGCCAGCAGCCAGGACTCTTCGGAGTGGTTGCATCAAGTCGAGTGAGGCAGTCGCCGTTTCAAACATCCGCTCATTCATTCTGGATCATTCTCCATCAGAAAAACTGCTCGGAAGACTGCTTATGGCCGACGACGTCGAGTAGTCATATTGCTCGCGGGTCTTTACTTGCAAAGCCCATTCCCCAATACTGGACGCAGCCCCGCCTTCGATAACAATAGGGTGCTCCTCGGCGTCTTTTCCCAGGACGGTGCCAGCATAACGAGATTCCTCACCTGTCTTGCTATGCTTCTTTTTCAATACTGTCAGGTAATCTTCCTTTTCGAGCAAGTCAGCGTCAACTACGTCGCCTTCGCTAGGTATGTATCCTGCAATGCGTCGGATTTCGCGATTCGCTGGCCCTGTGAACCATGCCATAAAGGCATCGAGACCTCGCGTGTCTTCCTCGCCTCGCCAATCTTCTTCGAATTCTTTCATCTGCGGTCTAAGAGCGCCCGTATCTTGGAGGGCGAGCAGGATGTCGGCGAGAGTTGGTACGGGGTCATCTGGGTGGCTGTTGGCTGCATGTTCTGCGGCAGAAGAACCGAGAAGAATGAGATATCGGGCTGTCAAATCAGCCAAGGTATCAAGGACCGAGGGCCGTGTAGAGTGGTAGCCTGCGGCACGTAGAATCTGGATTATTGGAGGGCGCAGAAGCGCATTGTGAAGACTGTGAGGACCAGACATGGTGGATAATTTGACGGAAAATGGATAAAAGCAAACTGAGTTTTGCAAGGAAAGCGACAAAACCGCGGGAAAAAAGGAAAAAAAAAAAATCGAGAGTGTTATAGTCAGGGAGTTTCCCTCTCCCCGTCTATCACCGTAAGATCATGATAAGCCCTCAGGTTGGTAGGTGACTGTTCGTTGTTGTGCTAGAGGGCGACTTTGATGAGCGGTGTTTCTTGCTGGGAAGCCAAAGTAACTCCGAAGCTTGCAGGCGAGAAGCTCGGGCCGCCAGATTCCCCGACGTCCGCTCTCCCGCATGCAAGTTGGTGATATTATCACGACCGTCAGTCAGACCATCGATTCTATTGCGCAGATAGAGCGTAATTCGCTTCCCTGCAGGCCTTGTTGTGCACGCACTACGTATTGAACATATCAGTCTGCGGAGAGCGGCCTGAGCATCACCTCACCTCGAGCTCACCCAGCCCTTCTGCTATCATTTTGACTCAAATCACGCTGCGTTGGCGCACCGTGCCATGCGCTTGTCACCATCATGTCGGCACCCACGAAACTGAAGATCTCCCTGAAAAAGCCGGTCCCAGAGGAGGCTCCCAAACCACCAGGTCCTCAGAAGAAGCTCACATTGAAATTCGGCGGCCCCAAGCCATCAGAAACACCTGCACCTGTCCCTGCACCTGCACCTGACAAACCAAAAAAGAAGCGTCCCTCGAAACCCAAAACCGACCAAGGACCGTCGAAGAAACGACGCACCGATTTAGGGTCTGGAGATGACTCGGATGCTGCGCCTCGCGTGGAGGCCCCGTCGGGTCCCAAGCGCATCAAGCTACTGAATACTGCCAAACAATCGGGGGTCAAGTCGATTCGAATTCGGAATAAAGCAAGAGTGCAGGCCCGCCCATTAGGTGTCGGATATGATTCGGAGGCGTCTGATATGGAGACTGACCCTCATATTGAGGAGGACTTCATCTTGCGCATGGTACCAGGGGAAGACTGCGAATACATCCGACAAGCAATCAATGAGCGTCGCCTTGACCGATCACAAATCGGCATCAAGCCTCTCACTCGCGAGGGAAGACGTACAATTGTAAGGGTCCGTGAGAAGCAGTACGCCGCTACATTGGTCGATCTTCCTTGCATCATAGAAGGATTGAAGAGCTGGGACAAGCGCATGTTTTACAAGTCGGGTGATATAACACAGATGCTGCTGGTACTTGGGTTGGTCCAAAATGAACAGGAAGCGATGGAGTATCCGCTGCCGAAAGAGGTCACTGTGCTAGACGAAAGAACTTATCAGTATGCACATGGTTTGACACCGCCATTGAAGTATGTGAGAAAGCGCCGATTCCGCAAGCGTGTCAGCGCTCGTACCATCGAACAAGCAGAAAGAGAAGTGGCAAATTTAGTTGCACAGGATGAAACCGCCATACGACCACCCAAATTTGAGCTTGTTGATGCAACGTCTGTTTCACGCGTCGAAGGTATGGTCGACTATGAGGATGAATACGATGATATGCAGGATGCGTATGGAGAAGCCGACTATGACATGCAAGACGAGGACGATGATGCCGCGGCCGACCTCTTCGAAGATGAACTTGCTGGAGAATTGGAGGCCGCTTTAGCAGCGGATGTCGACGAAGCGCCAGACGTGGCAGAAACCCCAGTTGCGATTGCGGCGGAACAATCAGCTACGCCATCAGGTCACAAGCCTGGCGATGAGTCTTCGGGTGACGAGAGTGACGAAAGCGATCGCGAGGCTGACGGTGAGGCCGACGGGGATGACGGAGACTTGGATGAGGAGGCACTTGAAAGACGTCGTGAAATCCAGGAACAACGCGAGTTCATCACCGAGCTGGAGGGATTGATTGCTCAAGAGACTGCCAAATATGAGATGCAAACCAACAAGATTCTGAAACAGAAGATTGGAAAGCGCGTACAGCAATTGAAGCAGGATTTGGCATTGAAGAAGGCCTCTATTGGGGAAAGCGAAGCGAATGACGGTACCTGAGTCAACACTCAATCAGCGGTTGAAGTTGTAGAGTTCAGATTGGAAGTTTCAATTGTTAGCGATACCCTTGTATTTCTTTCTACACTGGAAGGGTGCATTCACAGGCGTTCTTATACTGCGATTCTTTTTTGTGATAAGGGGTTAGGACTGACATCTCTAAATTTAATCCCAGTAAATGAAAATCAGTTGGGAGAATGACATCTTTTTTTTATAGTACATCAAGTTGTATATGCTAGACAAATCAATTCAATTTACACGGTAACATTTCCAGTGGCATTCTTGACCGCACTCTTCACATCCAACTCTTCGTTCGATTTCAATTTATTTTCCCGAACCCGTCGACGCTCAACGTCCACATCTTCACCATAGTAAGCCGGGCTTTTGCTGCCGCCATCCTCGCCTAGGATATGGTCATGCTCTGTCCTCTTACGATCCATCTGCGCCGCCGTATCCTGCTCATATCCTGGTGTGCTACCCACCGGGCCGGCATGCGCACCAGGCTGAACACGAGGAGTGTTCTCAGTATTGCCGTGAACGGCAGTCGCAATATACCCCTCGCTCGGCTGTTGCTCGATCCCGTACTCAAGGTCTATATGGCCCCTCTTACCCTCCGGGTCGACTTTTTGGCTGTGCTCTTGCTCGAGTTGTGCCAGGTTTTCGTCCGACGACGGCTTTGATTCTGCGGTGCGGTGGATGGCTGCTGGAGCGTCGCCATATTGACGCCCGGTGTATTCTGGGCCTGGGATTGACGAGGAGGAGTCGCGCTGGGTTGTTGGTTGTTCGCGTTGTTCTTCCTGTGGGTTTCGGGAAACGGGGTTGGATGGCTGGCTGTACGCTGTTTGCTTGGGGGGCTGGGGGATGTCGGCTTCCATTGTCGCTTGTATATATAACTCGGGGGTTTGGTACAGTTAAGCGTCAAAAGAGACGAAATGCTCGAGAAGTTCTTTTTTGTTGTTGTTGGGACAGGATGATATGGAGATGACGTCAAGAGGGCCATCCTCTAAACACCTTCCCTGACGGCGTGCCTGACTTCCATCTTTCAATCCTTGTGTCTTCCTTTCACATTCAACTTTGCGCTTCTTCCTCTTCAAAAGAGATCGTCTTTCGGTCTAGTCGTCAGGGCGCATCAAGATGAAGCATGTGATCAGCTTCTCCGCATCTCCGCATTCCCAGATTCCCTGCGAGCGACACTGTCACAACCCTGTGCAAGACGGCTTTGACAAGGATTCGATGTTCTCTTCTTTAGATTGCATCTACTAGAACTCGGTTCCGAAGCGACTGCAGGTCAAAAAGCGAGCAAAGTTGTTCAGCAATCAGAATACTTTCATTTCTGAGGCTCGGCTCTCGGATGCAACCTCGTCGGCGCGAATGAATGGCATGTGAGGAGCTCTTCTAGCCAGGTGTTTATACTCCAAAATATTACGCTCTTGACATTGGAAAACAGATAGTATCTCCAAAGTGCTCCAGAATCTAACGGATAGAAAAATCATCATTCAACATGCCAAAACAGCTGTTTACAGTCCCGGTGCCATCATCCACTGACGGCGGCAATTTCTCCTGCACCGTCCCGTCTGGCAGGGAGGAAGACAAAAACATATATCTACTCACCTTCACCTCGCCAGCTGAGAACCGACTCACACCGGAATTCATTGAAGCGTTCTTACTGTCCCTCGACATCATCGAACATGGCTTCCCGAAGGGCGTGCTGATTACGACAAGCGGAATTCAGAAATTCTTCAGCAATGGACTGGACCTTCAAAGAGCGCTATCCTTCCCGGGATTTCTCGAAAATTATTTGTACAAACTGTTTCGAAGGCTGTTGACGTATGTCTCTTTCAACCTTTTCTGATTTGGCTATTTCTTCAGTTGTTTAATGGTATTTGCAACAGATACCCCATGCCAACAATCGCCCTTGTAAATGGCCATGCATTTGCCGGCGGCTTCATGACAGCAATGTACCACGACTACCGAGTCCAGAATCCCAAAAAGGGCTTTCTATGTCTGAATGAAATAGCGCTCGGAATCCCTCTTACGCCGCCAATGCGCTCCGTATTCCTCGAGAAGATCAAAGATGCCTCTCTGCTGCGTTCTGTAATCCTTGAGGGCAGAAGGTTCACCGGTCAGCAGGCACTTGACTCAGGAATTGTTGATGCTTTGGGTGGATTGCCAGAGACTATTCAATTGGTTCATGAGCGAGGGCTGTTGCAGATCGTCAAATCCCCCGCGTTTGTGGCGTTGAAGGAGAGAATGTGGAGTCGAGTTTTGGATTCTATTGACAATCTGTCAGAAAATGATGCTTCTGATGAACGGCGTCATCAGAGAACGGAGTCCCTTTCAGCTGAAGGGAAGACTAGAGCAGAGCAGTGGGATGGGAGGAAAGAATCCAAGCTATGAACGTTTTATTACATTCTGTATGGGAGTCGGTGGATAGTCTATTCTGTATCCTTCTTCTCTATGAAGACTGCAATGTAGTGTACATGTTTTTTGAAGGCTTGACAAGTAACTTCATCTGAGTCGTGGTGACTGCGGGCAATCGCCCGTGAACCACGACAAGGTACACGATTTGACCATCATCGTAGCTAGTCAGCTAACAGGACCGTTCTGCAACAGGACTTGATCCCATCAAGCTGTACAGCAGCAGGCGCTCTCCGCGACCTAGCCAGCCCTGGCTTCACATAATTGAAGACAATCTTTAATGACGCCCAAAAAGGATAATCCGCCATTGAATGCACGTAAGCTGCGTAATTTGTTTGACATCCATCTTTCCTGGCCACCACATCAAGAGGCCTTCCGGTCTCTTTTCATCCGTCCCTTCGTAGAGCCCTCGATTTTATCCGTCAGTGGTCGATAAGGAGCTGCGATTACATGTTCCGGCGCTCGTTGATTGGGATCCTGTCGCGGCACTCCAGCAAACGGTCGGTTCCGCTGTTCTTCGTGCATCTTATCAAGAGGTTCCCCGACAATCTGATACTTTGCCCAGTTGATGGGAGGCATGCGCACGACATTTTGAGGTTTGGGGATTGTCCCAAACTTAGGCCTCTTCCGGTCCTCCTCTGCATCATTTTCTCCTTCTTGTGTCTCGGGCTCGTCGGTTCCTTCTAGCGATAGATCTGTGTCTACGAGACCGGAACCCTGGCCCTGCTGTGTCAGATGCTCGGCGAGTAACTCCCGCGAGAACCCCTCTGGGTCTGCGGCGGCAGCCCTCTTCATCTCATCCAGAGTCTTAATGTCATGCAAAGCCTTTTGTTTCTGTAATTGCAGAATGGAGATGGCTGATCGGAGGGCAATCACGTCTGAATTATCACTTTCTGATATTGGCACTGGGCTAGGCTCCGGTCTAATGATGGTTGTTATTGGTTGTTGCGGTGGTCCCATGGACGGCGGTGGCGGATTCGTCCGGCGATTCCCTGCCTCATTGCGTCTGGCGGCGTTTTGGTTTTGTGGAGGTTCTGTGGGTGTGTTATGGCTGGTTGTAGTGGAAGTGGGAGTGGCAGTGGCAGTGCTAGCTGCTGGAGTTAATGCTGGTGAGGCATCGAGAGCTGGCGGTATGATGGTGGCCCCTCCGGGGATCGGAGCTAGATGCGCCAACACCGGGGTGAGGGGAGAGTAGGGCGGGCGTTCGGGGGTGCCTTGGCGCTCGAAAGGAGGTTGTTTGCTGTTGCGCTCTTCCTCTATTGGAATGCTTGTGTTATAATCCATCGTAGCGAGCGTAGCTAGGCCATGTCCTGTTGGGAGCAAGGTGATGAGGAACTTGGAAGTTGAGTAGGGAGGATTGCGCGGATGTTTGCCTCCCCGCAAGACGCTCGGCGGCTTATCGATAAGCAAGAGGCCTGGAAGCTTGCTTTGTCACCAATGCTTCATTTCCAGGCGATTTGTTACAAAAATGCATCGATATTTCTGATGCAATTATCAAATAGCGAAGAAAGGCACCCGACTTCGTCACCGACCTTATACAATGAGCCACCAGAGCCTCAGGCAGGAAGCATGTGGTGAACATGGCCCCACTTACGCAGATGCTATTGGCTCGCCGTCTTGGGGCCGGCCTAGGCCTGAGATATAAATAATATATAGATATCGCCTACTTGGGCGAATTTCATATATATTCGATGTTCAGACGTAGGGCACTCGTTTGAAGCATTAAATTAACAGTCAGTGGATTAGTGTAGTAGTACATGCAAAACAGATCCCCCAGTCCTACACCATCTTTTCCATGAACGCTCATTCCTGCCTATCCCCAGTTCCTCTTGTTAGAGTAAATCTCACAATTCTCTCGGGGGGGATTCATTGAGACTAGAAAAGTTTCAAGGTAGGCCAGTCAGTCGCTACGTGTTTGTAATTAAATAAGCCTACATTTTGAGTAAGAAAAGGACCAACCCGGGTTTATCTTCGTAAAGTTTGCGACCCGAGCCGCCTGGACGTGGACAGCATTTTTTGGGTATGGCGCTGCAATCAGGGGAGCATCGAGCCGTTTGTTTTGATAAATTGATTTCATGAACAGGAGTTTCAACGACGTTTTGTGTTCTCGCAGCTTCCCACTCAGCATTCTCCAGTCCAAATGCATTTGTAAGCGATGAGATAAACCGATGTGGAGCGAGGTAGGAGGCGAACAAGCAGATGAGAATGATCAAGGAGGTAATCCGGAACATCTTGATTATTTTGTTGGCATGGAAGAAGTGTTTTTCAGAAAGATTGAAGCCCAGATATGACGATGATGCTGTCCGGTTTATTTTTCTCGGTTCTACGAAGAAACCTGTCATTTTATATGTGCTCGCGACTACACTTCTCTGGAAAACAATAAAGAAATGATATATGAAGTTCAAAGGGCACCGTATTAGCACTAATATTAGATCATATCTGAATCCATCTATCTTGACTCGGGAGCTTCTGGAAGTTGAAGATGGTGCTCTCAAATATTTCCGGATCCGGTATATTTCGTTTATATATCGCTAGAAACGGGTATTTCTTCCATCAATTTCTTTTCCTTTTCTGGCATACAAACTTATTAAGTTTGGTAGCCTGCAGCAAGAATGCGCGAAAGATTTTAGACCAGCAATCTTAGAACTCGAGCCTCATACAAACCCCTTGCCGGCACAGCCTACATCCACATACCTAGAATTTGCCCGGGTACATTCAGCCCTCATTTTAAAATCAAACAAGCGTGCGTCATTCTATGGCTGCGCAAAGCAATATGTATGTAACACTTCGTATACTTCAATACATCCTATATGCCAACACTACGAGCAGATTCTAGCTAACTCGAGCAATTCGTGTTCAAGTCCCTTGCCGGCACAGCCGGCTTATGTACAGTTCATCTTCAGTTTAACATTAGAAATAATTATATAAGTATCATGATATTGAACGCTTTAAGTGCAATATTGTGAATTCCATAATTCGCTCGCAGCCGTCCGACATCGAAATATTGTTAGAAAGTCTTCTTTGTCATGGAATTACCGCAAACATTTTCCGTTTCGAGTGCTATGAGCTCAAGTACGGCGTTCATAAGGGAAGTCAATACAGCCGAGTCAACCAAGAAGTTTCACCCTGAGCACCAGCCAAGTCAGACGCCTTCGATAAATGCATCAGAGAAAGCTCTGGGTACTCGCAATCTTTGCGCAGTAGGGGTGCTCATAGGATGGATTGCTGGCATTGCATGCATAGTAACAGGGGCACATATGATTGCCATTAAGGCGCCACTAGCACCCTATTTTAAGGGAAAATACGTCGGTATTGGCACTAGGGGCTACTGCTTTGTTCCAGGATTAGCTGGAGATGGCCAATGGAACATGAAGGGCCATCACATGTACGTCCTTCCTAAAAGTGTTCAGTTATTGATTACCCTGGGATTGAACATAGCGGCCAATATTCTTCTTGATTGTATGGGTTATATTCATTCAACGACGTTGAAATGGGCTTTGATTCGGGAAAATCGCCTCCAAAAAAATTCAAACCTTCGGCTCTTCTCTTGCGCGAAATCCTGTTTCCCGAATAAGTGGTATATGAATGCCATTTCTCTGCTGTCCTTGGCAATAACATATGGGGCTTTGGCATCGCTCACAACGGGCATGGATATGCTCACACTTTGCAAATTGGACGCCGGAACCGTGCAGAATATCGATTGGTATGAGTCTAATGAGGGGCCTCAGGATGGTTTGGATTTTAATGGTTTTGCAATGGTTGGTTTAGGAATAGGTCTCTCGCTCCAGGCGTTTGTGTCCACCTGCTCCCTTTGCAAATCCGGTCTAGTAGGTACATGGAGTTCACATCCTTTAACAGTTGTTAAAGTATACACTGGTATAAGCTCTTGCGAGAGCAAATCCGAGAGGTCCCTCAGTGATTCAAAACTATCGCCTCAGGTATCCGTATCGACGAGACCTATATCTGGTACATCACATATGGAAGCTATTACAGATTCCTCACACTTTCCATTTCCACCATCACCAACGAACCCTGAGTCTCTACGCCTATCTTCATGTGCTTCGCAGGAAATTTCCCTCTCGTTTCCACAATCACGGCAACCATCTATGCTATCAATGCTACCGAGTGTTTGTCGTATCCAATATCTTGTATGGGCATTTTTTGGAGCATTTGCAATCTGGTCCGGCGCGGTGGCAATATCTGATTCCAAGACTGGCAGATGGTCTGGGTATCTTTCCAATACTAGTACTCTGGAGTATTGGAAAAAGTTTGGACTGGCTGATTTCGACTTTTCTGATAATATTCAGCTCCGGTATCAACAAGACCTAGTTGGCCTTTGCATCCAGATTGCCGTTCAGTCTTCCATAACCTTCGGTCTTCATTGCACCGAGCTTGTTATAAACGTGTCTAGAGATGAGACGAACTGGCGAAAGGCATCCACCGTGGGTATAGCGACAGAAGATAACAGTAACCCAGCCAAGTCGTTCACCACCAGCTGGCAAAGCATGACACTTATGGTATTCAAGTCAGTTATACAGTGGGTTTTCGGCTATGCTTTCATCGCGGACGATGCAGTTGACATGGGGCTTTTGCCGCTGGCAACGATGACCGGCCTGTTCCTGTTGCTGGCCATCTTCACTGAATACCTTGTCAGGCGTAGACCGAAAGGCTACCAGCCTGCAACATACGGTGATATTCAGTGGATGGCTTACTTTATAGATGAGTGGGATCACAAGCTTCTTTTCTGGGGTGACAAGGGCGAAATTGACCGTGGCATCCGCAAAGCAGGAACAGCTGGTCATCGTCTGTCTGACATCCGTCCGGACGTTCCTTACGTTGGTCTTACTATGGAGTAGTAACTATACTGCCTCCAGGGGCTGGCCTGGCTATACCTTCTAGTGGGTTATAGACAGGTATTTCGCGCCCAAAGAACTAAAAATGGCAGGGGAAACTACAAGGGAGTTGTATTTTTTTCCATCCAGACCAATGATAAGGATTGGGCGTAGGTTACGACCCTTGTTAGGGCTATTCCCCATCTGAGCTTAGTATCGGGGGTTACCTGGGTGACTAGCCTCAGCCTTTCAGGGTCCTACACGATATTTCTTTGCTATGAAAGCTTCAAAATGTTTACTGCTTTAAAGAATGCTCTTTAACTATAAGTAAATATTAAGCTACTTGTCAACACCTTCTTACCACGATGGAACAGTTCCTCCTGGATAGCGTCCCCCGCTATCAATCGCTCGTTCGCGCGTTCAAACCCCCGCAGTCGAACAAACCCACAGACACAACAAATAGCTCTAATATCACTGTGGCTACTCGTATTCGCCCCATGCTAGATGATGAAATTTCCTCTGGCCAAGTTGCAGGAGTTTTCGCTCGCAAGGGGGGGAGTGGATCGGTCGATATTCACGAGCTTAGGAAGAAAGTCAGGGGTCCGCCAATATTGAACGTGAGTCTCTTGCTTTTTCACGTATGACATTTGCTAAATAAATGCATAGTCTTTTTCTTTTACTGTTGACAAGGTCTTTGGCCCTGACCAGACTACGGAAATGATATATGAAGATATCGTCCAGCCACTCGTTCCTTGGGTGTGTCAAGGCAATGTGGGCACGCTATTTGCATATGGACAGACGGGGTCTGGGAAGACGTTTACAGTGAGCGGCTTGGAAAGGCTCATCGCCACGTCGTTATTCGACAGCCATTTGGAAGAGAAGCCAGAAGTCCATGTGTGTATCTTTGAGCTGGCTGGAAACTCGGCTCATGGTAAAGATCAGATAGATGGCTAAATGTAAAGGGGGGGGG